ATACACTCTAATATCACTCAGTGTTTTTTTAATGACACTGACTTCTTGAGAGTTGGATATACATACATGTAGAAAAATTGCTTAGTAGCTAATCTATTGTTATGAATTTTTTTCTCCAGGAAGGGCTACAGCCTTAATTTATGAGAAAAATCTGTGTGTCTGAAAGTTCTTTAAAAGCCTTAACTATTTTGACAGGTCATATATTTTAATTTGATTTCTTTTTAACAGTTACTAACTTCAAGCCTTTCAAGGTAGAAGTCTGTGTTATTGAGGATTTTAGTGATTTGTTGCTTGAGTCGTTAAAAAACATTATTAAATAATTTGAAAAACCATCCTGACGATTGTTAGAGAAATCCGGTATTGTGGGAACTGGCTAGAGCAAAGGCTCTCAACCCCCTGCCCTCTCTGTGTTAGAGGCTCCAGGAACAATTCTCAAGATACATAGGAGAAGGGGTGTTTCATCTCCTTCTCCTCTTTCACCAACAGAAGCAATTCTGTCAGCAGACTTAATTTATTACTTTTAATCCAACAGATGGTAACCAGTTGCATCCAGGCAGTGCACAAAGTGGACACATATAATAAGAAAGAGGGATATGTTACCTGATGTCACACACTCACTTTCATCTAGATTAATTCTAGAAATTATAAGTGCTTCCCATACGTGAATTTAACTGAGAGGGGGCAGAAATCCACCGAATAGTGCTGCCTATTTCTGAATAAGTGGACATACACTTCCAAAGTAAAGTACATTCCTATCTATATTTACTTGCCCCGCTGTAGCATAAACATGCATATTAGGGTGTGCAGTATTTGCTATTTAAAGGGGGAAAGGTGCTTCAAAGCATGCAAGGGCACTCATGCAACACCTGTTGGCAATCCTTTAAAGCAGCTATGTCTTTTGATGGGCTCTCACAGCTGCCCTCCATAACTGCAGTTCAACCCTGGGAAAAATCATTTGGTTTAAGCAGCTGTCAAAAAATATTAAACGTGCACACTGCACACTCCAACATACATTTCTCCATTTGAAGCCAAAGCACTATCCAACCCTAATGCATATTGTCTTTAAAATTCCTTTAGGTAATAGTGCACAGCAAGATTTGGTTGTTTCTTATGGAATATGATGTAATAAATACACAAATTATTTTTACAAATATGTATACAGGAAATCCTTGACAACCATTTATTTAACAGTGGTTTAAAGTTATGACAGCCTTGGAAAAAATGACTTATGACTTATACTCGCACTTAGGACTGTCGTATACATCCTCCCCCCAGTTACCAGTTTGGGTACTTAGTAATTACCTAGCATTTATGCATAGTTGCAGTATCCTATGGTCACATGATTGCAATTTGGGACTTCTTTTGCCAATTTGTGGCAAAAAAAACCCAGCCCATTGAGGAGACTGGATTCACTTAACAGCCATCTGATTTGCTAAACAAGTAAAGTGGTACATTTAATGACTGCTATAAAATTATTGTAAAATAAGGTTCCATTCTACTTACAATCACAATGACTTGTGACGACGATGGAAATTTTGGTCCCAATTGTGCCTATTTAAGAGAACTGTCTGTAGTTTGAATTTGTTCCATTTTTTTTTTCTTTTTAGTTACGAAGCTGAGCTGATTCCTGGTGACCTTCAAAAGACCAACATACTAAAATATCAAATGGAGAAAAGACCTTTTTTTGATATGCCTTCCCATTTGGCAGATGTTGACTTGGATGATTATGACTATGAAGACGATTTTGAATAAACTATATTTGTAGAAGTATAAAGACTGTCTGCAGCAGGTCTGCTAAATCTGTGTAGAATTCTGCCCCTCCCCAAAAGAGTAAAATTGAGTTTGTGTTGCAAAATTAACTTTCAAAATATCTAAATGATTACATTTGTATGGAATGACACTTTTATGTATTTATTCAATGGATTGTTGCCTAGGAAAAAATAAATTATTTATAGATACTCTTTCTTTAAGGAATTCTTTATCTTGTATAAAGTAAAAGTACTGGTTTGTTTTTATACAAAATACTAAACCTTTTCTTGATTACTCTAATAATGGAAGTCCTTGCTCTTGCAGTCTTCAAGCTAAAACTAACTTTGTCAAGATTCAGACAAAAAAGTGTCATGATTGTGAATGGAAATCGCAGTTCAGAACACAAGTAAAGCATCATTGGATAAACTAGATACATACTGGTACATGTAGCAAATTATATCCTGCCTGAAAACAGGCTATAATTTTCTACCCTTTAGCATTCATTTTGGTCTACTGACTCCAATTTAAAAACTGGCTTTTTTTGCTCACTTAAACAGTTGTGGATATTATATTCCATGTCAAGGGAATCAATTGTAAGTGTTACTTGATCTGTGATGTGCACTAACCTTGTATGGGCATTTAGTGGGTTTCTTCAGTGGTTGGCTAATGACACATTCCATTAATATTGTTACCAACAGTGTCAAAGTAGCAGAACAGCCTGATGCTTTATTTGCCTATATGAGGTGAGACTGCTTATAGGGAAGATAGATATTGCTATACTGGTTTTTAAAAAAGCATAACGTTTGTAGTGCCTTAATTATCCTTACGTTCACACAAGAAATGAAATATGGTAAAGCAAATTCTTGCTGTTAGATTTTCCCAATAAACAAAAAGCTATCTTGTTTGCTGTGCAGATTTGTTAAATATTTAAAATATGTTCGTATTTTCAAATAAAGTTTTTTTCATATATGTAACTCAGCAAATTTTTTTTATTTTTTTATGTACCAGATCATCACAGAAGGTATTGAAAGTGACTTCCAATTTGAATACTAGAATCGTTTTCATATAATCTTAGATGTACACATTTTTCATACTTTGTGATCTACAGCATAGAGTGACTTCAGTTTGCCTTCCAGAATTGGGGATTATAGCTCCCAATAATTCCATATTCCTCAAAGCTAAAATATCAATTTTCACAAATTCAAAAAATGATTCTGATAAAGCTATGTGGCACAGATAGTTCAGCTGTGAAACTACAAACCACCTTTTTATAGTTGAAGTTAATGGCAAAGTAGTGCAATTTAATAAAGACTGATTGTCTCTATACACAACATTAGGATGGCTGAAACATTTTTTTTCTATGTATGAGGTTTTTCTTTCAGAGCAGGTTTTGGTGTGATAGTATTCCTTTTGAATTGTTAAGTTTTCTTGTGATGATTCCAAATTACTGGATACAACTATGTAGAATTTAACGGGTGCTGCCAGATGGCATTACAAGGCTGAGGGAAAAACCAGGAAAGATTCTTAATAATAGATTTATAGCCTGCCTTTTCCTGCAGAATGACTCTTAAAGTACCATGATGTGTTTTTTGGCAGCAGTATCTCTGTCTATAATTACCTTTTTTTTTTTCCTTCATGTGGACCATGATCAATATCAAACATTGTTTTAGAATTTGAACCGATTCCTTTGATGTTCAGCTTTTTAGTGTTTTGGCTACAAGTGGAAAAACATATTGCTTGGATCCCACGCTTATCAACTAAAAAAGTAAAACATTAAGATTTGCAGTTTTTCAGGCATGGATCTTTTTATCTTAATGGAGCAGCCCATGCAGCAAATCTACTGTCAAACAAGTGATAGATATATTTTGATGCTACTGACTCTTTTGTTGTTCCTGTTAAATGTGCAAACAGACAAACTCTGTAGCTCCAGGAATGTAGATCCCAAGAGTGTTGGTACAGTATCAATTTTAAATAATGGAACATCGCAATGTTAGATAATGGGAAAAAATGTTTGAACAACAAAGTAAATTCCAAACTCATTTCCTCTCATTCTTACTACACAAAACATTTTTTTTAATTGAAAAAGTTTTACAATTACATTTTCTCCCCATTTCCCCCCCAACCCTCCCTAACCCCCCCAACCCTCCCTAACCCCCCTAACCCTCCCCAACCCACCCCTCCCCCCGGACTTCCATAGAATATAATCCAAATCAAAATCCCCTTTTTATAAAACTTGAACCCCTCCATCCCCAATATATTTTTCATCTTCACAAAATTCAAATATTTCTATCTTTATATAACACTTTCAGTTAAAAGCTATCTGATACTTCCTAGTCTGATATTTGTTCTGCACATAATCTATCCACTTTTTCCACTCCCATTCATAAGTCTCTTGTGAGTGATCTTTTAGATACGCTGAAATCTTTGCCAGCTCTGCAAAACTGGCCATCTTCAAAGTCCATTCCTCAATAATGGGCACAGCTTCATTTTTCCAATATTGACCTATCAGTAATCTCACTGCTGTTATCATATACAATATCAACTTTATTTCACCCAGTGTAAAACCCTTAACTATACCCAATAAAAACAATTGTGGAGAAAACTGAAACATTCTTGACCGAACATTTATGTTTCAAAAAAAAAAAAGTTAGAACTAAGTGGTAAAACATTTGTTTTGCTAATTGGCCAGTTTGGACACAACTGAGAAAGGATCTACTATAATCTGAACTATAGAGAAGCTGTTGCCAACAACAGAGACCAGTAGTTCTCAATCTCAGTAGCTTCCCAGATGTGCAAAGTTCAACTCCCATAATTTTCAGCAATAGTGATACTGTGGGTAGAAATTTACATATGCTGAAGCTTTTAGGACAGGAAACAAGCAGAGCATAGGGTTTTGGATGGGCAAGCTCTCTGCCTTGGTGTAAGATACAGTAGCTTTTTAGGATGCTTTTCTCAGTAGGCTCAATAGCTTCACATGACTTATGAATAATGGGTTGTAATAAAATAGCGAATATTTTTAAGACTGCTATAGTCTGGAATATAAATTAAGCAACAAATATGCATACAAGAGACATAGATTGTTTTACCACTAATGCTACCCATGTAAATGATAGTTGCATCCTATATTGCAATTTAACCGTTTGGGAAAAGTTACTGTGATATCCATGCCTATGCCCTTCCTAATGCCATGATACAGTTATCTTTTTCATTTTTCCCATTATAAGAAAAAAAATGACTTGCTTTAAAAAATATAGACAGAACAGATCACTCAGTTTATTTTACAAACAGCTGAATATAAAAATGTGAAATGAAATGCCTTTAAAAAAAAATGTGATAAACATGAGTGAACATTTTGTTGTGATACCTAAGGCAGCACACAAGAAGCAAAGTTTGTGTATTTTTTCTGATTTACATTAATTTCTATAATTTTGCTCTTCCTTTCAATCTTCTGGCTTTCTCTCTTGAAAACAGATTGTCCGCCTTATTTAAAGTTTCTTCGTTTCCATTTTGCCATAGAATACTGAGCTTCAGCTTCTTGACAGTCTACCATCTAGAACTACATTTTGGATAGAAAGTCGAGTGTGCTTACAAAAATTGTGTGTCAGCTGGTAACATCAGAAAGTATAGAAAATACTGGCTGAAGAAGCTTCCATTTTATATAAATTTATCAGTCCATGTTGAGTTCTACCGATCAGGCATCCGAATAATTCTCGCAAAAATAGTTCAAAACCCATTCTGCCTTTCTGGTTGGCTTTTTATTTATTTATTTATTTATTTATTTACATAAAAAGTAGAGGCATTTCCAGCAATCTTCCTCTTAGGTATCCTAAACAATATAAAAATAAGACAATTAGTGACAAAGATAGTATTTTAAAAGACAAATTTATTAAATTATGTTTCTTCATAGCCTCTTACAGTTACTATCATCCCTTGTAGATAAGATACTATTCTGGAATATATATACCTCTCCTATTTTATAAAACAATTTTAATTATTATTTAATCTGCACTCACTAGATTACATGAGGTCCAAATGGCATATTTAATCTACATTTTCTTTTGACTAAAATTCCCTAGATTCAGTCCATTTTACTCTCACTAAAAAAATTCCCTTGTTGAGAAAACACAGCTCCAGAGATTTACTTTTTTGTTATGAAAATTTCCAAGGGAACATATTAGTCTGTAAAAAAGAAATGCTCTGCCACAGGAAAAGCACCAAACCCAAGCCATGCTCAGCTAGGACAGAAGGATGATGGGACATATCAACTGTGGTCATTTTTCCCCCCTTCTATTGTTCCAATGTCAGAGCGGGTGGGATTAAGATAATAGGAAACTGTTAAATCCAGGTAATTCAAAGCCATCTCTAATATATCCTTTATACACTTTACACGTGCTAATATCTGGCAAGATTCTATTACAGGGATCACAGAAATGAACTTACGTAAAACAAAAGTATTACTAAAGCAAATTATTTCAAAGGATTAATTGATGTATTCTTTCTATTAGTGAAAGAAAAAATATTTTAAAACTATGTTAGAATCTTTCTTAACCTGCTCAGTGCCAACAACATCAATATCGGCTTCTTCAAGGGGAGCCTCTCCCAAATCCTCTTCCTTGATTGGAGCTTGGGTACTAAAATGAGAGGGAGGGGGAAATTGTTTCTTGTCTTCCAAGTGAAATTATTTGCTTGGTTCTTGTTAATTTTTACAATAATAATTCTGACAATCAATATTTAATCATAATAATTTAGGAATCAATTAAATAATAGTTTAATGTAAGACACAAATTTCACTCCTAGCGTTATCAGTTTCTTTTTCAAGAAAAGATCATTTCTGTCTGAAACTCGAAAGCTGTTGATGTCCTAAACAACGCTGAAGGAAATGGATCAATAATCTGATTTAGAACATGACAATGTTCTTCAACAAAGACTCCATTTAAATGTCATATCTTTTCTGTCCATATGCTTCACTCCTTTTAAAATAATTAAAGAAACCTAATGTATTTAGATGTTTCTAAATAGAACTTTTTTGAATGGAATAATTTCCTATATCACACCTGCTTTGTAACTTTCAAAAATGGCTTTCTATTCAGCACAAAGGCAGGAAGCATTGTAGTAATTGTCATAAATTTGAAAACCATGATGGAATTATACAAATATTAAATAATGTTTTGGACTGTGACCTGTGGATATTGTTTCAATTAACCCCCAATATCAAATAATGTTTAAATTGCAGTCAGACTGATCTCAGGTCACTACAGAAATTTAGATATATTTCGAAGAAAGAAAACACTGCAACTTCTACTGTATGTAATGAACTAGATTTGATGACATATCCTGTTTATCAGAGTTAATCCAACAATTCTTCTTACCTATGTTTTCTCTTTGGGGTTGCAGAACCCAATGGGAGAGAATATTCTTGGTGATAACTATCATGAGATTTTAGCCTCTTCCTGTTTCTCAGTCCCAAGGAAGACAGGCAAGATGGATGATGAGTCTCAGAAGTCCTATTTGTTCTGTCTGTGTGACTCATTTTAGACCAAGATCCTGAAACAGATAATTTCATCATTCATACTTTAGCATATTTCAGCCATGTATCTCACTGAACATTGAAGTAGAAAGATACAGGTATTACTGAGGCTTAAAATCATCCTACTTGAAGTGGTATATCACAAATGTTGACATGTCATCAATCCTATGATCCAAATGTAAGCTTTTTATACATATTTTGGAAATGTCATACCTTCAGATAATTTCCTTTTAAAAGAAGATGTCCTAGTAATGCTAACAGATGGCCACTCTTGTAAGCTGCTGATAGCAGAATTCTCATCATCATCATTAGCCAACAAAGAAGTTCTGTACCAAGCCACTGAGTACCAAGTATCTTCTTTACAAAGTGCTGTTTCGGGTACATATCTTAGCAAATAACTATATCTGAATGTGAAGATTGGGGAAAAAACCATTAAGTTACTTTTTCCCTATTTTAATTAACATTCTTTAAGAAAAGATGCAAATACTCATGATATTACATATAAATTAGACTTAAAATGTGATAACCTCCAACCTCGCTTCTCATCCAAAATGTGACAACAGATTGTAGGAAGTTAGCACCCACCCTCTCCTAGAAAAATGAAATATTCTAGGAAATATTAAAAAGGCAAAATACTATACCTCCCTGGATGAGAAAAGGAGAAACATCCTCTTGGAAAGCAGCCCCCACCTTTTCTAATAGCCGCAGAAAAGCTGGGCCAGCTTATCTACAACACAAAAGATCTTCACCCTCAGGACAGAATAGGACTAGCCCTCTACCCATCTCACCACATGACACCTGAGAAAATTCATCCAAGCCTGGGACTCAAGACAACCTACAAAGTTACCCTGCATGGCCCCATGGGAGTCTGACAACCAATCAGGATACATTTCTTGCCATAGGAACAGGAAGCAAGTTCAAAGCCCAACAGAGGGTATAAAACTCTCTTCTTCTCTCACTCGTGCTCTTTTTGTCCAGGACCTCAAACCATCTGGTCCTGTCCATCATTAAATCATCTTCCCAAGCAGCCTCCATGTTTCCAGTGTCTTTCTTCCCACTTGGAAATGAACCCAGATGGACATTTCTTCCAACAATTTGGCAACCCAGATGGGACTCCAAGCTACCCTGACCAATGGACCTGACCCAGGTAAGCCTCTCTTGCCAACAGCAAACCCACTGAGTCCGTGGGTGAGTTTTCCTGGACATTGGCCATTTGAAACAAAGGTTTCAAAGGGGTTTTGAGTTTTGAGCTCAAAGGCTGCTTGGAAAGAAGGTGAGTACCTTTAAATTTTAACTTTTAAAGCCCAGAAAAGCATGAGATATATGTCTACGCCTGTTATGTGAGAGTGAGAGGGCCCTTCTCCCAATCACAGTTGGATCTTGCTTCCTCTGTGTGTTCTACCAAGAGAGCCTGGAAAGTATAGGGATCAGGCCAGAGCACAGGACCTTCTGTTAGGGAAAGGAGAGAGTGTGTGAAAATGGAATGGAAAAGTGAATGAGAGAGGATAACCAGCTGGGAAGTCACTGAGCAAAGCCCTATGTTAGGAGGTGCCCATACTCAACTGCTTAGGAAAAGCAGGTCCTCCCAGACCTCCGAGGGTCTGAAAACTGACGGCTATGTTAGGAGGTGCCCATACTCGTCTGCATAGGGGACAGCAGTCTCTCTCCCCTCTCTCTCTCTCTCTCTCTCTCTCTCTCTCTCTCTCTCTGTCTGTCTGTGTGTGTGTGTGTGTGTGTGTGTGTGTGTGTGTCAAAGGCTTTGTGTGCCCTCAAGGTAATTGTAACTGTAAAATGTTTCCAATCCAAAAGACAAAAATTTTAAATTGCTACCAAAAAAAAAAAAAAATTAAAAGCACTGAAAGCCTTCACCCAGTTTAGTCTGGCCAGCTAGACAGGGTAAAGAACACTGAGTTCAGTTTTATTTTCTCTCTGTACTTTTAAGAAAAGCCCAAGTTTATGAGGGAATGTTTTAAATTCATTTACAGTATGGTTTTTATCTGTCCATCCTTTTTCTGAAGCATGTGAATCCAGTTTTTCTCGTCTGTGATGTCCCCATTTTGTTATAACTGTTATATCTATTTAATAACTGCAGCAGATTTTTTTTTCTTCCTCAAACCCTGCCTGCAAGCTATCTACCCACCCCCACTCTATCTCTCCATCTCTTATTTTCTTACAATGCCTTTCCTCACCCACAAAGGGGGGAGGGGCCCTGTTCTCATGTCTTTCAGGCTTGCACAGACAACTCTGAAACATGTGGAAACAGATGCTGATCCAGATGCTGCCTCCAGAGGAGACCTTCCATTCATTTGGGCCAGGACATTGGGTTTGGGTCAGGGGTGAAATTCAGCAGATTCTGACAGGTTCTGGAGAACCAGTAGCAGAAATTTTGAGTAGTTCAGAGAACCAGCAAATATCAATTCTGGCTGACCCCAGAGTGGGGTGGGAATGGAGATTTTGCAGTATCTTTCCCCTGCCATGCCCATCAAGCCACACCATGCCCACCAAGCCACACCCACAGAACTGGTAGTAAAAAAAATTGAATTCCACCACTGGTTTGGATCCAGCCCTCCACTAGAAAGTCATCACAGCAAACAGAGTGGAGCAGACATTCCCAAGCCTGACTGACCAACCTTACCACCAAGCCAAGCCTAATGACACCCAGCAGACATGAAAGAAAGGACCCTGACATGGACAAGTAAAAGACTAAAAAACTCTTTTCAATCCCCAGAAGACAGCTGGAAAGATTATGGGGGAGGGTGGAAATTCATTGTAAGGTTTGCTTTCTTTCCTTCATTCATAATTGTAACTGATCAGTTAAATGGATTCATGAAGGGATGGCATTTGGAGTGGTTGACATAGCAAGTTCTGAACACCTTAGATTTCTATCTGGTGGGAGGGAAATTTGTTCAGAATGTCTGTATTGCCTGTATTTTAGAAGTAGCTGCATATACAAGCACACACACAGAGACACACCATTCAGAATTAGACCGAGGTTATCCCCTTCACCTACCTCCACACAAAATTGCTCCTAGCTTGCTGGGGTTTTTTGTTTTGTTTTATTCTATGGCACTAAGACCCAAGCAGTCATATCTCCCTGTTAATTCCATGGGGGAGGGGCATCCCACTCAGGCAATTCTCTCACTTGAAGATAGCAGAAAAGAGATCTCCAAAACCCAAGCCCTGATTGTGATTCACAAATGACGCTGCCCAGCTGCCCAGTAAAGCAGGATATGTAGCACTGGTGGTCTCATGAGTAGGAGTCCCAGGCCTCATTGAGTGTAATTTTTAAAATAGTAAATAGCCTGTATTGCACAATGGCTAACCTCAATTTGGCCTCACAAAAGTAAGAGCTAGGGCAGGTTTAGTAACCATCCCTTGGAAATGGGCAGCCTGTAATTTAAAGGAAAACCATGTCTGTGAAGAATTTTGGGACTTATGCTTGCTTGAAACCTGACTGGAAGCTCACAGAAAGTGACATCAAACCTCTGAAAATAATTGGCATGGAAAATTGGAGACTGTAAATTCCTTTTCAGAACTTTTGTCCTGGTTGCTAGACCTTCATGGCTGAAAGCTCCTTATTTGGGATACTTTTCTGCTGCCTCTGTAACTGTACCCCCTCCCCAATGCCTGAGCTGCCTTAAGACCTGCAGTCCCGCCCCTCCAAAACACAATGAAAAGGGAAAAAGTTTGCCTTAATGATGCTTCAAATTGACTATGAGTATTAAATATACTCTGACACTTCCCTGGATTTGTGCTGAGGGTGAAATAATTGGCAAAAATTATTTGCCCTAGCATTAAAGGGGGGGCTTGTAGGAAGTTAGCACCCACCCCTGTCCTAGAAGAATGAAATATGTTTACTGGACCCGTGTCCCTCCTGGTTAGTACTGGCTTCCCAGGAGGTCACACAAGGCTGGCTCCAGGGAATTATCAACGCTTCGTTGAGTGAGGGTCACTTCCCCGCTGCCTTGAAAGAGGCGGTGGTGAGGCCTCTCCTCAAGAAGCCCTCCCTGGACCCGGCAGTATTGGCTAACTACCGTCCTGTCTCCAACCTTCGCTTCGTGGCGAAGGTTGTTGAGAGTGTGGTCGCACAACAGTTTCCACAATTCCTGGAGGAAACGTCCTATCTAGATCCGTTCCAGTCGGGTTTCAGGCCTGGGCACAGCACGGAAACAGCATTGGTCGCGTTGGTTGATGATCTCTGGAGGGCTCGGGACAGGGGTTGCTCCTCTGTTCTGGTCCTATTAGATCTCTCAGCGGCTTTTGATACCATCGATCATGGTATCATGCTGCACCGGTTGGAAGAGTTGGGGATGGGGGGCACCGTGTTACGGTGGTTCTCCTCCTTTCTCTCTGACCGGTCGCAGTTTGTGTTGACAGGGGGGCAGAGGCCGACCTCGAGGCCTCTCATCTGTGGAGTGCCGCAAGGGTCGGTCCTCTCGCCCCTTCGGTTCAACATTTATGTGAAGCCGCTGGGCGAGATCATCCGTGGCTTTGGGGTGAGATACCACCAGTACGCTGATGACACCCAGCTGTACATCTCCACCCCAGGCCACCCCAGCGATGCCCTTGAAGTGATGGCCCAGTGCCTGGAGGCTGTACGGATCTGGATGGGGAGGAACAGGCTCAAGCTCAACTCTTCCAAGACCGAGTGGCTGTGGTTCCCGGCATCCCGATATAGTCAGCTGACTCCATCGCTGACTATCGGGGGCGAGTCTTTGGCCCCCGTGGAGAGGGTGCGCAATCTGGGTGTCCTCCTGGATACGTAGCTGTCCTTGGAGGAACATCTGACGGCTGTTGCCAGGGGGACCTTTTGCCAGGTTCGCCAGTTGCGCCCCTTTCTTGATCGGGATTCTGTGTGCACAGTCACTCATGCCCTCGTCACCTCTCGCCTGGACTACTGCAACGCTCTCTACATGGGGCTCCCCTTGAGGAGCACCCGGAGGCTCCAACTAGTCCAGAATGCGGCCGCGCGGGTAATTACGGGAGCTGCATGGCGCTCCCGCATAATACCGCTCCTGCGCGAGCTGCACTGGCTCCCAGTGGTCTTCCGGGTGCGCTTCAAGGTGTTGGTTACCACCTTTAAAGCACTCCATGGCGTAGGACCTAGTTATCTTCGAGACCGCCTTCTGCCACCGACGACCTCCCATTGACCCGTGCGCTCCCACAGAGAGGGCCTCCTCAGGGTGCCATCAGCCAAGCAATGCAGGCTGGTGACCCCCAGGGGGAGGGCCTTCTCTGTGGGGGCTCCCACCCTCTGGAATCAACTGCCCCCAGAGATAAGGAGAATCCAAGACCTCCGTGCCTTCCACCGTGCCCTTAAAACTTTCCTTTTCCAACAAGCCGGGCTGGCCTAACAAATCCTTTTAAATGATTTTAAATTCATTTGTCTTTTTAAATTTTGGGCCAAATTGAGATATTTCCTTTTAATCTGTTCTTAATTTATGTATTATGTATTATGTATTTATGTGTTTTTACTTGGCTGTACACCGCCCTGAGTCCCTAGGGAGAAGGGCAGTATATAAATTTGAAGTAAAATAAAAAATAAAATAAAATAAATATTCTAGGAAATATTAAAAAGGCAAAATATTATACCTCCCTGGATGAGAAAAGGAGAAACATGCTCTTGGAAAGCAGCCCCCACCTTTGCTAATAGCCGCAGAAAGGCTGGGCCAGCTTATCTACAACACAAAAGACCTTCACCCTCAGGACAGAATAGGAGTAGCCCTCTACCACTATCTCACCACATGACAACTGAGAAGATTACATCACCCAGCAAGATTCAACCAAGCCTGGGACTCAAGACAAAGTTACCCTGCATGGCCCCATGGGAGTCTGACAACCAATCAGGATACATTTCTTGCCACAGGAACAAGAAGCAAGTTCAAAGCCCAACAGAGGGAATAAAACTCTCTCCCTCACCTATGTGCTCTTTTCTATGCGCTCAAACCATGTGATCCTGTCCACCATTAAACCATCTTTCCAAGCAGTCTCCATGTTTCCAGTGTCTTTCTTCCCACTTGGAACTGAACCCAGATGGACATTTCTTCCAACAAGATCATTGGTAAATCCCCGATGCTCCAGGTTCTTTGAAATCTCCAACCTCGCTTCTCATCCCAGGAACTTTCAGTCAGCACTAAAGAAGCTTCTTGGATGAGAGGCAAAATGTTTTCAAGGAAAAAACCCAAGAAAATCCAGTTGCCTTTTGGAAAAGCACCTTTGGGACAACCATGACCTGGATGATTGAGAATCTCCATAGACATTTAACTGTCCTGAATTTCAATAGCACTGTTTTTAATGTGTGTGGTCTTTTTTTCCCTGTAAACATTATGCACTTTTTAAACAAAGTGTTATATAAATTAATAAGAAAACTTACTCTATTGTGGCTGGTTCCAAATTATATTCAATTGCTTAATTATGTATTCTAACCTAGACATTAAATACAGAATCATTTTTCATGACTTGCTCATCAACACCTGCTCTTCTGCATGCATAAATACATATAAATATACAGTCATTACTGAAACATGTTCATCTCCATTGATCTATCATTGTCAGAGTTACCAAAAGGTCAGCCTAAAATAATGGAAAACTCATCTATTCAGTGTAAACACAAATGTATATAACCTGAACACTTTAAAAAAAAGCTAAAATCAAATAAAAGGTAAAATACAGTTATACCTATTATTTGGGCACATGTGTTAATTTATTATTTATATCTTGCCTTTATTATTTTTTTAGAAATAACTCAAGGCAACAAACATATCAAAGAAACATATCAAATATCTATTTTCCTCACCACAACAACCTTGTGTGTGGATTGGGCTGACAGCGAGTGACTGGCCCAAAGTCACCCACATAGCTTTCATGGCTAAGGCAGGACTTAAACGCACGATTTTATGCTTTCTAGTCTAGTGACCAAACTAGCTAGACCACTAAACAAAACACATAGCGCAACAGCAAATGCATCATTCTTGACAATGCCTGGATTTCTAAAGTTAAATAATGTAGGTATTTTTAAATTGTTGAACTTTCACAAAATTTTAAATATAAAATGTCATGTAAGTGCACCAGCATTTCAGGAGCAAAACTGTCGAATAGTGTCATATTTTATGCTTTTTCTGTGCAACTTCCTATGACTGTGTTCAGTCAATCCCCACTAACTTCTTTATATATTGGCTCCTGTAATACTCAACTTGTTTTCCCAGAGGAACTAAAATAAAAAATAACACTTACACAAGTCTTTTATCAGGCTTTAGAAGCTTATTGGAGAATTCACTGAGGATGATGAGAAAATTTAAGTTAGGAGGTAGGCACTTCCCGTCCATTCCAGCTGCCCCTTGGAAGGCAAATTCAATACCTTCCCTTTCAACAGGAATAAGGAAGAAATGGAAACAGAAAGGATATTTACAACATGGACATCCTTCAAACAGAAGACTAAGGGACAACATGTAATTGGCACATACTTGTGTATCATAGCTACTAATTCTCGACTTTTCACCTGGTCCCAGCCAAATGTCAAAGAAAAGCGCCGGGCAAGCTCTTTAATGTTGTTAAAGGAGGTGGTGGAGGAATCCAAGTTATTGCTGCTATTGCTGCCATCACCTTGGCTTTCAACATGCTTCTGAAACAGCTGCAGATCACAGACATTGGTTTAAAGTTTATAGGCAATAAAACAATCCCCAAGAAGACATATCTGGCATAGAACCAATAGATTCCTTGCTCAGGATGCAAGCATACACTAATTTATACAATAATCCAATTATATGTTTTAAGAATCCCATCAAGCTGAACAAGAATGTGAATGACACAGATGAGAGTCAAGAGCAGGAAGTTTAGGGAAGAGAACAAGAGAACAAGATATCATTAGCATGCAAAGACATTGAAATATGTGCTGGAAAAAAATTGTTCCCATTTCAAACAAGGGTTCTGATTTTTGTAATGAGCACAAAATACACTCTCATAAGTACCAGAAAGAGCAATTATTTGTCTCAAGTTATGTGCTTCTGATTACAAAGACTTCTTGATAAGTACTTAATTGTTCATTTAAAAACCAGTATATTTTTCTTTTAATCTTGACGAAGTTCTGTTTTTATTTACTGTATTGCATTACAGCATACATTACTGCAGATTTAAATTTTAGTTCATGCCCTTAAAAAGTAGAGGACAGAATAGCGTATATAAATAAAATGTAGTTGATAAAATTGTTCTCTTCTAAATTTTGCTTTGGAAATGGAATTTGTAGCAAATTAAATCTGGAGTTGCAAAACAATCTTTCACATGCAAATATATGCCCAACATGGGATGAAACATTGAAAAATAATTAGGTATTCTTGCAGCCACTTTTTCACTACAAATTATCTTCCTAGGTGTACTATTTAGATATAGTTCATTTTATTATTTACATATATAATAAATATTTTAATTAAATACTTGTCTAAAACAGTTACTGCTCATTTGATGCATTCATTCTGATATATCCCTTTATTGTTTTAATCTGTTAGATTTATGTGATCTAAGATTTCTGACTTCCTAACAACTTCTCCATTGACTTTACTTGTGGGAAACCAGCAGGGAAGGTCACAAATTGTAATCATGTGACCATAGGACACTGCAACGGTTAGAAATGTGTGCCAGTTGCCAAGCATCTGGGTTGTAATCTTGTGATTGCAGAGGCCCTGCAGTGGCTGGAATTTCAACAACTAGTCATAAGTACTACACCACTGTTTTAAGTTCAAATGGTCACTGAACAAGGACCATCTGTGTTCAATCATGTGTTTATAAACACATAAAGAAAAATCTATGCTGTAAGGAAATGACATTGCCAATATAGGTAAATTTCATTATGGACTTAGACCAACATATGACAACTACCAGGTAGGCCTAAAAAAATTAGGCCTGCATGTAAGCCTAAGCATTAATCTATTCCTATATTGAAAAGCAGAGATAATTCCTGAACTGTCCCACAATAATGGAATTTCTTTCCAATAGAGATCAGGCATACAAAAGACTAAACTATTTTTATATTTAATTCAATAATTTATACCAGGAAGATTTTTGGAGACACAAGTTAAAGCAAATAAGGAAGACTTTCCTATTGGTTTATTATATTTTTATGCTTTATATAAATATTTTATTGTATCGTGTAGTGTTAATTAAAAAGTGCCAAATTAGAAGGTAGCAATACAACTATATATTAATCCACCTATATATCCCAATACAAAAGAGAAGGCAAATTCCATTTTCCCATATAGATTGGTTAGATGGTTTATCACATTTTAATCTGCACTATTTCAAGTTCAATCTAAACTGGACCAGCTGTCCTTGTGATATGTAAACACAGGCTCCTGACTATGTGAGCAGAACTTACAACTTACTGAATGCTGACCTCTCTTATCTCACGTTTCAAGGGATAGCTTATGAATCTTCTTAAGTTCATTTTGATAACATGTGTGAAATCCAGTGAGGTCATATATCAGCCATCTGAAGAGGGATGTTCTGAAGCCTGGAGGCTGCCATGGATATTAGCTTCACACAGCTCGTTCTGAGCAGTTAAGTAGGATAACTATGTACACTAAAGCAATACCTTCAGTGCAGCTTGCTTGGAAAGCATGTTGCTAGCAGTTATCCCAATGGTTTTGTAGCCTGTGAGATCATAATCTTCTCTCACTAGATCTTTAAAGAGACAGTCAGCTATCACCTTTTCTCTCAAAATATATTTGCCCAATTGAGTTTTTGTTGAAAGAGCATTTTTCCATTTATTTTGTTTGTTTAATTTTTATTTGTGATATGAAATAGCAAAATAAGACACTATGGTCCAATAGTTGTCATACATACACATTTTCCTTTTTTCTGTGAATTCTGCTCTATTTACTTACTATATTTATGTGCCAATCAGTTATCTCAGTCAAATGGAAGACTGAGATGTATAATTTGGTACAACATGTGAAAAATGGCTGGATGTACAGTTGAGAGGATGCACTACAATCTCTGTCAAGAAAGGTGGCCTGCTTCCTCTGAGAAATCTTGACAATCCACCAGATACAGCCATTTATATTCAATCTGGCTGCCCTAAGGAGCCAGTAAGGATGTGAAATAATTGCTTCAAACCAGAAAGTTCTATCCACTTCCTTGAGTTCTATAAAATCAGAAGAATCTCAACCCTCTGCAATCCCATATATCTCCATTCTTCCATTCCAAGGATTCTTCATCAGTCCTCTCTAACTCTTACCAGGACTTTTCAACAATATTTTAAAATATCATGACTACAAGATTTGATAATCTCTGAATCAAGTGATTAAAAGAGTGGGATCCAGAAGTGCATGGAGCAGACTTCCATGATCTGGTAGCTATAATGAGTGCAGGGCAAGAAGTCATCTTCGTTTTTTTTTTAAAAAAAACCCTTTTAATAAAAAAAGATTGCAGTTAGCTACCCTGAATCAGGCTACATTCTGCTACTGAAGCTCTTTCCTTTGTAGACCGCCATGATCTAACTGCAACATATTTTCTAAGGTTCATTACCAAAGCAATGTTCCTCAACTGTTCTCACAGAAAGCATAGCTGTCCAGAGGAATATTCTCACCTGCTGTAAGCAGAGGATCAATGTTCTTGCACTTTGAATTTTGTTGTTGTTCCTTGTCCGGCTCAAAGTCTCTTTAATTATATCTCCAAAGTCATTATACGCCTGTCAAATGGAAAAGAGGAACATAGCTTTTTAGATCAAGGTACAATGTCAAAAAACCCTCAGAAATCAGAAGCTTTTAATAAAAAAGGATACTATTTAATTGATAGCTGTAAATAGGCAATATTAGAGGCACATAAAATGTTTCAAAACTGAAATACTCAAAACAAATTGTGCCCAGCGTAGCAGGAGTGTTTGACCTTTCTGAATTTGAAGTAGCTGTTTCAAAACAGGTGTTTTGAACTCAAAACTGGGTTGTTGCTTGTTGAGAACATTTGGTCTGAACAGTGTTGGAACATTTCCGATATGCCCAGAACAGCTGTCTCACATTTGAGGCAATGTTTCAAGCATGTAATGTTCTGGATACTATTAATATTTGTAGCACAATCTTCCCTATGACTAGATAAAAGTACACAGCAACATCCAAATTCATGGCTACAGTTTGGATAACCAACATTTTGCACCCAGATGTGTTGGATTTTAATTTTCTTCAAACCTTAAAAACACAGTTAGGGAGCTAGAAGTTATAGTTCAAAACATACAGAAGGTAGGCATATAATTGTCTACTCCTGATTTACAGCCTTCCAACCTTAGATTACTTTGCACGTAACTTTATTCTATTTGTGAAGTAGCTAATTTCTTTAATTCAAAATCAGATTCAATTAATTTTAATAGAACACATTTCAATAAAACATGCTTAGAAACATATTTAAAGCAACAAAAAACCCACAGAAGAGTAAACAAGAAAAAGCTGACAATGTTTGGATAATCACATAAAGATTAAAAAAATATTGCACTCAATTCTGTTGTACTGCAGATCTACAAGTTTTCCGTAGAAGTTATGATGAAGTCATGAACCGGTGCTATCGCCGCACAAAGGACACAGTTATATAATTTGCATGATTTACTTCAGAGTTCCCCAACCTTTCCAGTGGGGGAGGGGGGATGGTTCTGCATATACAGCCAGCAAGCACGTACGCACAGCTCCATTTGTGCGAGTGACATGCACATGTGCCCACCACTCACACAAATGGAGCATGTGTGCACGTGCTTGCCCGCTGCTCATGCAAATGGGGATGCATGCACCCGCCGATTCCACAGTCTGGTTGCACTTATTACTTTTGCCCCCCCCCTACCCCCTATTGTACAAAAACATATGTTTCCCTTTTCAAGCATTCATACTGGATATAAGAAACATGCTTTCCAATTAAAAACAATAGATTTCTAGGCTTTAATATGCCAAAGGTTTTCCAAAATACAGTATGCATGTGTTACTTCACAGAAATGGTTGCAATACATATAAACCACATCAGAAATTGCAAGATTTCTTTCCATGCAGATTTGTTTCAGAGTGAAACAACAAAAAAGTTCATGGATAAAGTAAACATTTATCCAGTTATCATAAATTGGTCTCTCATAAAATCTGTAGCCATCTGTTTATATTGTAACCCTGCATCAATGGAATAACATTCAAGTATTTACCAAAAAATCAGAGGTTAATTTTATAATGCTTGGAAGACATCAAGGGGAATATGCCATTACCTTCATATAATGCTTATAGATTTCAGCAGCAGCTGTTATCTCAACAACATTACAGATGATCAATTTGCAGTAAGCTGCAAGGAGGCATCGCTTTAAATGCAAAGCATCTAGCTTCTGGTTTTCCTTTACCTTCACATCACTTTCTCTCATATCTGTAGAGAGGAGTTTGATTAGGTTTCATTCTAAAATGATAATGAATGATATATTTAAAAAACAACAGAAACTCCAGTATTTCATCAGTTCTCTAAACCACCACAATCACATCACCTTAAATGTATTTCCAATAGAAGTGAATATATGCAGCTGAGGGTTGAACTGTGGAATCCTTAGTGTTCTCTGAACTTGATGGTTTGTTTGCAAATTGCATCAGTGTGTACTGATGATGTTACCTAGTCAGGTAATGAAATGTCCGTAAGCAAACAACCAAGCTCAGAAAGCACTAAAGACTCCACAGTATTTCTCTGCTTTTTAGATAAGAGACGTTCTTTGCAGACATCATAGTGTTAGTTTTTCACTTGCTATTATAAGTAGTTACTTATAATAGTAACTACTATCGAGTTACTACAATTGGGACTGGAATTTCAGTCCCTCAGTGGTGACTCATCACACAACCAGGCTTGATTTCACAACCATTTTACCATGGTTGTCAAGCAAATCACCATGAGTAAGCAAATCACATGGTCATTAAGTGAATCTGGCTTCCCCGACTGACTTTGTTTGTTGGAAGTTGGCTGGGAAGATCACAAACTGCAATCATGTGACTGTGAGATGCTGCAACCATCCTAAATCAGGGATGTTAAACTTGCGGCTCTTGGGCTGGATGCGTCACGTGCAGGCCACGCCCAGCATGTTAGAGAAGGGGAGGAAAGTTGCGATATATCACATGATGACAAGGTGACGAGGCAAGTTTGACACCCCTGTCCTAAATGAACTATAATGTTTTTGACTCATTTGTTTAATTGTGTTTTCTTCATCTAGTCTTAGGACTTGCGTGGCAAGAAGATCACATTTTATATAATATTTATGCATTAATATTTCAAAAGGATTCACAAACTTTTAAGCTCTGTTTTTACCAATCTATCTCGCTCTGTTTATCCTGAATGATGGAGTCCAAAGTGAAAGAAGCAAAATCAGCAGCAAAATGCATTTACTGAAAAATATTGCTGACCTTTGGTTTCTTCTTCTTCCTCTCCAAAAACATGATCCCGAATAAATAAGAGCATTTTTGTCTGAAGAGATGTACTGGGAAGGTATTCCAGTAACCCAGCAGCATCATTATTGCTTGAATCCTGATGACTTAGAATTAACAGTAGATCACACAGTATCATAAAAGCCTATAAGTACAAACATCAAAAATGACTTACACATCTTTTAAAAATATTCATCATAATATTATTCTGCCTTCCTTTTTCAACTAAGATGCAAAATGAACTAATTCTAAACTGAAATTGAAATTATAGGGATCACTGGTTTTTTAAGCAATGCATAATTTGTTTGAATTTATATTCAACATACTACAAATTTGCATAAATAACATCTATAATCAAAGTAATCTAATCAAAATACATATCACAGAACATTATCTAAAGATATTGCTGTTTAAAAGAGTACTGATATTTCCTTCAATTCTTCACTTCATAATGACTGTGGTTTTTCAGTTAAAAGCAAAGAAAAGTTAGGAAAGACTTTAAAAGCCAATAAATGACTGGTTCAGCCTAACAATTACAGAATAGTTCAGCTTTGTGTATATAAGACCTCCTTAGAAGTTTCATAAGGTTCCTTGGGAATAATGGTCTATTCAGAAATTACTATGCTCCTGGGTAGACCTGTACTCTTATTTAAATTATGGACATATCAGTTTTGCATAACTGATAAGTTATGCAAGTTATGCAACATATAAGTTTTGCATAACATCATCTTGATGTTCTTAGTTCAGTTTACTCAAATTATCTTGGACCCTCAGACTGATTTCTTAGATTATGACTTGATTTGTTATCTTGGTATGCATTTTGAGTGCCTTTTGGATTATCTCCTAATTATCTGGTTTTCTCTAGTTTTTTTTACTGAATTATCTGGCTGAATATTGATTCTAAGATAAATTGTAGCCCATCCCAACTATGCTTTCAACTCTGCTAAGCCCACTGGGCTGATATGGGACATCTTCCCAGTTTTCTAAAAACTTTAATATAGATTGAGATACCCCAAAACTAGGAGTGGGGACATTGTTTTTTAGGTATGTGAACTTAACCATACTGTCATTAATCCAGGGCATGCTACAAATTTTAAAAGAAACCATGTTTTTACAACAATTACCTTTTCACGTAAGTCTCTGTTATAGTGGCTGAGGTAGCTTGTGCAAATATTGCAGTATTGCCTCAAATGTGTCCTCAAAAGAAATATATTTTCCTTCAAAAAATAGAAACCAGAAGAATATTTTTATGTTGTTGTGGTTAAGTATTATTGTTATCATTATTATACGTGATACGTCATATTAGATGTGATGAATTTAGAAAAGGCTCAAGTTTTATTTGACTTTTCTTGGTGCGCAAAGCTGAAATCCAGGCATTGTTCCAGTAGATAATGACCAACATAGTTCAAAGAGGACACCTTGTCAAAGATTATTGCAAATAGGATATCTGGCTTTCCTTAAGTTAGGAGTACATGCTGCCTACAAGCTTGAGATTTCAACCTTACATTTATTGAAACCATGGGAATAAACAGGGTGGTTTGGGAGGACTGTTAAGATAGGAAATTTTCTCTTTACTTAGGAAACATCCTTCTTGCTTTCTACAAGGCTCAGATCTCCCAGACCTCACTCAAATTCTAAAATATCAATATAAGTCTCTCAAATGCCCCTGATAGTTTGATCCTAAATTTATTTGTAGTGAAATTACCAGAGCCAGATGACCCTCTCATCTTCAGTGATAAATTTTTGAAATGGTGAATCATTTTCAACCAAGCAAGTTAGTGGATTATATGGTTGCTTTTCACACCAGAAAATAACCATGGTGTCTTTTCCTCTTATATAGCAAAACCATGGAAGAAAAAGCTATTTTCTCAAGTACTATGTATTTCTTAAATCAAGAGGACTTATCTCCATGCAAGTAGGTTTAAATTTAAATGACTCTTGTTATCAGTTGTTTCCAAGACAACAAGATGTTCATTGACTATTTCAGTGACAATAGTAAGTACACTTTTCACTAAGAACAATCAGTTCAGTCTAATGGTTCTCACTTTTGAATACTTAAATGAACAGAAATGGAAATGTGAAATACACCATCAATCGGATGGAAGGCATTGTTAGACACTTTCGTCCTGCCAAGTGGTAACTTTTACCTGCATGAAATCTCATCATTACAGCAACTCATAATGGGAAGTGCTAACCAAAACCATTAACTAAATATTAGAATGCTGAGTTTGTTTCTGAAAGGAGAACTGAAACAATATCTAGAAATTCCCTTTGAACTATTCAATATTTCATCTTTGAATGTTACTGGGTTAAAAAAACTCAAACATATTTTTTTCAGATCATTAAAGGGTTGATATAGGTTATGAGAAATCGTAGGAAGAAATATGAGGCAGTCTCATTAATGTAATTTCCTCTTTATATTCTGAAAGTTTCATTCCAAAATTGTTTTGATTGGTACAAATATTCAACAACTTTTCTTCTTATCCTACATTTAATAATCTGTCACAAAATCCAGACTGCTCCACCATACTGTGGAACTAACCGGACAAGAAGTTCTACTTTACTTATTTTCCACAGAATTCCCTACACCCATTAACATACCTCCTCAGAAAATTAAAGTACCCTTGCTAAGAACCAGTAATTTATTTAAAATATCACAAACACTTGCAATATATTTAATTGTTTAAGATACAATCTCATAACAAGATACATGAAAGAAATTGTACAAATATAAAGCAAGGCTTTAACAGGATTTCCCTGCTCTTTCCATTATACATCTACAGACTGGATACCCCACCTATTGAGACATCCATGTTGCTAACTAAAGCAGTTTATAATAGTAAGAGCAAACAATAAATTAAGAAATTAATAATGTATATCCCAAAATTATATACTTTTTAAAAATACTTATACAGATTATATTAAAAAGCAAACCTGGCATGACTTTCCACAGCTTGCAGTCAATATACATACGATCAAAAAATACCATGATCTTATCAAGGTTACACTGATTTCATAATTCATAGGTTATCTATACCTAAACTTGTACTCCTCCAAATTAAGATCAGCCCTGATATTATACATTGAACATCATTCTATTGAATTAGCATGGAAAAAGTGAGATAATGTATATTTTATACAAAAATTGGTGATTGCAACGGCCTCCCGGAATACCGCCGGTCAGCTGTTCCAGGCTGTGGGGATTGCTGGCAACTATTGCTGCTGATCACCACCGCCGCCTATCACCACATCCACACAGCCCATTTTCACCCTCCGCGTGTCCCGTTTTCGGCCTCTATGCGCCCCATTTTTGACCTCCACACGTCCCATTTTCAGTCCATTCCAGGCGGTGGTGATCGCCCCCACCACTGCCTATCCCCACCACCTGTAAGGGACAAAAATGGGGCGTGCAGAGGCCGAAAATGGGGCAGATAGAGGCGGCGATGGGCAGTGGCAATCCCCGCACCTGAAACAGCTGATTGGTGGTATTCCGGGAGACAGATCCAACTGCCAATCAGCTGCTCATGCTAAATCAGGCTGTGCTGAACCTGACCAGGCTGTTTGTTGTTTGCTGCAAGGAGGCAAATTGCTGGGAGACAGAGGATGAAGGGTGGGGGCCAGTGGGTGGGCGGGGCTTCAGCAACATTCGCTCTATGAGAGTGCATCTTATACACCAAAAAATACAGTAGTTAATGTATATAAATCACATAATAATATTAACAGTTTACAATTTTGAGAGGCTGTATTACTAGCTGTCCAGGGTCATAGGTTGAACACCCCTGCTCTAAACTGACTAAGATAGATATGTAAAAAAAACCTTGGTAAGTATTTTCTAATCATTGTTATGAGCCTAACCTTGGAAGATGGAGACTCTGCCATTGAAGGGAGCTGCCAAAGTAGTGCAAAATAAGCACACTGTAAAGAAGGCAAAAGAATCTGCAAAAGAAACAAGCAAGCAAAAGCATGATCATAATTTAAATATGTCCTATTTAGAGCCCACAAAAACCTGTATTATGATAAATCTAATGTTTTAGCTGCAACGGATTACCATGAATAATACCAGCTGAATCACTGATTTAAGAATTTGTTTTGCCAAATTAATTAATTTCATATCAGCTGAAATTCAGTCTAATAAAATGCAAAATTAGGGATGTTCAAATTTAACAAGGATGTTCAAAGAAATATATTTGGGAGGGAATTCAATGCTCAGTTAAAATTACCTGAACAGGTAAAGGTCTCTGTTCCAACTCAGAAACAAGTAGTTTATACATCTTGTCATACAGGTTCCATTTGGTGAGATCATGGGCACTACATAATCCAGAAAGAAATAAAACGTAAACCCAAATACTTTCAAAGAGTCTTAACAACTTCATTTTTAATATTATGTTCCTACTGACATGTCTGTTCTACATTCACTTAATTTTATCTACAAAAACTCTCCGGAATCTCCCAGGCTAGCAATATTGAAAACACAATATAGATTAAATTAGCTTTTTTTAAAAAAAAGAAATTATTTGTCTCAGGGGAGTAAATGGAAGTGATTTATTTAATCAGCGCCATTTATAGAAAACCAAGATCTCTTAATTTCAACCAATTACATATAAGTATTTGATTTAACTTCTGCTAAAATATTTTTGTTACCAAAATTTTGTATTAGAATAAATTAAGGTATTGTGTTGAGATCATCTAGCATACCATCTAGGAACTGAAAGGCTCAACAGGACATTTTTTAAGAAATTAAATTTATCCAAAGAACAAATATAAGCACTCATAATTTAATGTATGGATGGGGCACAGAATTTTGAAACCTTTGTCATTTTTCACATAAACTCTTTGCATATTGAAAAACAATTTTAATTCTAACACCGACATTCAAACCAGGGAGCTGCACTCTCTCCTCTCTCCTTGTGTTTTGTCTATGGATCACTGATAGCATGTTAAGAGATCACCAAAGAAGAGGGGGCAAAATGTTTGGCCCAGTTTTCCAGTGCACTGAAAGGGAGAAAATGGATTCCATGTCTCAGAAGGCTCAAGCCAAAAAATAAGCCAAGCAGACAATGAAAAGGAACATATGACAAATTTACAGAAGAAAAGCTTTTAATGAAAACTTTTCATTAGCCTCCACTCCTTAGCCTGAATTTCAACATATGGTATGACAATTTAGCCTTAGAAACCAAAGCTCTCTAGTGACAGCAAATCACACTTGAGCTATTCTCAAGTACCCCATTAGTCTTAAAGAATTCTTCCCCACAGCACTGTGCATTTTCTTCTTTCAGCCTTTTGATACTTATTTCTGGCTCACCATACTCCTATGGACATAGGGATTATGCCCCAAAATCTAGGCTGCTATATGAGATTCCAGGCTTGACAGGTTGGTTGTTCCCCAATAACTTCATGGGGCCTTATATTTTAATGGTTTTCCAAGTCAGAAGGCAAGGCAAAGTACTAAAGTTATTTTAAGGGTTGTAATGGGTTTTAAACATTCATTTTCTTCCACACCATTACACCCTTCCAATTCAAAACCAAAAGGGGGGAAGGAGACTGAAATTTTTCATCCTTGTTCATTCCAGAGGGGAGTCTGTGATCTGTAAATGAGAGAGGGAATTCAGATCACTAGTTACAACTTGGTTCCTTCTCTTGGATTGTGCAGGCAAAGCACCTAATTCTAACTATACTTGGTTACACAGAGTCAAAATGTGAAATGAGCAATTGGAATAAAAAAAATTCTCACTTATGAAAAGCAGCTATTTGTCTCAAAGAGGAGGTCAGATGCTGAATTCCTTCTTCTTCTGCAGAAACACCATCTTCCTAGGATCATATGCAGAAAAGACAGAAAAGGCTGAGCTGTGCTTGAATTGCCTGTGCTCATTGGAAGCTTGCCATAAATGTCTTTCTATTGCTTGCAGCTATTTACATTTGAACAAAATGTTAAAAATCCTAAGAGGTGAAAGGGACTAGCTGTATCCCTGTCTCCTCTTCTCTCACACACCCATATCCATTGTCCATGGTCCACGCTCCAGACAGGAAACCAAAACCATGTGTAGTAACAACTTATTGGTTGGTTACAGTACCAGAAACTTGCAAGTCTGAAACACCTTCCCCACCCACCCCTGCCCTTACTGTCCAGAGAACTAGGGAGTTTCCTTCTGAAACCCTTTTTCCACTCCCACACCTCCTCTGGGCTGATTTTGTTTATCAGTCCATTGTCTAGGCCAGGGGGTCTCCAACCTTGGAAACTTTAAAACTTGTGAAGAGTTGAAGTCCCAGAGTTGAAGTCCACAAGTCTTAAAGTTGCCAAGGTTGGAGAGCCCTGGTCTAGGCTATACCTCTTTCTCCTGTCTCCCAAGGACATTCTCACAACCCATTACAAATAATTATTGTTTCTTTGGTCCAATATGTGGTTCAGCTCTTAATACCTCTTTAAAGGTTGCCACCTCTAAAGCCCTATAAGGCTTGGGGACTGGATTATTTGAAGGATCTTCTTTTCCCAGTCACATCTACCTGACCCACCAGAGCAAGGAAGCAGGGAATGCTATAGGTCTCCTTTCCTAAGAAGGTACATCTAATGGGACCAAAAAGAAGGGCCTTCTCTGTGAGGGCTCCTTCCCTATTATCCTCGTGAAGATATATGATTAACCCTCATGCTGACACTCTTTCACAAAAGGCCCTGAAGACCTAGTTTTGCCAACAGCTCTAGGAAACCCAGAGTGGGATGGAACCTATCAAATGGCTTTTTGATTCTATTGTTCTCACCAGGGGGTGGGGTTTTTGCTTTTTATTGTTTTTTATATTGGGTTTTTATCTGTGTAAGACTCGGGGAATCACTGAAAGTGATTTGGGCAGCCAATACATTTTGTTAAATAAATAAACATCCACTAACAGATAAGCAGTCCTCTTGCAGTAGCACTAGGAAACCTACTGTCAAATCCTACAGAAATCCCTCCTACATGGTTTCCATCCTAGACAGCTGATGGTTTGTTAAGATATGAGATACCCCCGATTAAGAGGATATTAAATCCCAAGACAGGTAGTGCTTCCTTTCCTCTCCCTGTTATCACCTGAATGGCATGAATGCCCTTGGGAGATCTGTATTCAAGAACTACAATACATCCAGGAAAAGAATAGAATTATGCATCAATAAAATAAAATAAATGATCTTCCTTCCCTTTGGGGAGACCATTCATTTGAGGAGGCAGTTTTATATATTTTGGCTGATTAATCACATTGGTCAAAATGTGTGCGTCTGTTATGTTTTTAGTCATACAAATTACTCCTAAAACACTTTTTTAGAGGAGAGACTGGTTACACTCGGGCTGCACAGAAAGAAGCCTTTGAATTCCATTGCTCTAAAATTACAGACATACATAGAATTTTAAAGATCATGAAAAGTGCAGTAGTTATCAACTATAAAATAGCTTAATGAACAAGGCAATTTTATTAAAGTGTTCTTTTCTTGCAGTCTTAGAAAGCAATGTCCAACTGCTATCTAATTTTCACAACTAAAATTGAATTCCTTTATTTTTTCCCATTCTGTTTCTGCCCTTGGTTCCCGAAGCTGACATATGTGGACATGCTAGATCTTTTTAAGAAAAATGCCCTCACTAGCAAGATGCAGCAAATTTGAAGAACTAGAAGTTAAAATTAAACAAATTTAGTTAATTCTCCTAATCTTCAAATTATTTATAAAGCCTTTATCTGTGTTTTCATTGTTAACTACAATTCCAAAATGATTATGTAATCAAATGATAGAAACTAAGATGTACAATGCAAAAGTCTGCTGACCTCACTGAATAAACTGCAAGGCTAATGCAAAATTTATTATTCTTTATTATCCACAGCCAAAATAAATATGGTGTCTGATTCTGCCTAATACATATTTTTTTAAAAGCTATCAGGATGAACTCTTACCCAGTGGAATGACATCTGTTAGTCATGGCACAGTTGATCAACTGTTGTTGAACTGAGTCTGCAAGCTATTCATATTTCCAACAGCTGCTCTTATATTCTTAGAACTAACTAAAACCTTTTCAAGTATTTTTGCAGTCCCCTCCTCCAACATATGCACAGAAATGGAAATGCAAAAGCCGTATTTAGCATTTAAAACATCTTTCAAATATTTTCAACCAGCAATTTACACGTACAACAAAACCAATGCAAAAGAATGTTCTTATAAGCCACAATATGAAACAGGATCTGTTTTATTTCCAAATTAATTCCTCTTTTAATCTTTTCTGGGTAGATCTCAGTAGGCAATCAACAAAATACAGGGTTTTAAATAATCCAGTAATAAAATATAACTTCTTCAAAATGAAATAAATGTAACTCTGTTCTTCTATTTTATTCTTATTTTTAGCACCAAGGGGAAGAAGTGGTGCATTAGGGTTTTAGCTGATTTAATGTGCTTTCACACTATTGTATGTACTTTATATTTTTATAATATGCTTTTATTTTGTTATGTAACACTGAACTATTTCTTTCAAGAAAGGAGGAGTAGGAAAGTCTTAAATAATACCTTTTTTTTAATGTAAATTCTGGCAAGAACATTCACACTCCAAAGAAGCATATTAAATTCTAACATTTTTTTTTCTACTGAAATATGTAATGCATTAGTCCTGTAGCAAGTGTGCTGACATGTGCCTGAACTATCTATTATATACATAACTGGTTTAGGGTCGTCTATGCCCAAATCAAAATATGTGTTTTAATAATTTCAGGAAGGAAAGAGGACTATTTTGTGGTTTGTGGAGAAAAGTGGGAAGACGCACTTGAAGTTTGTAAAAGGGGGAAGGGGAGGATCTATGAAGGAGTGCAGGGATGCAAATGAGACATGTCACACTGGGACATTGACCTAGAACAGTGATGCTAACCTTTTCCAGACTGAGTGCCCAAAGTGTGCACGGTCCCAAAATGCAATGCGTACATGGGCCCCGCGCATACGCCCTGCCACCTGTTGATGCATGTGTGCCCCTGCACGCCCCCTGCCCCTCGCGTATGCATGCAGGGCCCCCCACATGTGCCCTGCCTCCCGCACATGTGCAGCAGAGACCCAACAACTAGCTGGCCAGCGAAAGGCATGTGTGCATGCGCGGCAGAGCTGAACTGGGGTGACGGCTTGCATGCCCACAGAGAGGGTGCTGTGTGCCACCTGTGGCATGCGTGCCATAGGTTCGCCATCACGGCGAGCACCTTAGAAGCATCTCAAGGAAGGCCCTAGGAAGACTAGCTGGGAGTGTTAGCAGGATATGCAACGTTCAGATTAGCTGAAGAGAGATTAAAAAAAACCTGTCCAATCTTTGCTCTAGTTGCTCCATAAAAGGGCTAAATTCAGATCATTCCAGGTTTTATTTCTGCCAAATCACAGCTAATCCAAAATTGTCTGATATAACTTTCAGAATGTAATAGGTTATTCTTATGTTGAAACAAAACCTTTTCTGTACAATATACAGGATTCCTGTACATCCCTACAGGATTGTAATACATTTTTTAAAAGAAACAAAATACTAATACTAAATCTTCAATGACTTCATACATGATCAGTCTCCAATATTTTTACACAGGAATTCCACAATGATACACATTTTCATTTTATCACATGAACTACAGACTTGCCTTAACATGTACAAAACAGATATCTTTACTAATTCAGAGGTAGCAATAATGCAAGTAGCTAATTCCTTCATGGGTTGTCTGAGTTATCCTCAGGGAGGGACAGGAACAAATAAACTACAGAAGAGACAAGAATCTCAGTATTGTGACTGGCAAACAATCATATGTACAAAACATCAGATAACCTTCACTTCCTATTGACATATAGGGAGTGCAGTGACTCAGAAGTTAAAGACGCTGTGTTTGTCAGCTGGAAAGTTGAGAGCCCAGGTCCAAGCGCCACGCAATGGGGTGAGTTCCCATTCTTGCTCCAGCTCCTGCCCACCTAGCAGTTCGAAAGCATGCAAATGGGAGTAGATAAATAAGTACCACTTCAGTGGGAATGTAACAGCATTCCATGTGCCTCGTTGTCTAATCATGCTGGCCAGATGACTATGGAAATTTCTTCAGACAATATTGGCTCTCTTGGCTAAGAAACAGAGATGAACACCACCCCCTAGAGTTGGACACGACTTTTACCTATTGACATAATTTAATAATTTTTTCCTAGTTTATAAATTAATTATATATGAAGATGGCACTTGCTTTTATGCCTTAGTTCTCTCCAATATAAAAAGTGTAACATTTTACCAAAAAAACCCCACTATTTTGTTCCAGATATCTAATTTTTGTTTCTGATTAAATACAAAGTTCATATTTACCTTATGCCAAAAAATGCCTAGTAGTTGATCTAGTTTCTCCACCAATTCATTCATCAGTTCAGCTCTAGCAAAAGCCACTTGGTTATGAATGGTAAGTTCTTCTCTGGAAAGAATACTGTATACCCTGGAGCAGGTCTCTAAGATATTAGTGTTGGAGTGTATCATTACAATGGCTTTTACCTCTCTCAATAAAGCATCGAGGTTCTACAAGAAAAGGAATTATTAATATTCTAAACAATAGTAGATTACTTAAACCAGTGTAGTCCACAATAGTATTGAATTTAGTTTGAATTTAGGAGCATATTTGTTTAGCCATAAATGCACTATAAGCTTCAAACAGTATAAAATAAGAAATATAAGAGCTAATTCACAATTCAGTTTATCATCAAACCTTGCAGAGCATCTAGCATGGTTAGATGTGCAGAAATAAAAGGTGAATAATCAAGAAGATTCCATATTTTCAGTCTGAAAAATTACCCTTCAAATTATTTCAAGTAAAAACGCTTTTGCGGCAAAGGCCATGTTTTCTGACCAGGTCCAGGGCATCACTTCAATTTTTAAGCAGGGTGATGAAAACAAACATAATAATGTCATTTTTTTCAGTACTAAAAATGAATCGATCAATGAATGACATTTTTTTTCACCACATTTCTCACAAATTGTCTATCTTTCATAAAAGTGAATTCACCTTATTGAATGGACCAATACTGTACCGCTCTAAATCAAAATACTGTGAGATCTGCAGAAGGTTTGTCACTTTTTCTGTATCTAGTGAATACTGCAAAGGAAAACAGGATATTAGTGTGCTGCTGAAATTCAAATTAGTTATTGAATATGCATTCACAAGCGCAGCTGCACATTACCTTTGCCAAGAGTCGAGGAAGCACCACAATAAAGTGTTCAGTAATTTTAGCACAATCTTCCATTTGTATTTTCTTCTCTTTGGTAGACAAGATCTATAAACAAAGCACTTTGTTGTAATTATAATCATGCCACTGTTCATGATTGAAATGAGCTGCCTGATTCAAATTCTGTGTGGCGAATTACTAGGTATGAAAGTATCAAACCGCTTGAATTCTGTGGCTAATTTATTTAAAAATGTTATCTTTTTTTTTTGAGCATGGCTACGTACTGAAAGGAAAGTTAGCCACTTTGAATCCTTTTTCTATTCTAAGATATATCCATGTTTGAGCAAGGGAATAGAGAACACAGATAAAGAAACCTCTAGGCATTCCAAACATATCAGCGGCTTAGAAAGAGTTCAGCACTTCTAGGTTCTAAGAACAAGCTGTGCATATCTCACAACTCTTTCAATAGCAACAAGTTGGTACTCTTTAAGATCATGGCTAAATAAACTGTCCCAACAGCAAAATAGAACTGCTTTGAACTTGTAGTTAATAAACAAATCTTAGAAGGTCAGAGTGATTTGCAGTTGCAACATGATCATGGTTTGTTTCCTGTTTTAACATATGCACTTAAACTCGCATATTATTCCAAACATAACAATAAATTGTGATTTCATCCAGTTGGGAAGCATTCCATTAAGTTCAAAGGGGGGAGGGAACCTATAAATATAGGAAATGTTCCTAATCCCCTAAAATATCCTTCCCAACTTAGTGCCTTTAAGTGGTGTTGACAACATTCCCAGCCAATAAGATTTATTTTCTCTCAAAAAATAATAGTTTCTTTTTCATTTTTTAAAATCTGTTGTTCTCCAGGAAAGATTTTAAAATCTAAACAATATTTTTTTTAAAAGTTCAAAAAGCTAATGTCATTCATATATTATACATATAATTACAAATAATTGCCATTATTTAATGATTAAGATAACTCTCATCAATCAACAAACCAAACTGATTACACTGAAATATTTTTCCTCAACTTAAGCCTGGTCATAAATATTTTTAAGATTTTAGAGTACCCTTGCCTTTTATAACTTGTGTAAAAAATGATGCATATGATTTTGGACCTGCTCACTTCTGAAAACATAATCCATGCATTTTTTAAAGATGCATGAAATACATATAGTGCTGCTCATTTATTTGTACAATGTATGGGTTGCCTGACTCTCACCAAACCAAGTAGCTATCCAATAGGGGTTCAATCATCACTCTGCCCAGAGCCTGGGAGAACACCAGGTCATTAATAGTTTACTGAACATCATCAGGGAGAGATCTCTGGAGGGATATCATAACAAAGGCCAGGTACCAGGACAGTGAAGGTACCCTTCCTGGCTCTGACAAGTTGACACTCTTAATGGATGGGATCCAAAGCATGTCCATTCTTTCTGTTCTCACCAGATGAACAGAGACATCCAGTCCCTCATGCATAAAAGCCCTATGCCCTAAATAGCTTTATAGGTAATAACCAGCACCTCAAATTTCATGTGGGAAAACTGGTAATCAGTGCAGCTTGTAGAGTCTTGATGCCACACAGTTCTAACTAGACATGTCCAACACACAACTGTATTATGGGCCAGCTATAGCTTCCAAATAGTCTTCAAGGTCATCCCCATGTAGACTGCATTACAATAATCCATCTGTGAGATGAGTAGAGAGTGAGACTGACTGAAGGGGTATCCTAGTCCCTGAAAGAATACAACTGGTACGCAATATATCTGAGCAAAAAGTCTCTTGGCCACAACAGGCACCTGCTCTTTGAGTAGGAGCTGTAAATCCAAGTCAACTGTCAAGTTATGCACCAGTCTTGAATAAGGAATGCATTCCCTATTCCCACAAATTCTTTGGATAATACACAGCCCTTTGAGTAAGCATTTAAGATTGCTTCTTTTTCTCAACTACAAAGTGAAAGGGCTCTACAATAATCCTGATATGGTATTGGTCATGATTTTGGATGACCTCTACTGTGGGCAGAATGAGGCTGGGGCATCAAGCCTTGATCTACCTCTTGGCGGCTTTTGATACCATCGACTTTGGTATTCTTCTGGATCAGCTCCGATGGGGAGTAACAAGCCCACTGGTTCCAGGACTATGCCAATTTTATTGCTGGGTGGGGCTACTCTGCCCCAGACAGCGCCAATGCACAATCTGGGAGTTGTTCTAGCCTTATAATTCCTGCTCGATGAAAAGCTGGCAATTGTGATTTCGAGGGCCTTTGCGTCTTATGCACCAGTTCTGCCTATTTCTGATCAGTAGCCCTGCTTGCATTCACTTATGCCCTAGTCACCTCCAGGTTGAATTACTGCACTGTGCTTTATATGGGGCTACCCCTGAAAAATATCCAGATGCTTTAGAACATAGAGGGTGGGCAATTATGTGTGCTCCTAGACCAGTGCATGTCACCTCTGATCTATGAGACTTCTGGGTCCAACTCAATGTGCTGGTTTTATCTTTATCTTTTATCTTTATCTTTTATTTGATTTATATACCGCCCTACTCCCGAAGGACTCAGGGTGGTGAACAGCCAACAATAAAATACATATATACAAAATTTAAAAAGCAGAGATAAAATCAAATTAAACAGTTTGGCCCAGACAAATTTAAAACCCCAATCAATTTAAAACAAATTTAAACTTTGAATATTAAAAATACTAAAAAATATTAAAAATTAAAAATGTTTAAAAAGAGGGAGAAAGTTAGGCCAGGCCCGCCTGGTGAAATAAAAAGGTCTTTAGAGTGCAGCAGAAGGTGTGCAGATCCGGGATCCTCCGTATCTCCGGGGGGAGCTCGTTCCAGATAGTAGGTGCCCCCAGAGAAGGCTCTCCCCCTGGGCGCCGTCAGTCGACATTGTTTGGCCGATGGCACCCGGAGGAGCCCCTCTTCTATGAGAGCGTACCGGCCGGTGGGAGGCTATTGGTGGTAGTAGGCAGTCCCGCTAGTACCCAGGTTTTAATCTTTAAAGTCCTTCATGGCATGGGATTGAGTTATCTGAGGAACTGCCTCTACTTGGTTATATCAGTCTGTATCATCAGATCTGAGACACAACAAGTTGCAAGTTCCATCAGCTAGGAATCTACATTTGGTGGGTCCTAGAAAATGTGCCTTGTGTGCCGTGCCATCTGCCTGATGGAACACACTTTCCCCCAAAATTAGATTAGCTCCACCCCTTTTGATAGGGTACCAGAGACTTGCTGAGATGGCTATATTGTTGAGATGGCCATTTTATCTCTCTCATTGCCCAGGATTTGCATCTTTGGTTTTTATGATATTTATTAATATGAATTTTTATATTTTATAGGTGTGGTTTTTTACATTGTTATTTTGTCTCACTGTAATGCACAACCTAGGGTCTCTTTTGGTGAGATGGGCTGCTATATAAATTTGATTAATAGAGAAATACTAAGGTTCTGTGGGAGTAACTATGGTTTTCTTCCCTGCATTGGAAAGATAAGGTATCACATTTGCTCTCCACCCACCATCTGGTTCTATCATTGCAGAGAAATGGGTTGCTGCAACTATTTAAGTGCAACATAAAGCAGAAGGTTTTTCCTAATAACAAAGTAAAAAAATAAAGCTTTACTGACTTTCCTGATTCCTCCCCTGCCTGTGGGAGGACCTTCAACAGCTTGTCGAACAGTCGCTAAGATTATTTCAATGAGGGCAGTCTCCTGGACATCACTCAGTGCTGTAAACAAAACAATGGAGAATCTGTTTAGTCTCCCACAGAAAGAAGAAGAGTTCTGAGAATCTGGAAGCCCACAGTAACTTTAGATATTAAATCTAGGAATGTTTTAATGTAACTAAAAGACATTCTCTAAGTCTATAATGTAGTCTTATTATAGTCCACAGACTATAATAAGAGACAAAGATCTAAGGGGATCAATGAATGCTAAAAAAAAAAAAGATCAAATAAGTAAGATAGATAAAGCTAATAATCATTTATATGTCCTATGTGAACATACATGTTTTGTAGTTCAGGGTAAGTCTTAAAGCCTTAATCTGCTTCACTACATTTTATTAAATTAAAATACATATACACTATTGTGTCACAAATAATGGTATATAACACACTAAGTCAAACAAATCCTCTTACTGCTTTCCAAAATTAATGAACCAGTAACGTGCTGCATTCTCTGCTCTGACATAAAACAGAAGTCAGATTGGCTAAACCGCTCAGCCAAATTCTAAGTGGAGGTCTTCAGAGCACACAGCTTTTTAAACTAGTGTCTCTTTATGACAAAGATTTCCTGCTCCTGAAATTCTCATATCCAACCTGGGCTCATATCGCTGATACTCTGGGTTGCCCTTTCAAAGCCAGCAATGAAAGCACTAAGCTTTACAGCCCACTTACCTCTTTCATATTCTCTGGCATCCTCCAGTAAGAGAGCTGTCATGCATTCCCAATTTTTCAATAAACTCACAGCCCAATCCCACAGGCTGTCTATAAGATATGTGACGTGGTTATGAAGCTAAAAAATAAAAGAAATATTCCAAAAGGACAAGCTACCATTATGATCCTAGGAAGCAGTAAGATCAAGCAGAATCCTGCATGTTTTCAATATCTCCTCAAAAGTAGAAACTCCCATGACACCAATATTTGATCTATAAACATATTTTCTCTTTAGCTCTGGGAATATCCCTTCTATGATTGTAGCTTGTCATATTACTTAGCAGTTAAAAATGTACAACAACAATGGTAAACAATAAGAAATGCTTCTTTGGTCACTTTAAACATTCATCATTTCAGGACCAGTGATTAGAATACATTCAGAAAGAAGCATATTTTCCCAATGTATAAACAAGCCTAACTTTGAGCAGGTCTTAAAATAGCCATACCCACATTAAAATTGTAGACATTTATGTTCAACAGGAGCTTAACTTAATAACAGTGAAACAACTCATGTGACAAGTTAGTTGTCTGAATACATTATAATTTATCACATTCCTTAACAAAGAAAATGAACTGCCTTGGCTGTTTAGAAAATGTATATGTTGAAAAGTTAGCCTTTCAACAGTTTCAATAAATGATGTAATCAAGTGTTTATTATTAACTCAATCTTTTCCCTTCATTTCTTCAGGCATATTTCTCAAAACAAATTATAATTCATTGTATTCTTCAAATCTTCCACTATAACTACAATTATCCGAAACTCGCAATAACAATATGAGACAATACTTTCTAACACACTTTATTTAATAGCAAATAACTCAGTTAATATTTGCTGACTCTCAAACCTTCACATTTGCCCCTTAAATGTATTAGTTGTCTTTATTCAGCTGTTTCTCCTTTGTAGTCAATGCAGACAATTTTACCTCACTTTCCAAGAAAAAAACTACTAGTGTTTTCAGCTGGCTAGTAATAAGTTCCTGGTTTCCATTTGTTTTGGTGAATGATTCTGTCTCAATTTCCTGGATAATCAATCTGTCAACGAAACAAGGAGTAGATCAAAAGCAACTCCCAAATTCTGATTTACAGCAAGCAACTTCAATCAATGTTACTTCCAGTAGGTGGGTTTAAGATTGTAATAAAAACTTCCAATATTTCAATCTTAAAAGAAAAGTATTACTCGGGATCTTAGAGATAGTCTTGAAAACATGAGGGCAATGTCATGCATGCTTTCAGTCTTCCTTCTCTACAAATTGCTCTCTTTGGTTGAGTACAAATCTTAAATATTCTATTTCATTTCACCAGTGCAGGATTCATATAATAGGCAAGCTGAGGAGTACGGTGAACTATTCCAATACTGTAATGAAGCAGAACTTTGTTTGCTAAGAAAAATCTTGCCTTGCAATATTTTCAATTAAAGGAATGGTATAAATTCAGCATCATACAAATGGACTATATTTTTTTCTAGGGCTGTGCACACTTTGAAAATGATTCAGAAGTGCTTCAAATTTGATGTGAACACCACACTTCTTTTCATCAAAAGAAGTGCTGTTTTAGTTAGAGGCAATAAATTCATTGTAGTTCAAAAAGAATCTACAACATTCACAAACGGTCTATAACACTTCTTTTAAATTAATATTTGTACAGTCCTTTTCCTTATTGTGTTACCAAGAGCAGTTACAAAGTTCTGCCTGGGTAAACTGAATTTTCATGGCTGAAGGAAACAGGGGTGTTTTATCCCATTTTCACACTGATAATCCTAGTTACTTTATTAGTAGTGGAATGTGGAAGAAAAATCCTTTGCGATTAATCACAAAGTATAAATCTTTCACAACAAGTTGTCAAGCAAATGTAGCCTATTGAAAAAAAATTGCACAACCAACACCCCAGATAAAGAGAGGTGGATGCAACATATTTGGTCCTTGTGAGGCTATCCCTGAGTCATATCGCATTGTAGCCATGACTTCAGTCATTGATCTTAGCAAAACATTTTTCTTTTATTTTCATTGTTGCATCTATTGAATGTTAGTAACTAGCCTACTGGTTCTTTTGGTGAAATATATAAAGATTTTAGTTCTGTTTGTTTGCTATTTTTTTAAATAAAAAAATGTTTTATTTATATAACATGTAAAAATTCAATTTCAATCAAACAGTGTGTTGTCAATTATTTTTACAATTATTTACAAGTACAATTATTTTTAGGAAATCATAATCAAAATGTTTACAATAATATTTATCACAATATTAATTCTATAATAATGATAATATTTTACTTGTCTACTTTAACAAATCTCTTTATAACATTAGTCCTTTCTATATCCCCATATTTCTAACTTCTGTTTTTATTATCTAACCATTGGTAAAATAAGTCCCATATCAAGAATATTCAGTTCCTTCTTTTTCCTTAATTGTAAGCATTTATCTGTCAATTTTCGCACATTCTAATGTTTTTTTGAATACATTTTTTGTTTTCTATTTTTGATGTAGCTATAGCTCTATTTTTCTCACATCTTATGGATGAGGCGTAAGATAGCCTTGGAGCATCTTTCATACATAGAAGGAAAGAACATGTCAACATTCAACATCCCTGCTTTTAATGAGACAAATCTCTCAACATTAGCAGCATACATGGATTAAATGTTTTATCAGGGCAACCTGGCCTACCTAAATATGGGATGAAGCATACTGTGGAAAGCGGAAGCAGTATGCTCCTTCCCATATTTGGGTAGACCAGGTTGCCCTGATAAAAAATACTTAATCTCTCCCCTGATATAGCCGACAAAGCTAGGAGAGCCTGTGGCTTAGAGGTTAATACATCTACCTAATATGTAAGCAGCCCAGGTTCAAATCCCAGAAGGATATGGCTAGCTGAAATAGCTCAGAATAGATCTACAGTAGTCTCCCCTTATTTCTTTGTCAGTAAATATAAATTTAACACACCATACATGGATGTCAAAATTAATTAGGTGTCCACAGAACTATGGCTTGCTTCAGTACACTGCTCCTCATCCCTTCATTCTCCCTCCAGAGCAAGATATGAAGATTAGTTTACATTGTGCCAGTACCAATGCAAGTACTAAAGAAAATATACATAAAATATCACTAAAATTGGTTGGATGAATATATATTGAGACATTCTATTTTATTAGACTACTGATGTGATTCTTGCATTAGTTCATAAATGTATTTGTAGAAACAGTTATCAATCTCAAATACAAAAAGATGAATGATAAAAATCAGTTAGAAAAGAACAGAATTACTGTAAGAAAAAAGCCATGGCACTTTGCTTAAAGAGAACATGAAAGTAGTTTTGAAATTCCATCAAAAATAAAAAGAAAAACAAAAAGGATTGCGGCGAGACCAACTGGAAAAATAGCAGCCTCCGACAAGCTCCCTGAAAATCCAACTGGACAAACCGCTGTCGGGGGGGGGTCTTCGGAACAGAACCATCCTGTAGGGACGGTGAAGAAGGAGAGGTGCCTCGGACGACCAAAAGGAACAGGCAAGTTCCTCGAAAAGTCGGAGGTTGCTCTTCGAACCAGCAGCGGGGATGGCGGCCATTGAGAAATGACCGCTCTGAAGCTGGGGCAACTGGACTAAGTTTTTTGTGAAGGAGCGGTGTCTGAATGGAGTGTTGGTACCGGGTGAGTGATTGACCAACTAAAAAAGAAATTTTTTAATAACTTTAAAAGATGTCAGGAAGCGGAAATGAGTGGTTAATTGGCACTTGGGAAAGTTAATGGAGGGAGAAGAACGAAGAGGAGGTTAAAATATGAAAGCCCAAGAAAGAAAATTTTACAACTGGATTTAAAATTGGATCTGGAGAAATTAAAAATAATACAAGAAAAAGAAACCTGAGAGAAAGTACTCTTTATGTGGATTTAAAATATTTTTGACAGCTTTGACATTTGAAGGAGAAGAACAAAGAGGAAGTTAAAAAAACCAAAGGCCAAGAAAGAAAATTTTATAAGTGGATTTAAAACTGAATTTGGAGAAACTAAAAATAATAAAAGAAAAAGAAACCCGAGGAAAAGTACTCTTTATGTGGATGTAAAATATTTTTGACAGCTTTGATACTTAGTTGGTCTGAGAATATTGTGGATTTGAGAGTGACATCTGCTGGCATAAAGAGAGTACTGCAATAGTGGTTGGAAGATAGAAGAGAAAATAACAACTGTGACGTTGACCAATAAAAGATAATTCAGAAACTGTGAGAATTTTTAAGGAGTATCTGTTTTTCTGAACTGCTTGGTTTCGACTCTCAACGGTTGTGGAAGATAACAAAACTTTAACTTGGAGTGGATTGGATAAATATTTGAATTGGATACTATTTGGAATTAAAAAGACACTATATGGAGTTTAAAACTTCAATTAAATAGAAATTAAAAGTTTTAACAATTTGTTAAATTGACAACATGGAGTCTTGGATGTGTGAGGAATTAATTGAGATATTTAAAAACATGTGTGAATCACTAAATGGTAATAAAAACTCAGAAATTTTGCTGGAACACACAGAATAGGAAAAAGAGAGCATAAATGAGAAGCAAGAAAATAATATTGAAGGAAAAGGAATTGAATGCCAAAAGCAGTTAGATGATTTCACTGGGATTAACAGAAAAAAGAAAAACAGGAAAAACAGGGGAAAAAAAGAGTGGGGGAATATTCCCCCAAAAAGAATCAATCGAAGGGAAAAGAAGGAAAGCGTGGAAAGAGATTAGTAGAAAGCCTGGGGAGAATTAATCGAGTAATACATTTCAAAGTGAGAAAAAGGATTCAGGAGAAAAGATATAATAAATGCAACAATAAAAAAAGAAGTTAAAAGAATGGAATAAAAGGAGGAAATTATTAAGAAGTGAAATTTTGGAGACACCAAGAGAAAATGATTAAAAGAATATTGGAAAGGAGGAAGGGAAATAAGGTATATATTAGTAGATTTAAGGGAACTGTATCAATCTTATTAATTGTGGATGGTCAATTAAATTAAAGGGTTTTAATGTAAGAAGTGAATATGATGATGTATATTGCGAATAGCAAAACAGAATAGCAGATGAAATTTTAAATGGCAATTGAGTTTAATTATGAAGACAAGTTAAATTAAGAGACAAAACTGAAATGTTAAAAAGTGGGATAGAGATTTCGAGAAATATATTCTGCAAATGGAGAAATAAGATAATTAATTGATGTTATTGTAAGAAATTATGAATTAATTGGCAGATATTGTTTATGTATTATGTATTAAGAAGAGATTAAGATAAGATAAAGAAATATGGAAAAAGAATATTATGGCCAAAATTGGAAATATGTAGAATGTACTTGTGGGGTGGGGGTGGGGAAGAGATGAAATTTTATTTATTTCTTTATTTATTTACAAATATTTATATGCCGCCCTTCCCCCAAAGAACTCGGGGCGGCGAACACAAGTTAAAAACGTACAATAATAAAGAAAAATCTTGATTAAAAACCAATTAAAACAGGGACAAATAAATAATAAAACCCAAGAATCAGAATCAGCCCATTTGTTGAAACAGCCAAGTCTTTAGGCCTCGATGGAAGGAGCAGAGATCAGGGGCCGTCCGAAGCTCGGTGGGTAACTCATTCCAGAGGGCAGGAGCACCCACACAGAACGCTCTACCCCGGGGCGTCGCCAGCCGACATTGTCTGGTCGATGGTACCCTGAGGAGGGCAGCCCTGTGTGAGCGGACAGGATGGTGGGAGGCGGGTAGGAGATGGTCCTGCAAATACCCCGGACCTAAGCCATGTAGGGCTTTATAGGTAAGTACCAGAAATAACAAAATATGATGAAAAATGATGAATTTGTGATAAAGAATTATATAAAAGGGACGAATATGGAAAAAGCAGGAAGATTGGAATAGATTATAAAAATTAATATATATAAGATGTATAAGACGTGACGCGGTCAACACTCTGTTCATAAAATATGTATGATGAAAGAAAAATTTTAATAAAACTTGTTTACAAAAAAAAAAGGCAGATATCCTCGAAAAAAGTCACTTTTCAGAGTGAAATGTCTCAGATGAATTTAATAAATAAATAAAATACCTTTTGTAAAGTAATTCCCCAGCTGCTACAGCCAATGGTCGGTGGGTGCTATAAACAAACTGGTACAGGTTTTCACAGTCTTCAGATGATAAGGCATCTTCACAGTTCCTATACAGAAATCTAATGTTAAACATGGTTTACCAAAACATATTATGTTTGGTATTCTGACAGCATCATATGCATGTTTTCTCAGAAGCAAGTCACAATATATTGAATAGGGTTTAGTGATGGGTAAATGCATGCAAAAGTACAGCGTAAAACTACAATTGATAATTAATTTTCTCTGCCTCACATTTTATTCACTTAATTGCAAAATAAGCTAAATGTATGCCATATAATTAAAATTGTATATTAATTTAATGATCTTCTTCCCCCTGTGATTTTATTTAACAAGCACTGAAAATCAGCTACTATTATACATTTGACGCTGGTGTCTTTGTGTTGTGAGGCTGTAAACATATTTGACAGGGTTGGTTCTGGATTATAATGGTCCCAGGATTATTGATGGTCCCAGGATTATAATCAGAAGCATTTACAGATAAATTACTTCATATAGCAAAGTATGATAGTCACTGTTAGCAAAAAAGTAAATAAATAACAGGATAAGTTGAGAGAAGTAAACAAAATTTTCTAAATTGTTACCGCTAAATTGTTATCAAACTTGCTTTGAAAAATGAAAATAATTTTTTTAAAGTTTTTCTGAGCTATAGATGTAATGAAAGGTCAACCGTGCACTGAGATACACAGGCTGTCCTGTTTTATTTAGTTCTGTCATATTTTACATTGTTATATAAAAATGACAAAATGTAAAAAATATTATTCTGGAGTAGAACTTAAACATTTTGCAAACAAAGCCTCTGACATTCTATTTATGTGCCTTGTATGAGAACTACTTAACCATAAATACCAGTTTCACAAATGAGCAGCTTAAACTTGTTATCCACCAGACTGGCTTTTTAGAAAGTAATTAGTTTGTGCAACAAATATCTCAAAAAAGAAGAATATTTGTAGCTCGAGGTTGAAATGAGGGGTCCTTCCTGCTCTCTGAGCTTGGTTGTTTTCTTGCAGACATTTCATTAGTGGACTGATAATGTTACCTAGTTTGAGTAATGAAACTTCTGCAAGAAAACTACCAAACTCAGAGGACACCTGGGCATAGACATGTATGTGCAAATTGCTTGAGAAGACTCTCAAGGCTGATTCTTTGATTCTTTGGAATGATAAAACCAAGAAGTAACAGTACATAATTAAAGCATCAATTCAAATAACTCTCACAGGTCTAATGGAGGCAGGTCCTTGCTTAACAATCACTTGTTGAGTAACCATTTGAACTTACAAGAGCACTGAGCCAGTGGTACTTATGACTGATCCTTATACTACATGGATCACAGTATCTCCATGGTCACATGACTGTGATCCAACAAAGACAAAGTTGAAGCATCCTGCGCTCATGCGACCACCATTTGTGACTTTCTTCGCCAGCTTCTTACAAGCAAAATCAATGAAAACGATGGCAGGAGATTGTAATTGCCCTCATTTAATGACCTGCCATGATGCACTTAATGACAGTAACTGTAAGTACCAGAATTTCCATCACTAAGCAACATGGTCATGTGATGTCACATTTTACATCTGCACTGTTCACGATGGAAAGTCTGATCCCTATGACTATTGTTAAGTGAGGACTACCTATACTTAGTTTCAGGCTGCAGCCACTCTGCATACTTATCCAGAGGTAACCCTTTTTATTTGAACAAGATTTACCTGACCTGATAAGACACGAGATTTATTACTAGACAGGACATTAGCTAATCACTGTTTAAATGAACAACAGAACAAATGCAAAAACAAAAGTGCTCAGCAGCTGCAGTGCCAATGCAATATTTGTCAATTCAGAAGTTGAACAAGTGTAACATTAATGGATTCAACAACATTGTATGATAACAAAAGCACATTACTCCTCCTAGTACAGGATCGACATGAGTACAATGATAAGTGCAATGTATTTTGTTCTAGTTTCTAACTACTAGAAATTAATGTCATCTACAGATGACATAATGCTGCTGTTTTCAAGAGTCCTCTGTTTCCAATAGAAATTGCCAGTACAATGCTATGCATGTCTCAACCGCAAAGCAGAAAAAAGAAGAATTGTAGCAAGAAACCGATATTATTCATTACTATATTTCTGAAAGTGCTCTACTTTATGTTAATACTTGACCAAGCAAAATAGGAATCAAACTAAGAAACCACAGGGTATTATTTAAAGAAATTAAAACTCAACTTGATTATATTCAGTTGTGATCTATGGAAAAATCAATATAGAAATGTAGTATATTCAGATAGCCCCATCCTGGCATTTAAAGCAGCAATATATGCTTCAGGTACTTTTGGTGTAGTGACATATTCACACAGCTAAATACAGAATATAGCAGCAGTAACATACAGATGATGTTTCAAAACACTGTTGTGAAGAATCTCTGCAGACTAAAAAAAAAAAAGGTAAAAGCAACTTGTCTGTTCAACCTATCTGGTTGAAATCTAAGAGTAACAAAAGCAAGTTAGAGTAGTAAAAAAATTAAATTGCAAAAAACTTGTGCACATTTTTTAAAAAACAGTATTTGCCTATAAAGCATAATACTTAATAATTTGCAGAGAACACTTGTAATTCATTGTTATTCCATTAGGGTTCAGATTTTGATCAAATCTCAATTATGCAGTAAAACTTTACAATGATCTAAGGGCAACTGCATATTTGGCATGCTAATAAGGATTTAAGTAGTTACAAAATTGCATCTTACACGCATTAAATATCATATCATAGTTAAGTGAAAAGGTTATTTACTGTGACATAACCATCAAGAGTTTCATAGCTTGAACCGTTACTTCATGGTCCCTGTCCAGAGCCATGGACACAATTCGATCCTAAATGGATATAAAGCAACAAGAGAGAGATTGAATACTTTCTATTCAAATAGCTTTTTGCTACAGAAATGTATCCTTTTGACACAATGCTTCAGATAGAATTAACTGCTCCTTCAATTTCACTAAACTGCAACAAAAGTTTGAGATTTCAAAAGAACCATACATAGCAAAATAACTCATTGCTAAGTCATGTCTGGGGGGTAAAAAAAAACCTTATATTGTGTGGAGTAAAAAAACAACAATCCGCAACTGTTCTTTTATTTTGTTTTAGCTTGAATGCTGATGTTTAGAATTTGCAATGGATGGTTTGTAGCACCCCCTACAGGCTTGGAATATTTGGAGTCCCGGTTCAAAATAGACACAAATCTCAAGCTATTGATTCCAAATATATTAGGTGAAACATATTGCTGTAGAAATGGTTGAAGAGATATTGGTTCTAATAATTGTAATCACTTACAACAGAAATTGGTAATTCTTCTTAATTATATTGTAAAACATGCCTTGCAGAAATAGTTTTTTTTATTTCCAGATGAAATTCCAGAACAATTTAATAAGTGATTGTGAATTAACTGTAGTTTTTTTCTTTTTTTTAACTAAATGAATCATATCACAACAAAGTTGAATGAGAAAAGTTACCAAATGCGTACCTTCAAATGACAAAAGTTAATGTACAGGAACCTAATATATTAAACTATTAATTGGCTCTATCAAATGGCAGGGGGGTGAAGATTGTTAGGCAACCCTGGAGATGGTGGGTGTTCTGAGAGTATACTCTCCACTTTTATTTATTTATTATTTATTTATTAGTCCATTTTATATGCCGCCCTTTCCCGTAGACTCAGGGCGGCTTACAATGCATTATAGCAATAGCCTGCATACTTTTATGCATATACCTGCTTACTAGCGCTTTTGCCCCCCCCCCGTAAGCAGTGTTGTTCTATACAAAGCTGGCTTATTGCCCCCACAATCCGGGTCCTCAATTTACCTACCTCGAAAGGATGGAAGGCTGAGTCAACCTTGAGCCTGGTGAGATTTGAACTCGCACTAATTGCAGGCAGCTGGCAGCTAAGTGCTAGCACTTAACAGCACTTAGTCCGCTGCACCACCGAGGCTCTTTTTAATAGTGCATGTTTAATTTTAATTCTGTTTTTAAGTTTATTCTTATTATGCTTTTATATTCTGACAATTTTTTTATTGTAAGCCACTCAGAGTCATAAGATGGATGGCAGAGAAATGTAATAAAAATATGCTTATATATTATTAAGCATCCAAGCCCTGAAATATGTGTTTGTGTTTGGGAAAAAAATCACACTGAACACTCACAATGAAGGGATTTGTGTTTCTAATTTTCTTCCCAAATCTGAGGGCCTGTAGTGAGTCTAGTTTGGTTCTAAAAATAATCACTCCTAATATCAACAAGTTCATATTGGGAAATGCTTATTTTAACTTACCTTGAACCTGCTAGTGAATAGATCCATTTTACAAACAACCTCTTTTTGACTATATATTCCTTGTAGTGCCTGAAGGCACTTCAGCCGTACTTCAGGATGCTACAAGGAAAAGTAAAACCGAGTGGGAATTACAGGCACAGGTGAAATTATACAGATATCAGTATTACTCAGTAGGCAATGGCAGGAGACTCATTCCTCAGGTGCCAATCTTTTGATAGCAAAACCTGTCCACACCAAAGATAAAAGATTTCAACATATTGCTTTGCTTATGATTCTTTGCCTACAATTTGGAAGGTAGCTTGGAACAAATTGAGATATGTGTATTTTTCTGGGTAGTTTTTTTAATACATGAATATGTATGGCTTGGGGATATTATCTTAGCCAAGATTTATACAAGTGTCATTAAATTTGGGACAGCAGGGACACTTGGCTTTGGATTCACAATTTTTTTTTATTTTTTTTTTTGCATTTGCAATATTGACCTATACTCTTCCTTGTACTTGATTTTTTGGACATGCAATCTGTCTCAAGAGTAAACCATGGAAGTGTATATAGAATATTCTGAATTTGGAGCACTTTGAATTTGAAATGGACTATTCTAACCTCAAAATGCCCTGATTTTTAGCAGCAGTGCTCCAACCTAAAACCAATCATATTATCAGTCTTGTAGACAACTAGACAATTGTTTCAGCAACAGTTTTGATTTAAATTTATATTGCTTTTCTATTTGGCTTTCTAAACTGGAAAAAGGAAAAATAAAAAAAGAATAACATTAAGTGTGTTGTCTTTAACCCTATTCTTCAGATTTAGTTTTGTTGTTCAATGGAAGATTATCATGTAAGCATGTATGAACGAAAACACTAATTTAATCTTTGAAAAAGGAGATGGGTATTTTTTTTCAGTTGTTAATAAAAGAACTCACTTTATCATACAGCATCCATCCAAGATATTTCAAGTAACTATCATTTAGGAATGTATCAGGATAAATTTTCATCCAGCTGCCCATTTCTTCAATGCAAATAGCCCGGATTTCTGGAATAATATCACTTTAAAAAAATGAAAACAATATTTGTGATCTTCCATGAGCTGGTTCATACATTCTTACATATTCTATACTTCATACCATCTGCTATAAATAATCTTTATTAAAGGGACACTATAAAACTGTATGAAGTGCTCTGAATATTCTTGATGAAACCAATCAAATATACGATACTATAGTCTTGTTCAGGCACTGTATTTCAATATAATACCTGAAGTCTGCAGAAGACTCTTTTTACCAAATCTCTCAACTGCATAAGGATAAAGAGAATGAATGCAAGCTGAAATCAAGTGTCATGTGATGTCTTGTACTTCTTAATACAATTTATCCTAATGCTTGAATATTGTTAATTTTATATTGCAACTTCAAATGATTACATGCAAATAAGCTTCTCAGTCAATCTATTCTTAATAAATTAGACTCCATGGAAACACATAAACATTCTTACCGATAACGTGGCAAAAAGGTCCCCTTAAAAATCGCATTCATCATATTTTCTACTTCCAGAGATTTCTGTTCATACTGAAATGAAAAAAATTGAGGTTTTTTTTTTCCCCCACATAGGAAAGGCTTTAATCCAGTGATTTTTTTTTTCAGGCCACACTTTCACTTCAGAAGATTTCATCACTGGCTACACTCTCAAATGTAGTTATATCAGGATAAAAAATGAGGTTTGAGTTCATTGTAATTACCGTACATTAAATTGTCTATTAAATGTTTTTTAATTTAGTTTACATTTACATTAAATATACATTAAATTAATATTAAATTAATGCTTTACTAGTTTTTCACATCTTCATTTTCTGTCATCTTAAAAGCTACAATTTGGCAGAATCTAAGGAGGATTGTGGAAGCTATGTTTAAAGCAGATACCCTCTTAGGGCAATTTTCTTTCTCCTTCCTTCCATTCTCTCGTGATCCCCACCTGCTGGGCTATATTCAGTTTGCTAGTACCAACAGAGCAGTCATACAGTAATCTGAATATAATGGACTACAATTTCTATCAACATCAGTTAGGCTAGCTGAGAATAACAGGAGTTTACTCCAACACACCTCCTAGACTTTGTTAGAAAAGCAGTATATAAAAAATCAGAAAACTTTGAAGAAGTTCTTATAGTTATCATGTTGTTCAATATTTCCTCCCTGGACAGTTATCTATGGCAGAAAGCAAGCTCAACTTCTTTTTCCTCTTAGCAAGCTATGCTTGCCATTTCATAGTATGGAAAAGGGGGGAAAGTCACAATTCTCCCAGTAGATATTAATTTCAGATATAATGGCTCAGTGCCGTATAGATCTTAACACCTGCATCCCTAACTATTCTTCAGCTCTTATAACATCATATGAGAGTATAATTCTCCAATAAATGGCAGCTTTTGTAACCAGGGATGGCTGTGCTATGCAAATCCCAATCAGAGACTTAAATGCTAATGGCACTGAATGGCAAATTTAGTAACATTGTCTTAGGTTCATGAATTACATTTTATCTCCCCTTGAAACATTGCCCCACCTCTCTCTTTTTTCTCTCAAGCTGGTCCAGTCTAGAATTGATTTTCTTTCCCACGATCCTCTTCTTTTCTACCTCATATAATCTTTCCAGGTTATCTTTACTTACTTCGAGATTTAGATTTAGATTTACAAGTGCTGTAAGAAGCTTCATAGCTGGAAACAAAAACAAATACAATACCAAAATCAAGTCTAGAATCTTAACATTACGAATTTAGAAACCTAGAATAAAAAAGAAAAGAAAGCTCAGGAATAACTTACTTTAGGTGTGACTATACTTTATGCCTATCATTGAATTATTTTTTTCAACAGAAGTTTGACACTACTTTTTTAGCTGCAAAAAACCCTTGGGCGTGTATGTGCATATGCATCTCTGTATCAAATTGTTTAATTTAAGAATTTGTCACTAAGTATCAAACCCATAAAATTCTAGCAAAAGAAACCCTTCTCAAACTAGCCTCCCAAAAAACATTATTTTTTCTGTCTTAAGCCAGTGTTGACGCCTGGATATTTGCCTAAATTAGTCTCTACAGGTTTTTTGGCAAGGTTTTTCAGGTTTGCCATTGCCTCCATTCTAGGACTGAGAGACAACGACTGGCCCAGCTCACCAATTTGGGTTTGTGCCTAAGGTGGGACTGGGACTCAAGAGGTCTCTTACTTCTTATTTTATACTGCTTTAGCCAGTATACCAAAGTTCAAAAATTAGAAAACTAATATTTTCTTATCAAATATCTAAAATTGTTTTAAAGTTATTATTAAATTCTTGATTAATAATAATGTTAATGCTACAGCAAAGCATATGACATAAAAATGATTAGAACCTAGTGTAAAGGCTCCGATTAATGAACCCAAGCAAATCAGGACTCCAAGGCTAGGATCTTCCTCAAAGAACTTCTTTATTGGGTACATCATATTGGCATGCTTAAGTGTAAAATCAACTCTAAACATTTCCTGCAGTTTCTGTATAATTAAAATAGAAAATAACTCCTTCCTCAAATGTCACAGGTCACATTGGCCAATTAGGTCAATTGGCGGGCTCTCCAGGCACTCCACCCCAACTTTATCCATCACCTGTAGAGATGACCTTGGTTCCCACGAGAAAGTTCGGTGTTGTATCTAGCAAAGCATTCCAGCCTCCTTCCCCGCTCCCCACTCTGAAGAAGAGGAAAATGGCTTCTGCTAGGTTCAGTTCAGAGTTGACACATATTTTTTCCTTATAGTTGTATTTATAAGGGGTCATTATTTCAGAAATTATTACAATAATAATTCATTATTAAATTATTATATACTTAATAGTCTGTAACCTCTTTTTCCACTCCTCAATTGATGATATTTGGGTTGATTGCCAAGCTCTTTCCAACATAAATCTTGCTGCAATTAACATAACATAACCATCACAATACATTCTCCAGCAATCTATGTTTGATAGGTCCCCATAATCGTGCTGGGTATTAATTTAAAATATATTTATTTTGAATGCCTTTTTTATAGTTTTCAGTAGTTCCAGAACAAATTTTCCATTATATGATCCATCATCTTAGATTGATGTTTTGCATCATTTCTGGCTACTCCTTCAGCTTTTTTTTTCTTATCTACCATTCAGCTTTATCTACAGAGTGTGAAAATAATCAGTCAGCCTAAGAACCACAACAGGCTGTTAACAAATCCAACAGCCTTCTTTAATATGGAAGAACTGGAAAGTACCTCCTAATTAAGTGTTAGTTCTAGAGGGTGAATTCATGACACATGAAGCTGAGGCCCATAGTTTGAGCAACCTGTCTCAACTTCATTCTCTCTGGAATAAAACACACAGGCATAAATCCTTTAAAGGTGCCAAGAGAAATTACACACTGGTTGGAATAATACCAGAAATATGCAACTCAAATTTCCAGAAACTGGGACGTGAAGCATTCCAACTGGCCACATTCTCGAGCTCTGAATTTTTTGAAATGCATTCTGAGATTTCAGGATCAAAAATGGCAATGAGTCCTAGCTAAAGCTCAGACCTAAACCTGAGGTTATACCATTTTAGACAGTATGAGTTCTTCCATTAGTCTGAAGGCTATTTGAGAAAAAGAAAAATCAGAAAGAGTTCAGGTATGTAGCCTAAAGGTATGGCTTTCTTACTATAAACTCCAAGACAAAGAATGGTTGAAAGAGTAAGCATAAACATTTCCATGTCACAATGATCTTGACTATCTATATTTCTACTTTATCTATTTGTCTGGACAACACCTGTTGTTTCATCAGTGACGTTATCAATCATGTATCACTAGGTAGTTCCTCCAATCCGCAAACAGATGGAATCTGAGTTCAACAGGATCATTCTTTTATAATAGCAAATAATAGATGGGAGACTACCCCAGTGTTTGAATCAGTGAGTAACAGCCAATTACAAATTTTAGAAAAATCTTTTGGTTAAAGACTAGATAATGTTTAAAGAGTCCAGAAACTAGACTCAAGGATGATAACATTTTCCATATTAGCACTATATTCCTTAGTTTTTGAATTGCATAAAGTTCCATAAAGAAAAACAGATTTACAAAGTGCTACAATGTTCCTGTTAAAGGGTCACCTGATGAATTCTTTTCAGACTGCTATGTACCTGCCACCAGAGGTGGGGTTTTTTAGTCTAACTTTACCAACAATCTCTATTTTTTCACCATTCCAACAGTGTAGGATATCAAGCTTCCAACTACTAAATAGTAATAGTGCATACTGTTGTCCATACCTGCCAATGTACTGGTATGCCTGAACGCTCTGACCATGGAATCTGCCAAACCCGTAAGGAGAGAGATTATTGTGTCCATCAAATAGCTGTCATACAAAATGCTGTACTGACATTGTTGGACTAGTACTGCAGTGAATTCACAAAAATTTGTTCTGAACTTCTTCCAATAGGACCCTGGTTTGATGAGTGGATAGTCTTCATTGCCCTGCAAGAAATGTAAAAATAGGCTATGATCTGAGAACATTTTATACAAAGCTGTTCAATTTGATGGAAAAGAATTTAAGGCATCCAGAAATAGTGCAGAAGACAACACTTTGGCATTAAAGTTCATGCAGGGCTTTGACATCTAGAATCACACGTGAAAGCAATTGTATTCAGTCTGATGGGGCTAAAACTTTATAGACATTGAATTTTAGAAGATTCTCCCAGTTGGACTTGCTAAATGCCTTTAATAACATGCAAAATTATCACTGTACATAGCATATAGTTCTTTCTTGAAATGAGTGATTGCCAAAGTCAGCATAAACCAGTGGTGGGTTGCCCCCGGTTCGGACCGGTTCGCAAGAACCGGTAGTAAAACTGGCGGGAGGCCCCACCCACCGCCCCAGATGTCATCATCAGCGATCTGCGCATGCACAGAAGCAAGGTGCACGCGCGAGCAAACCAAGCGTGTGTGTACGATCCCATTGTGAACCGGTAGAAAAGGTAAGTAGAATCCACCCCTGGCATAAACCATGACTGTAATGTTAGACCCAGCTTTGTCAATCAGTTCAAGCTTTCCAACCAATACTCAGCAGTAAAGAAGATCTCCTTATACTTCACAACTTGGCTCTTTACTTCATTTAGCAGAAGATTCACACTTATGCCTAGATGAGTTATAAGATTAAGCTTAAACTGCAGATGAGAAAAAAGTCATACAAACAGTTGACTTCTCATTGCTGATTTTATATGATGAGGTTGATACATCTACAGCAACTGGGTATATGCCCTACATGCCTGGGAAAAGTAATCTATTTGATAGACAGCCACTATCCACTTTATTAGAGAGAAAGTTGTTGTTATCTGTATTAAAGGGTGCCCTCAACCCTCACAATTAACTCTGAGAAGGCTCACTTCAGATCCAGCATTTCATACCTTTCCTACATCTCCAAGCTGTGAAGATATGAGGTGGAATGAACAGTACAGCAAGGTAAAATTAAAGAAGCCTGCATGTATTTTTCTTGATTTTGTTAGCAATTGACCACATGTTGCCAGCACACATAAAAATAATTGCATTTGATTCAAGGAAGGAGGAGGAGGTGCATTAAGCAATATAATTATTTTCAGTTAATGGAGAAACATAAAGAATATCATTCGTAAGAATTACATTTAAAAATACATGATAAAAACTGACTAATCAGTGAAACCCTACTGGTATTTTAGAAAATGCAAACCTTTTTATCATATATTAAACAGATCCTGGAATCTTGTGAAAGTTTGAAGCAATCTTGGTTACTGTCACTACATGTATTGCATACGGTCTAAGAACCTTATTGGGTATGCCTACATACATTCCAGCAAAATAAAGGGTTGAGTATATATTGAATAATTACTTTACCATGTCCACTGGCCAAGTAACAGTCAAAATCCAGGGATAAGCCATAAACCTTTTATATTGCAATCCTGTTTCCTATAATACATAAAGGAAAAACAAAACTTAAGCAGTGATGTTTAATACATCAATGTTTTCATAATAATTAAATACAATTATAAACATCCATAGCTAAGTTCAAACAGTTTTTGTGTATGTTGACATTTCTGTATAAAGATTTCTTTATCACCTCCAAGGTATTGGCAATATCCTACATATATCTTCAGTTTTCATGAGTGAAACTGCCATCAATATTTAAGTCAATAAAGAAGCACATATTATGAGCTGTTATATAAAAACATCCATGTAAAGCTTTTAAGGACTAGAAAGCTAGGGGATTTGGAGGAATAATTCTGGGATTGATACATTTTATTAATAATTGATTTTTTTGGAGTTTTTAGATATTGGGATACTGGAATATTAGAGATACATTGAGTTATTTTTAATATATTAATTTGGTACAAAATGACTCAGAAGGAGACAATAAAGTTCTATGAAGAAATGTTAATGATGGTTAAAAGTTTTTATGGAAGTGTGATAAAGAATCATAAAGAGATGATGGATTGCCCAAAGATAAAGAAGTGAATGTAGAAGACCCTCAACAAATGGTGGGAAATGATGAACAAAATATTCAGAAGATAGATGAGAAATCAGAAGGAGTGGTAGAGGAGACAAATCAAAATAAGCTACAAGAAAACAAAAACAATGAAAAGACAATAACAATATATATTAAGAATTGAATAGATAATTCCTTAAGAGCTTACAGTAGCACAGAGGGGGGGAAAAGGAAGACTTCCCAAAAATAATGAAAGGGTTATGGATGGGCATCCAAATGATGCAGTAGAAGGAAATAAGGGGTAAGGCAGAGGGAACATTTAGTCTATGTAAAAATATTAGAAAGAAATATAGGATCCCAAGAAAGAAATATAAAAGAATCACCAAAAAGTCAACAAACGATGAAATTCAAAAAGGGCTGAGAAATGACAGATAGAGATATAATATCTTGTAATACTGTGATTGTATTAAAAACTAACAGAAACAAATAGGAAGTATAAATTGTGAAAATAGTAACACATATATAGATATATAATAGAATTTATTATAACCACAAATATACTAAGATTAGGAGATGGAAGACTGTGATTAGGCATATTTAAATGTATTATGATTAACAGTGTGCCAAAATGTATTGGAATTTATAGCTTTTAAAGACTACAAATTCAGGAGATTTAGAGATGTAATCCCAGGACCGATTAAATGTTATTAATAATTGGTTTTAATGGTGTTTATAGAAAATTGAGATATTAGAAATTTGGTGGAACTTGAGTAATATTTAAAATATTAAAATATTGGTGACTTAACAGGGGTCAAAAAACACATTGTATGAAGAAAGGTAATTGATGTTTAAATATATTTTTGGAGAAAACAATAAAGAATCATAAAGAGAATAGTACTGTTTAAAGATAAAGAGGTGAATATGGAAGAACCCCAACAAGTGAAGGGGAAAAATAAGTACAAATTGGGAAAATAGTATTATACATATTGATACATAAAAGAATATATTATAATTATAATGAGCAAATCAAGGTTATAAGTTGGAAGATAAAAACTATGTATATGTAATTGTATTATTACTGTTAGCACTCTATAAAAAATGTAGGACATTACACTGTCCACAAAATATGTTGGTTGTTAAAGGAAAACTGCAAATAAAACATATATCAAAAAAAAATATTATCCAGTAAGCTTCCATGACCGAGGGTGGAATCTGGATTTCCTAGACTTATTTCAACAGGTAAACTTCAGTGTGCCTGTCACAGTTACTTTACAAAGCTGCTACTTCTATTTATTCTGCTATTGAAGTCTTACCTAAATATAATTAAAAATAAAAGCTATGTAGTAAATTAAATTACAGATTAAAAATGACTCTCAACAGTTTTGGACTATAGCCTTCTACATGCCTCTTCCATGTGTCCCTCAAACCAATGAAGCTGTGCTCTCCTGCCTTAGGAAAGGAAGGACCTACTTCATCGAATTTCTCTGTCATTTTATGCATCACTTCACAGTTCTGTAAACTTTGGAACATCTCTGCAGTAACCATTCCTATGGAAACAACAATAGGAAATTTAAATGAGCCTTTAATGTATTGCAGTAGTATGCACATAAACTTTATTTTAAAACAATGATGGGGTCACAGTGTCAAGAGATTCAAAAGTCAACAAAAAATTAGCATCCAGCATAATAGATATTCTGCACCATTGTATTCTGTTGCCTTTTATTTAATTATTAGATTTAATTACAATTGTATTCTTATTTATGAATAATTCAGTGGAATACACATCCAGGTGAAACATGCACAGGATTGATAACCCCTTGTACAATATTCATAAGCATATCTCAGATATGCTTAGCACTCAGAATTTCCAATGTTTTCAACATTCATCTTCAGGATTCAGGATTTTGCTTATAATACAAGGTCACCAATAAAACATAACTAGATAACTTGTTTTACTGCAGACAAGATAGAAGCCATTTGGTGCAAAAGAGATGCATATGACATAACCCAGACAGTGCTCTAGACTTGCTTGCTCCAGTGTGTAAATTCTGTAGCTCTTCTTCCATTTTTTTAAGTCAATAGAAATTTGGCAATTCCTTCTGGGAAACCTTGAAAAAAATGCTTTTCAACATACAAGCACTAATTGAAAACTTGGATAAAATAATAAATTAACAACAGTTTTAAATCAACCCGAAGATGGCACTCTGATGCAAGTAACAGCAGATAAACCAGACTTACAATCAGATCGATTGGAATCTAATTTGTTGCTAGCAGATTTGAAGTTTGTAGCTTGATTTGAGAATTACAGGCTAGTTAAAGAAGGCTGAAACGGGCATGAGTTCAAAAGCTTTAAAGATGGCAGAATTGATGAGTGATGGACTGGACTTTCTTAAGAAAATTGGTGGAGATTGGAGAATGAATTTACGGTATTATATCCAATCAGAAATCAATTGCCAAGAGGTGTGCATTTCAACTTGTAGAAAGATTCTTTGAACAACAAATGCTGTGGAGATATTTACAGAGATTTATGACTTATGACATCTGTATGATGGGAGACTTCAGTGGAATAGTAGATGAGAAAATGGACTATAATACACAAAAGACAACAAAACAAAGTAGGAAAACTTTGCCGAAATCTTTTTTTAAGATGATAGAGGAAATAAATTTGAAAGATATATGGAGAGAAAGAAATGCAAAAAATAGACAATATACTTTTTATTCCAATAGACATTTATCATGGTCCAGAATAGATATGATATGGTTGACAATGGACTTGACCTTGAACATAGAAGAAATAGCCATAGAGGCTAATACTTGGGCAGATCATAATCCAATGATGATGAGCTGGAAAGGACAAAGGAGAAGGTCTAGATGGACTTTAAACACTACAATATTAAAAGAAAAGGATTTCCTACAGAACATGGAGAAAGAATTAGCTTTTTTTTTCAAAGAAAATAGAAAAGAGGATACATCACTGCAGAACCAATGGGATACCATGAAAGCTTATGCCAGAGGCCTGATTATTGACTATACAAAGAAAAGAAATATTAAGAAAAGGCAAGCATATAAAATTCTAGAGGATGATTATAAGACATTGGAAAAAGAACTGCAGAAGTTCCCACAAAAAAAAGACATTAAAATGAAAATGGACACGATTAAACATAAAATGGGATTATTAGAGAAAGAAGAGCTAGCACAAAAAATCAGGAATGCTAAACAGAAATATTTTGAAGATGCTAATAAACCAGGCAGATGGCTAGCATATAAATTGAAAAAAGAAAGGAACTCAAGGAAAATAACAGAGTTAATAGATGATCAAGGACAAATTAGATTTGGAAATGAGGAGAAGAAGAACATTGTACAAGACTATTATAAAAAGCTATATGAAAAAGAAAAGATAGAAGAGGAAAATATTAAACAATATTTACATAAGGCGAATTTACCTCAGATTCCAAAAGATGTTGAGATGATGTTAGAAGGGAATATAACAATGATGGAGTTGACAGAAGCAATTAAAAAACAAAAAAGTGGGAAAGCACCAGGTCCAGATGGATTACCAGCGGAATATTATAAGACTTTGCAGGAATCACTGAGTCTCCCATTACTAGAAATTATGAATGAAGTAATGCTACAGAAGGAAATACCCAGCTCATGGTTAGAAGCATATATTACTTATTCTAAAAGAAGATACCGACCTACAACAGGTCAAAAACTATAGGCCAATATCCTTGCTAAACTCAGACTATAAAATCTTCGCTACAATACTAGCAGAAAGACTTAAAAGATATTTAAATAATTTTATACACCCGGATCAAAATGGATTTCTGCCAAAAAGGCAGATTAGAGACAATTTGAGGATAATTTTGGATACATTGGAATATTATGATGCGCATCCAGAAAAACAAATGGCTTTGATGTTTTTAGATGCACAGAAAGCCTTTGACAATCGCCTTTGGCGATTTATGATACTACAATTGAAACAGATGGGCTTTGGAGAGAAATTTGCCCAAGCTGTAGAAGCTATATATTATAAACAAACAGCAAAAATAATGATGAATGGAGAGCTGACAGAATTTATTGAAATACAAAAAGGAACGAGACAAGGTTGTCCATTGTCACCATTGTTGTTTGTGTTAACATTAGAAGTACTAAACAGAAATATCAGAGAAGAAAAAGGAATAAAAGGAATGAAAATTCAAAATCAAGAATATAAATTGCAAGCATTTGCCAATGACCTGGTGTTTATCTTGGAAGAACCACTTCAATCTGTAAACAAATTGATAGACAAAATAGGAGATTTTGGGAAAGTGGCTGGTTTGAAAATAAATAAAGACAAAACAAAGATGTTGACAAAAAATATGTTAAAAAAACAGAAAGAAGAGTTGGCGGAAGTATCAAGGATGCAGGTCACGAATAAGGTTAAATATTTGGGAATACATTTGACAGCAAGATGTGGTACTCTTAAGGAGAATAATTATGATAAGCTTAAACAACAGATAGCGACAGATCTAACAAAATGGGAGAATTTGCAGCTATCATTGATAGGGAGAATATCAACTATTAAAATAAATATATGGCCCAGACTTTTATACTTATTTCAGACAATTCCAATTAAGTTGGGGAAAAGATATTTTGAAGATTTAAATAAAATGGTGTTAAAATATATATGGCAGGGCAAAAAGGCAAGGATAAAACTAAAATTGATGCAAGATGTTAGATCAAGAGGAGGTTTTGGTTTGCCGGATTGGGAATTATATTATCAAGCTTGTAACTTGATGTGGATTAAAGAATGGATAACGTTAAGGAATATTAGATTGTTGACTTTAGAAAGACATGATTTATTGTTGGGTTGGCACGCTTTTATGTGGTATAAAAGTACAAAAGTACAGGGTTATTTCAGAAGACATACGATACCAGAGTCTTTGTTATTAAACTGGGAGAAGATTAAACAATGTTACTATTTAAAAATTCCAGTCTGGTTATCACCTATTGAAGCAGTCTCACACACAATAACATTTAGAAAGGAACAAATTGTTAGATATGGTGAATTATTAAATGAAAGGGGTGAACTTAAGTCGAAGCAAGAACTAGAAGAACAAGAGTTTGAAATGGATTGGTTTTCATATATGCAAATACAGTCTAGATATGATGAAGATTCTAAAAAGGAGGGTTTTTATAGTAACTTGACAAACTTAGATAAAATCTTAACAGGTTCTGATGACCATGTAATTAAAAAATTGTACAGTCATTTATTAGAAGTAAAATTGGCAGAAGAACAAGTTAAAGAAACAATGATTGCATGGGGGAAAAATGTGGGTCATGGGATTGACTTAGAGAAATGGGAAAAATTATGGTTGCAGAATTATAAAATGACAATGTCAACAGCATATAAGGAAAATCTGTATAAGATGTTTTACAGGTGGCATTTACCTCTGGCGAGAATAGCCAGAATGTACAAGAATAAATCCGAGAAATGTTGGAAGTGTCATCAGACTCCAGGCTCATATTACCATATGTGGTGGACATGTGCAGAAGCTAAAAGATATTGGACTAAAATCCACAAATGGTTGGAAAAAATGACAAAGAAACATATTGACTTTAAACCAGAGATATTTTTATTGGGGATTTTACCAGAAATATACAATAGAGAAATGAGATATTTAATTGTGAATGTATTAATGGCGGCTAGAATTGTATTTGCTAGAAACTGGAAAGGAGAGAAGATACCCACAGATGACGACGTTATCAAGAAAATTTTGGAGTGCGCTGAAATGAGTAAATTGACATTTGAAATTAGGGAACAAGAAGACAAACAATATTATTTGATATGGGATTTATTTTATCAATGGTTAGACAAGAAAGAATGGAAATGAAATATGAAATATGAAATGGATAAGATAATAAAACATATAAAGGGTTTTTTTTTCCCCTTATAGAGGACAATTTACTGTTAAATAATTGGTAAATGAGAATAATAATGTAATAAACTGTTAAATAAGAAAATGTTGGATAGAGGATTAAGCACAAAAGATTTGTAACAATCAATACACTTTATGTAATTGTAATGGATGATAATTGTTTTATGTTTTAAGTTTTGTTTAAAAATAAAAAAAATTTCCAAAAAAAAAAGAGAGAGATTTATGACTTTGGGGAATGGGGATTTCCAATTGTTGGAAAGATCCCAGTTAAAAATTTAAAGAAAAGTTTTATCATTAAGGAGGATAAATAACATTTAATCCTGGACTTATCAGAGTTAATGATTACCGTGGTTCATGGTAGATTAGAAGCCACTGTGGACTTTCTGGAGTTAGATACAATAATAGATTGTTAAGGGGGCTTTATAATGTAACTTTGTTGTTGAGTTTACCTGTTAACTCTTTTTTTTTTTAATATAGTAGATAGATGCCAGGTCAAATTAGCTGGGTAAACAGAGTTGTAGAAGTTCATAACATTGTGAGTCTGTTTCACAAGGGGGGAATCTATTATTGCTGAAATATATTTATCAGTATTCAACTAGGGATGACGTTCTATGTGTATGTGTTGGGTTTATTTATGAAAATTTTTCATGTTTTGTGTAGTTTTGTTTTGTTCTTGTAATTTTTCCTTTTGTTTGGAGTACAATAGTATGCATATAATAGTGGTTCTTCTAGTCTAAGAATGGATGCTTCCCATTTTTGCAAGTTTCTGTCCACCCTTATATCTACCTGGAACAATCATCAACAAATATAATCCTGCATTGTAAATAAGAATTGAATGTATAATGAAAATATATTTTAATCATTGTCTCTCTTTGTAATGTAGAAAAAGGATTTTTACCTTGACAGCCTGAACACTGAATGAAGAAGTTAATGAGATCCAGAAGTGCCACATCTCTATCTTTTTTGTAGGCTTCAATCCAGTCATCTACCACAGGCTGAACCAGATTGCAAAAAAAAACCAAAAAAAACCTCAGATTAAAAACTAAAAATGACATATTTCAACCGTGAAATAAAAGAGAGCAAAGCAACAAGGTTTTCATAAACAGTTTAATTTAGAGATGTCCAGTCAATCCAGAAAATATGTAGATGTACCTGCATAGCTCTTTTCCCCATACTGACCACCTCAAACAATGTAACGGCTTCAACCACTTCTCCATTTTGCAGCTGGCTTGATCGTTTACTACTGGAAGAGTTTCTTCTTCTGTTTTCACATTGTTCTCGGACTTTTCTTTTCCCTTTCTAAAATGATAAAGATGAAATTCACTCCATGACACAGGAACAGTATGCAAAGGGGCAAATTCCTTGACAGAACTGTTATAAAATAGATACAGAGGTACCAACTACATTGATCCAGCATTATCAGCTGGGAGGAGTGCTCAATTTCACTGGGAGGGGGTATAGATATAGGAAATATATTTACAGACAGTCCTCACTTAAACATTCGTTCAGGAATTTTTTGTAGTTACAATGCTGTTACCAGAACTGCTATTGCTGAATGGTACAGTCAGGTGTTTCACTAACAACTGCTTCAACTTACTGAAGGAAAGTCTTATTTCCAATTAATGTCGTTAAGTGAGGACAACCTATATGGGCATTTACAAAATGAAACCATTTCACATTAGTAATAGTATAGGTCAACTTTAGACCAGTGATGGGTTGCCCCCGGTTCGCACCGGTTCTATAGAACCAGTAGTAAAACTGGCAGGAGGCTCCGCCCACCAACTCCAACGTCATCAAAATGCTTTTGAGCATGTGCAGAAGAGCGCGCTCGTGAGCAAAGCAGCCCCATTGCAAACCTGTAGTAAAGGTAAGTAGAACCCACCCCTGCTCTAGACATACCCTTGAACTTAAATATATTAATTTGACAGCACCCCCCAATATGGTTTTAAGCTATAAACTGCACCCAGATCAAATTCAGTTTTTTCCCATCTAATTTTATGAAATTAGAAATCATAGCACTTACAAAAACTTCAGTATTGCTATTTCTCAAGCAATTTCCATTTGGTGTAGTGGTTTCAGGGGCAGCCTCGTCTTGGATTCCATTTTCTCTGAACATAATTTTAAAAACATAAGAAAAACTCTTATGAGTATGAACATTTAAAAGAGTAGAGAATATTATTCTGTAATCTTATGAGATTGCTAGTTAAATCAATGTATCCACCAAAGAGAAAAAATACATTAGAAGTGATACTCAAAAGCTACTTTCTTAAAACATATGCATCAATATTTGCCTAGAGTAAAACTATATACATAGCAAACATAGAGCCACAATAGATATTCCACAGAACATGCAAATAAATTTCTAACATTTGTTTTAATGAAAATGAACTAAAGAAAGCTAGAATTAAGTTTCCCTCTACTGCTAAATATCTGTGAATGTGATTTTTCTCTCTATGAGAAATCTGAAAGAAATATTTACCAAACAACTGCCACCTTTCCGGTTATGTGATGCTCCTACATTTTATTGAAAATCAAATGTACATGAAATAATATTTTCACATTATCTGTACTGTTTATTGCAATGACTGTGTAAGTCATTGCAATAAAGCCATTTTGAAATCTACCAAACAAGGACTTAATCTTTTACTATTTATTTATTTATTTATTATTTATTATTTGGACTTATATGCCGCCCTATCTCCGAAAGGACTTAGGGCGGCTCACAACAATAAAACACACAAAGTTCAATTTTTTTAAAAAAAAAATACCCAATAAAACTGTAAAAACCATTAAAATCCCCTCTAAAACCCCTTCAGTCCAAGCTGGCCAGGCGATATAGCCATGTTTTAAGGCCACGGGGGAAAGAGCGAAGGTCAGGGGCCACCCAGAGCCTCAGAGGGAGTTGATTCCACAGGGTAGATACGCCCACAGAGAAGGCCCGCTCCCTAGGGGTCGCCGACCGACATTGTCTGGCCGACAGCACCCCAAGGAGGCCCTCCCTGTGGGAACGCACTGAGCAATGGGGAGCTGTCGTTGGCCACAGATGGTCCACCAAATACCCCGGGCCTAAGCCATGTAGGGCTTTATAGGTGATTACCAGCACCTTGAATCTCACCCGGAGGGCAACTGGTAGCCAATGCAGGTCCCGCAGGAGGGGTGTAACATGAGAGTGTCGGGACACTCCCATCACTACCCGCGCGGCGGGTATATATATATATATATATTATATATATATATAATAAAATAAACTCCAATTATATAAATAGCATTGGTTCCATAATAAAATTATGAACACTGTTGTATTAGCATTTAAATCAAATTTCCCACAAATTTGTTTAACGTAAGCTAACATGCAGGTAACAATCTTTAATTCGGGTTTGATTTTCTTTTTGGGAGAAAAATGAGGCAGCAATTCCAAACACTGACTATCTCACTGTCCAATTATCTATTTAATCTGAAGAAGTGTTTATATACATTCAATCAGAATAAATTAGGATAAGGTATGTCATTTGCATTCAGCTGACCTGATAGTAGGAATATTATAATTGATACTTAGTCAAGTTCTAATTTACTGTATTATTAAAGACAAAAGCAATGACATCTGTATGCAGATGGTAAAATCCCGAGTACAACCAAAAATAATTCTAAATCTGAAGCAACTTCAAAATGATTTTTCCCAATCCATTGTTTTGAATGTGCTAGATAAGTTTAAATTTCATATTTATTTCACAGTATGCTCAAGTGCCTCTATGTAGAAACTTATGATGATGATGATGATGATGATGATGATGATGATGATGATGATGATGATGATGATTTCTTAAACTTTTATACCGCCCTTCTCCCGAAGGACTCAGGGCGGTGTACAGCCATATTAAAACAAACATATACCTAAAAATTTAAAAACAATTTAAAATATATGAAAATTTGGCCCTTATGTTAAAAACTACAGACACCCAGTTAAAATTCATTTTCTAAGCCAGCCTGGCCTGTTGGAACAAAAGTCTTAAGGGCACGGCGAAAAGTACGTAAGTCGAGGATCATGCAGATCTCCGGGGGCAGTTCATTCCAGAGGGAAGGCTCTCCCCCTCGGTGTCGCCAGTCGACATTGTTTGGTATCTGGGACTGCTTACAGTGTTGTTCTTATTGCAAATGGAATTGCTGAATTATGAGTTATTAAAATAAAAGAGAGCCAAACGAAGGGTCTTTTCCACATTCCCATTCAATTTAGGTCTGTCTTTCATCAAGGTACGCCATTTCCTCTGGTTAGGTTTAGGGAGACAGAGCTGGAAATCAGGTAAGACAGCAAGAGGAGCCTCGTCTTGCTCCACGCGCCCCAAAATAATAAGACCTCCCCGAAAATAAGGCCAAGCGCTTATTTCAGGATTCAAAAAAATATAACACAGGGTCTTATTTTCGGGGAAACACAGTATGTATGTGTGTATATATGTATATGTGTGTGGGGTGTGTGTGTGTGTTTGTGTGTGTGTGTGTATCTTCATTCAATCTGTCCCTATCCATGTATTCTGTATTCCTTCCTTCTTCTGGCCACAGACAAAACAAGCATATTTAGGCAAAAGGTCCAGAGAACCAACATTGCTTGTGTCCTATATATAATCATTCCTCTATCTCCTTCCCTGCTGCAAATTCAGGATTGAGACATCTATTCTAAGTGGTATAGCAAGTGTTCACAACCAGCTCCAGTGTGACTATAGTGTTGAATGTAGGCAGGGAAGTCATTGCTCTTTTCTCCTTTGAGAAAAAAGCAATAACCTTGAATGGCTGGTTCTCTTATTTAAAGTAAATAAAGTACTTTTTAAAAACAGAGCTTTATTTTTTTTTTTCCCCTAACTGAATAGAATGGTGTATTTAGGCATCAGGGTTGGCTAAGTACTCACCCACGATCCTCTCTGACATCATTGAACTGACATCTTTCTCCTGGAGACATTCACACTCAAAGTATGTGAAGAACAGTCTTTGAAGGTATGGAATTGTGAGTGCTGGCATTCACACAACTTTACAATAGCAAAGTACAGAAATACCTGGAAGACAAAACATATACAATATTATTCACCACAACTTCTCTACTGTAGAGCAATTTCAGAGATGTTGGTGGGGATTATCTGAAACATTAACTGAAAAAACTCTAGTTGTGTAAAAATTGAACAGGTCTATAAATAGATGTACAGACATTTACCCACATTTCCAAACCATAAATATAACTTAATGAAACATAGTTTTAAATAAAAATGCCAAGGTAATGTTTGTATGCTATTATTAGAGACTTACTTGTGGTTAGAGAAATTGGCAAACAAACCGGATTCTGCTATCATTAACACTACATCCTCTCAGCAGGGCAGAAAGCAAATCATCCAGAGCAGACACTTCAATATGAAAAAGAATATAAAAGAGGAAATTTCAGTTTATTCTCTGTAGCATCCCTGCGAACAGCAGTCACAAAACTTCAACAGTGAAATACACAGTCCCATGAAACATTTAAAAGATACAAAAGTAGCAATTCCCAAGGAAAATGTATAATTAAATTTTAGCAGAAATAAATTTTAATCAATGTTACTGAATTTAGCAACATTTATGATGAAAGCCAGTTATCTAACTGCAGACAGCAGTCAGTACACAAATGAGGAAAAATACTACTGTTAATACAGTAGATCACATTTTGAGGCGTAGAGTTGATGTGTAGGGTGTTTAAGAGAAAAGTATGGCATTTAATATTGTAAGGAAAAAACAGGCTCTCTTTGCAAGGATTATAAACATACTCAAGCAAGATTCTCTGATTCTGCGATCAACTGATGTATATAATTTGTTGAGCTATCCAAAGGGGGTTGGAAGAGGAAAGAATGAGAGGGAAGGAAAAAGAAAGAAAGGGCACTATTTGAGGTAAATACACTACAGTACCTTAAAAAAAATTGCTTTCAATAACACATTTAGTTCCCTGTGTTCATGGTTGTTTTGCCAGACCCCCTCCTGAATAATTGAAGATGAGCATCCCATCCAAAGAACATTAGATATGACAATTTGTCAACGGTCCCCAGCAGTCCTAGGGGTTTGAGACATGCCTCCTTTGTAATAAGCAGCATATATTCCTCAGTGCTTATCTGAATTTAATTAAAATATGGGAAAGTATGTAATTGCTGCAGTCCACCTCTGTCAATCTGTCTGAGTTTTCCTTTCTGAATTAAAGCTGCTTACTTTTTCTTCTATTATTGTTTCAAACCATGTTGCATCTTTACAAATTGTAGCCCTTCAAGAGGTTTCTCACATTTTAGCACTTTTTAAATTAGAAAATATTTTGTCTACTGCTAGTCTTAACTGCTAGTCTTAACCCAGGTAAAGATGGGTTGAGTTCTCATCCCCTCCCAAAGGTAATATCCCGTTTAATTCTTCATTTAAAAAAATAGAAGCAAGCACAGTCTCCATTTATTAAGGTCCCTTACCTTTCGACTTACATTATGACTTGAGCTGATTCCCTATTTATTATATCCCTTAACAAAAATCATTTCATTTTATGATCACAAGTTTAATCCATAAACACAGTCCTCTTTTAAAATATGCTCTTGTGGGCAAAGTTACTTGCTATATTATCATAAAACAGTACTGTCAAGAAGTATCCTTTAACATATAACATCAGAAAGTAAGCTGCTCAGATGTATGTGTGAGAGCAATCCACATAATGACTAGGGCAGGGGTTCCTAAGCCCTGGGCCACAGACCAGTACTGGTCCGTGGCCTGTTAGGAACTGGGCTACACAGCTGGAGGTGAGCAACTGAAACCATCCCCCCCCCCCGATCCGTGGAAATATGGTCCCTGGTGCCAAAAAGACACCTCTAGAATAGGGGACTGTATGTTCAGACTATAGCAAACTTGCTACAATCTTGCCTTCAGCAAATTACAGGAACATCAAAATGATGTGCATTATGACAACATCACACAAATACTAATAGTATGTACTTGTATCCTAACATCTGACACAAGAACATAAGTCATTGTATCTGAATGACATAATCAACATGTTATTTAGCCCTGCAGATGTCTTTCCACTAAGACCTTCCATTATTTAGTCAGGTACGCACCATGTTTTAGGTTAGAGGACTATCTTGGTAAATATGTACATGAATCACATGAATCAGGCATAATTAAAGGGAGTTGGAAAAATGATTTTTTTTTTGTAATGTTATTCTTTCAAAGTTTCCATATCCTCCCTCACTGTCATTTCTGATGCAGAAAAGGTGCAGTGGCTGCTTTTTGCAGATATAAACTAACATGTACGGCAAGGTCAGACGTCAAGACAATCATAAAGAAAATATCAGGACTATGTAGCAGGTATTCCAAGATAAGTAGAGCTTTAAGATACTGTGGAATACTGATGTTGCCATATTTTATTAAGGAAGCCTTCTTGGGAATTCATTAATAAAATCAAAATTAGCATGTAAATATTGAGCATTTTAGGTAAACAAATCTGGAGACTTTGAAAAAACAGGAGAGGTGAGTTTTAAGCACTATTGTGGATAATGCTCCCACTCAGGAATGAAGTGTAAACCCCACTGAAACAATGACAACACTGTAATGAAATGTGACAGAAAAAGTGGTCCTACAAGTTCCACCCAATCACATTTAACAGTGGCTTTCAAAATGGAAATAGCATTATTAAAACAATTTTGCGATGAGATTTCTAAGAGATTAAGCCTTTTAAGAAAATCTGTTTTACTTAAAACTATAGTAACAGATGCTCTACCAGAAGGTGCTACACATTTTAGGAAAGGCAGCAGTAGGTATGAAAGCCTCCCAGTGTGGTTAACAGGCACAATCAATGAAACTATAGAAGGGGAAAAAACAATTTCCTACAACAATGGAAGTCTTGTTCAACAGATACAAAGTAAGGCAAGTTTTTTGCCAAGTTAAAAAAAAATATGGAAAAATAAAAAACCAAGGTATGCTTTGTTAATAAAGTAGTCAAGGAATAAATTATCTAAATTAGTTTGTGTATTCTGCAGAATAAAAAGGAAGTTCAAATTAAATATTGTTATAAAACAATATTTAGGACTAGGAAAGGATTAAATCTAGAACAGGGGTGTTAAACTGGCGGCCCATGGGCTGGATGCGTCACATGCAGGCCATGCCCATCCTAGCTCAGCAAAGGGGAAAACGTCTTGAAACATGTGATGGCAACGTGACACCCTGAGTTTGACACCCATGATCTAGAACATAAGCCATATAAAGATGGTATATAAATCTACAACAACATTTGGAATATTATATTCCATTCAACCCTACGTAAATTTGGCCAATATATAGGAAACAAAGACCAATAAAATATTATTAGCATATGGCACCTACAGAGGTTATGCAATCACTGGTATACAAATTTAGTTTAACTAAAGCGTCAGCAAATACACACACACACACACAAAATACAATATAGGAGATAAATATATTAAGATAAAACCATAATAAAATCACCATAATTTGGAGCCATCAAATTACAATGGATAGATGCTATAACATAGTATCTAAGGAAGCTAACCCTCCAACACCTTTCATATGAATAAAATCTAAAATATTTGGAGTTTTGGGGGAAAGAAGACTTATGGTATGAACGAAGGTTTTTATTCATCTACCTCTCATTTTATTTTGATCATTTATTTGATCAAATTATTTGATCATATATACTATGTTCAGAACAAAGAAAATGTATCGTACTATTCTTAATGGTAAAGTATTTTCACAATGTGTCAACACTCACAAATATAACAACCGTTAGTACCAACAATAACTAAAGGATGTTTCCAAGTGGTTTAGAATCAGGATGTCACTAGATATCATATTCTCAGAAAGGAAAACTGTAAATCTGCAGATTATTGGTCTAAAGTTTTTTTTTCCCTCTGCACTCACATTCTTAAGTGAGTGTCTATTGGAAATCTCTTACCACGATCATCCTAATAATTTGTCTATGGAGATTCTCAGTCATCCAGGTCATGGTTGTCCCAAAGTTGTTTTTTTCAAGAGGCAACTGGAAAGTCCAGTTGCCTCTTGAAAACACCTTTGGGACATCCTAATAATTTGTTCTTGATGAAATACTCTTACACACAATTACAGTTACAACCAGCCTTGTTACCGATTTCATCTATATTGTGAATCATCAAAATGCAAGTAACCAGATGGTCAAACCCTATTGGGAATTCAACTCCCAACTGAATCTTTGCATTTGGCATTTTAATTACTAAATATAGAAACTATGCCATACAGGACACACTATAAAAACAGAGAAATTTCCCGTTCCAAGATAGGAGTGTGGAAATTATGTAAAACTCTGCATGTGGTGGCTTGACATAGATAGTGTAGATTGTACAGTATATAGTATTCTAAGATCTGACAGGTAGGGGGCTCTTTCTCTACCTCCTTTCCTCTAAGTTTAGATCATTACTTTGTTATGATACAATAGAGCGAATAAAACTGTGTAACATGAAAATAAAGTCCTTAACTGTGTGCAAAGCTGCACAAAGTACAGTAGTAGCCAAAATTATGGAAACCTTTTGGGAAAAGTGTATTTTTGAAGTTTGATGGCTAATAACATCACTTTTTTTTTAGTAGTACCATAAAATTATATATCAATGGAAAGATAATTTCATCAAGAATGTAATGCTTTTCAACCTTTGTTTTAAAAATAAAAGTGGCTTTTTTTTGTGGAATTCTAGATTTTAGCCCAAATTCCTGCAGTCTTCGCCTAACAGTCCTTGCACTCAACTTCACATTGCATTGCACAATTTTGTCTTGTATACACCCAGATGATTTTCTTCTGTCACGCAGGCATAGTCTCTTAATTTTTCTATCATCACTTGCTGTTGTGCACCTTTTCCTGCCTTTACCAGTGTGGTTTTGTAGTGACTGAGTCTCCTTATACCTCTTCAAAAACTTAGAAATGCCCCCTTGGTTAAATTTCCACCAATTTTTCTTCTAATTTCTTTATAACTATAGCCTTGTTCACTTAATAATATTTTACAGTTGACCAGTCAACTGTATTTGACCAGTAAAACAGTATTTGACCAGTAAAACAGTTGACCAGTCACCTCTTTGCATTATTACTTTAATTTTATTACGTTTTACAAGGTCACTAAATGAAAGAACACCAAAAAACCCAACCAACTTGATAGCGATCACATAACACACTGACAAATATCCTCCTCTCAGCTTCAATACAAGAAATCAATAACTGAATCCTACTGTGATCTGATTGGCTCATTGCCAAAACAAGATGACACCTGATTGGCTCTCTAAACACTCAGGCTACAATCAGACAAAGGAAAGCTACCTGATATCAACCTAAGCAAGTTGTGCTTCCTTTTTCTGGTTATTTGGCTATAACTTTTCATAGAATACAGATAACTGAACAAACTTTATTGCATTAAATTATTGATTAAATTATCTTTCCATTGATATATAATTTTATGGTACTACTCAGTGGTGGGTTGCTCCCAGTTCGCACCGGTTTGCAAGAACCGGTAGTAAAAATTTGTAGTAGTTCGGAGAACTGGTAATAACATTGGCTGGCTACGCCCCCGAACCGGTCCCCGGCCCTGTCGCTGCTCGCTTACCCTGCCCGCCTCATCAGAGGCTTTTTTTTTTTTTACTTTTAAAAGCATTTTTTCTACAACCTCTTCAGCTGAAAAAATGCTTTTAAAAGTAAAAAAAAAAAAAAAAGCCTCTGATGATCCTGTGGCTCAGCAGGGATCGTCAGAAGCTTTTAAAAGCATTTTTTTCTGCAACCTCTTTGGCCGAAGACATTATAGGAAAAAAAAATGCCTTTAAAAGCCTCTGGCGATCCCAGCTGAGTTGCCTGATGGTCAGAGGCTTCTAAAAGCATTTTTTTTCTGCAACCTCTTAAGGTTGTAGGAAAAAATGCTTTTAAAAGTAAAAAAAAAAAAAGAAGTTGGCCACGCCCATGTCACATTATCCCACCAAGCCACGCCCACAAAATAAGCCACGCCCACAGAACCGTTAGTAAAAAAATTTAGAACCCACCCCTGGTACTACTCCCAAAAAAGTGGGGTTATTCGTGTCGAACCTCAAAAATACACTTTCCCCAAAAGGTTGGCCACTACCGTATAGTGCAGACACTGCAAGAAAGGAGACATTTCATATCACAATGAGCGCAAATCAAAGACAAACATACAAATATGGCAGCAATGTACATGAAGGAAGGAGTTTACCCTGACCTGTCAAAAGTCGGACACAAAAACAAAAAAAACCCTCCCAAATTACAAAGACTCCACCGCCAGCTTTGTTTAAGCTTTGAGCGCAATTAAACAAAGCCTCAGGCATGGAAGTTTTTGGATTGCAAGAGAAAGAGCCTTGAAGGGGAAAAGGAGGGGGGGGCATCCATTGCAAGATATTAAAGCCAGTGTAAAGGAGGGCGGCGGGGCAGCTATAGAAAGACAAGGAGGGAGGAAAGCTGCAGGGGACTGGACGCCTATTGCAAACCCCGCGGGATTCAGCCCCTGGCAGAACCAAAGAGGGAGCAAAGCTCTGTCCACGGCCGGCTCACCCGCTCCCCAAGACCAGCCCTGCGCCCGGACAGGGACCAGCGTGCGCCCCCTACCCAGCGGGCTGCGCCGGTCCAGAGAAGGACCCGATTCGGACCCAAAAGAACGAAGCAGGGCGGCCCCAGCGTCACTCTGAGCTGCCGCTGATTCAATCCCTGGCGCAGAGCCAAAGCCAACTCCCGCCCTCCTCCCGTCGCTCTCCCTTCACGCGCCTCGACCCACCCAATGAAAAAGGAATGTGACAGCCGCCCGGAAAAAAAGATTATCTGCTCGTTATCTGGAAGGGTTAGGCTTTCTTCAAACCCCGCCCCCTCGGGGTTTTTTTTTTTTTTTTCCTTCGCCGGGAGGGGAAGAATGGCGGAGAGGGGCGGGGCTTTTAGGCGTGGTGCACCAACCGGTGGGATCAACAAAGAAGGCACTTCCGTTCCGTCACTGATCTTGTCCTTAACGGAGGTAGAGCCCCTTGGGGAAAATAATGAGTGCTGCACATAATGATTGCCATGGGTTCCCAGTGGCGGCAATTGCAACGCTTGGTTCGGATATTGCGCCCAGAGGTTCGCCTGCTGCCAGCCAGCTGTCAGTGGCGAAATTCCGCTAGATTTTGGCACAACTCGGCTGTCCATTGTCGCCAGCCGCCAGCCGGCAATGGATCGGCTCGGGGAAAGAGCGGGGCTGGTGGTACGCTCTCTTCCTGGGGGACGGAAGACAACGAGGAGGGGGACCTCGTAGACAACGACGACGATGAAGAAGAAGAAGAAGACGACCTGGACGACGTCGAAGACCTGGATGTAGAAGACAAGTTGTTGGAGGAGTCGAGATTACCTTTTGTCACCCTGGAGGCCCAAAAGGTGTTTATTGTACACCCGGCTGTGAAATGGGGACCTGACAAGCCGAAGCTGACCACAGGTGTGATCAAGATTGTCGCCGTGAGCTTGTCGATCAGAAAGGTCGCCAGTTCGAATCCTTAGTACAGGTTCTCCTGCGTGAGGAGGGGGTTGGACTAGATGACCTCCTAGTTCCCTTCCAGCTCTGTTACTGTGACCGCATAGAGTGGCCAAACCGAGATGCAGCTGAGTCTGGCTGCGTGCATGTGCCACGCTTGGTGCATTGGAACACTGTGCAAATGCTGAAAACTTCTCTGAAGCAAGAGCCCGCTAGTGAGGCATTTCATAAACTGCAGTCATATAATGTGATGATGATAAGGGGGGGGGGGGGAGGATTTTCAGTAAAAGTTGCAGTATTTCTCCTAATGAGGGTTTTTCCCAAAGTTGCATGCATAATATTTCTAGTAATGGAAAGATGGTGTTACTATGATGTTGCAGTGGTTCTTGTGCACATTCTAGGATCTAGGGTTTTTGTACCTCTGGTTTAGAAAATGAGGCAATTTCAAGGAACACCAAAGGTAGGACTATGACCTCTAAGATGCAGAAATCCAGAGGATGCCTAAAAGACAGTATACTTTCTAGTGATCATTCACAATTTTTTGCAGTAGGTTGACACTGATCTCTCAATACTGAAAAGGGATATCAAAGAAGCTTTCATTTAAAGTTAGTAAAGCTAGTTAACATTCTCCTGTTGTGATTTAATTTTTTTATCATATTACATTTGCACTTTACTCATACTTGATGGTCTTTGGGGAAAGGGCATAGTTTCTTTTGTCACAAATTCTTTAAAATGGACAAAGCATAAACTTTTTTTTTAACATTAATCAAATCCAAATGTGTTCATACTCTTTACCCATTCTCAGCTACTCTACAAAAGGCAGGCCAAAAATTGACATTTTAAAACAATTTTTATTTTTTAAAGATTACTACAGGTGAGCTTGTCGATCGAAAGATCAACAGTTCAGCGGTTCAAATCCCTAGTGCGGCATAATGGGGTGAGCTCCCATTACTTATCCCAGCTTCTGCCAACCTAGCAGTTTGAAAGCACGTAAAAAATGCAAGTAGAAAAATAGGGACCACCTTTGGTGGGAAGGTAACAGCGTTCCGTGCGCCACTGGCGTTTAGTCATGCCGGCCATATGACTGCAGAGATATAAAAGGGGGGAAAATATTGAGAGGCCATATTTTAAAAGATTTGGGATATTTTATTTTATTTTATTTTTGCTACTATTATAAGATTCTAAACAGGAGACGAACATCAAAATCTCATGAAATGTGGTGATTTGTGATTTCAGCCATTTCATTTTTTTTAATGTAGCCATTTTTATTGAATGTTGGTGTTCCATGGGCATCATCTTTAGGAATCATATGCCATATTGCCAAACTGGTTTATATGGTGTTTCTCAGAAATCTTTGTTGCTGTTAGATGCTTATAAAGGAAAAGATAGAAAACCACTGATCCAATTTGCGATTTATCATTTAATGCATTCAATCTTGAATGAACGCATTGACATTTTACTGATGACTGTGCTATTGATATACGGAAATCCTGCTAATGAAATTCCGTATTTCTGTAGTACTTCCCCTTAATTTCAAAGAAATAAATATTACAAAGTATCATTACATCCATTTTAATGCAGTTGTTTATATATAGGCAAATGTTAGAAGTATGTCATGTGCAATTATTGTTACAATTAATTTTTTTCCCAATGTTACAGCTGAATTGCAGCTAGCTGAAGCTGTTACTCTAATAAACACCCTTCAAAACTGGACCGTGATAGATACAATCATTCTGCCTATACAAATTCCTGACAAGAAATTTATCTTTCACAAAGGAAATTTTCAACTTCTAACTGGTAAGAATGTCTCTCAAAACTTTTCTTAATGTATATCTCCAGGTTACGAACATTCCCTTAGTGAGCGTTTGAAGTTACATGATAAACATCCCCTAGTGTTTACGAACAAGTCCCGAAATTACAAATGTTGCAGCACCAGGTCTCCTGCGTGAGCAGGGGGTTGGACTAGATGACCTCCATTGTCCCTTCCAATTCTGTTATTGTGACATTTGCCTGGCCTATTCACACACACAGCTGGCCAGGTCTTCACTGGCACTCCACCTGTGAAGACTCACCATGCAAAGGTCTCTCTTTTGTTACTTCGTTGCTTCCGGCTTTCGGTGAATTCATAGAGAACAGAGACCTAACGTACCCTGAGATCATGTGAGATCAGTAGTGCAAGATCTCGTGCTACTAATCTTTCATGATCTCGCACTTTAAGCCTCTATTCTCTGCGAATTGAGGCCTGGATGTTTGCAAACAGACAGAAGACTTCGGTCCTTCAGGCCTTCCCTCCATTTGCCATTTCATTGCTGAAGCCTACAGGGAGATTGCCTCCCAGTAGGCTTCGGCAGTCCTTTGTCGGCACCAGAGAAGCTTGGGAGGGGCTGGTGCCTTCCTCGAAAGCTCTGTTACTACCAGCAAAGACTTTTTGCAAAGGGCTGCCAAACCCTACAGGGATGCAATCCTCAAACGTTTCAGTGGTGAGAAAGGAGGCCCAGAGGTGCGTGTGTGGCCCTCCATGCCTTTTTCATTGCCAAAGCCTTCCTCAAGCAGTTTGGGGGTGAGAAAGGAGGCCTGGAATGGCACGCATGGCCCTCCACACCTCCTTTTTCATTGCTGAAGCAGTCCTCAAGCGGTTCGGCAGCAAGAAAGAAGGCCCGGAAGGACCTCCAGGGGAGGGAAAATGAGGTATCTGTGGGTCGGGGGAAGTCTTGAGTTGTCGGAAGCAGGTGGCTTGTTCCATCACTAGGCCCCCCATGGTCTTCCCCACCCCAAAATACCTCACGTACACTTAACGAGCCTCTCATTCGATTAGCAAATGCGTGGGCGAAAGGAGGGGAGTGATTGTTTTCAAGGTATGAGATTCACTCCTACGAATCCTCAGGTTACAAATGGAATGGGCAGGCTCCATTCCATTTGTAATACATGGACTACCTGTAATTAAGTTCCTATGAATATTTCTATTTGTATGAAACCTGGGCCAAATCCTTATTTGCAGTAAAAATATAGTATTGTCATATTTTAAATGTCTTTAATTTCAGATAAATTAGAAATAGTGGATATTGTACATCTTAATATTTTTTAACATGAATGATGTTATACCTTGCTTAAGCTATCAGAGATTTGATTCATAAATATTTGAAACATGGTTTGACTGAATAATTGTAGTGTTTCAATATTATTTCATTCATAAAAATAAAAATAATTAGATCTTACTTTCCAAATATAATTATCTTAATCATTTTTTTTCAGAAAAAATTAAAAGATTGCCTCTTTTATCATCTGTCTTTGTAAATGTAGAAATGCTCTCTCCTATAACTAAAGTAAGTACATTTTAGTTTGAATATATCAATTCTTTTAATTCAACTTTTTGGAATTTTTATATGAATATGATGTGCATGTTTCCAGTAAACCTGACACCAGCCATAGCATTAAACAACTGAAAGAAGCCATATAAGATTGGAAAATGTGAAGAGGCTTGGTCCATAGAATTGTCAAAAATCAACTTTTTTTTTTTTTTTAATTGATTTCTATGCCGCCCTTCTCCGGAGACTCAGGGCGGCTTACAATGCGTTAAGCAATAGCCTTCACACTGTTGTATATTTATACAAAGTCAGCTTATTGCCCCCACAAACTGGGTCCTCAATTTACCTACCTTAGAAAGGATGGAAGGCTGAGTCAACCTTGAGCCTGGGGAGATTCGAACTAGCAGTAATTGCAGGCAGCTGAATGATAATAACAGGCTATTAGCCTGCTGCACCACCAGGCTCTTCAACATGATTGAATGGATAGCATCATCTTTATAATAAATGCCTGACCAGTAATGATGCCAAATGCCAACCATAACATGGCTCAGATTTTCTGGTTGTAGTGAGATAAGCAGGATAATAACATAGAAATCAGCATTAGTTAGTTTTTGTGGTTGGTTACTTCCTAATTCCCACTTAAAAATACAAGTGCTGATTTCATATAACTTGTGAACCAACATCTGCAAATGCCTAAATAAGCTATTAAGGAAACTTACTTGAGTTCAGGGGTTTTGGAAGTTTAGAGGTTTTGGTTCAAGTATTTGTATTATTCCCATGATTGAGATGACCAATAGAGAAAGCAGAATTCATGCTGGTACTATTTTCTGCCAACTCCAAAATAGTAACAATTTAAATCAACCAAGGGGAAAAATCCTACAACTTTCTGTTGTTATCAGGTCAAAGGCAGCTGTTCTCCACCATCATTTATTTCATCTATCCGGGGCATGGGGGGTGGGGCATCTGCAAGACAAGTCAAAAATTTTCTAGAAAGGCTCTGCATGGCACAGCTTGTCTTCCATCAGATGCCAGGCTAATTAAAGTCCTCCATCATATACCTTCTGGAAGAGTGTGTAAACAGATCTGCTCAGTAGCAATATTTTCTTTGGAATAGTTTCCCCACAAGGTGGCCTCTTTCCTGTTACCAGTTTGGAAGACTGCCAAGACCAGTGGTGGGTTGCCCCCGGTTCGCACCGATTCTATAGAACCGGTAGTAAAACCGGTGGCAGGCTCTGCCCACTGACCCCGACGTCATCAAAATGCTTCTGCGCTTGTGCAGAAGAGAGAAAGCGCATGTGCGCGCGGCCCCGTTGCGAACCAGTAGTAAAGGTAAGTAGAACCCACCCCTGGCCAAGACCATAGTTTTCCAATAGCCCTTGAGGTTGGAGAAGGAATTTCTATTATAATAGAAAATATTGGGAGTAGGTATTTTGTCTTATCTCAGAGGTTACATGATGTATTTGTATTTATTGAATATATTGTAAATGTTATCTCAATAGCATCATGTTTTATTGTCAGCTGCCTAAAATAAGAATAGGCATGTTCATTTATGTAAATAAATATTTAACTTTGCATCTATAATTATTTGATCTAGTTTGGCATGCTTTACTTTTCTGGGTTCTTTGTAACTTTTCACCCTCAGATACTGCACTTATGAAAATGGGTCACCCGGCACACCAAATGTTTCTTTGTAATTAGAGTGCACTGTATGATGATAACATACAATGAATTATCCCCACATGATCTGCTTTGGCTTTCATTCATTATAGGCTAGAGAGAGGCTTGAATGCAAGTAAATTTGCAGAAAAATTAAACATTTCCATTTATGTTATATTTGTATAGAAAGAACTTGAAAAGGCCTGGGGCTTGAAGGTTTTTGACAGATATACCATTGTCCTTCATATTTTCCGATGTAATGCTCAAACAAAGGAAGCAAAACTCCAGATAGCTTTGGCTGAACTCCCACTTCTAAGGTACACAAAGTAGTAAAAGTAATGTTAATATCAACGACATGGAAAATATATTTTCAGGTAATAATTAAAATAATATGTAGCCTACTTGCGTTAGATTATATGTCTGTACATTTGTACAATGTTTCATATAAGGAAATTTAGATCAAACATGGAAACCTGATTATTATAATTCCACATAATAATATTTTGTTTTATTCTGTGGCTTTGTGTGTGAGAGAGAGAGCTTTTGGAAATCCTGAAATAACTTATGGTGTCAGTTTCTGGACTAGTTCTCAATATATTTCTCACATTGAAAGCATCATTTTGAATGTCAGTGTTCTCCAAAAATAGATTTTACTCCAAATTCCAAATTTATTTTAAATTATTATGAATGTCAACTAGTTGCAATATATTTATTAATAATAACTAGAGTTACATAACCATAATTGTATTATTTATTTATTACTTTCTATATTAAATAGTATTTACTTGTGTATTACTTTGGCTTAAATGCTGCTGTGCTCTACTTCCAAGGATTCCAAATGGCTTATGATTAACAAGATTTAAATTAAAATATAGGAAATCAATAGCATAATTGTAATAGCAACAAGGCCCTTATGTGCCACAATTTGGGCAGCAAAATCTTTAGGAATATTTGAAAGTCTATATTCATTAAAATCAGTTGAGCTTAATAAATATATTAGTTGAATCGGAGCTACAGATGGTCTTCAAATTACAACCATTAATTAAACAACGTAATTTAATTACGTTGGTGTTGAAAAAAGTGACTTATAACCCATCTTCAAAGTTACGACTATTGTGCCACCTCTGCAGTCACATGATCATAATTTGAGCACTTGGGAACCAGGTTGCAATTATCTTCTCACTGAGCTTTCAACAAGCAAAAGCAGTAGATAAACTGACGGAATGTTGCAAATTGATATCATTTGATGTCTCAATGTTGGTGGTGATTTGATTAATGATCATGTCAAAAATTCGTAAAACTGGTTGTATTCATAAGACGTCTCACCTAATGGCCATACCACTTTGCACCAAATTTTCTGGACATAATTGGTGGACATAATTCAAGGACTGCCTGTATTACCATTGTATTATAAACTTTCAGTAGACTAGTAGATCCATTCAAAGGCTTAAAATATTCCTTCTGTCTTTTCCCAGAACCAATGTAAGAAATGAGGTTGCTCAATTAGATCAACAGAGAGGTGGCTCAAGATACATTATGGGATCAGGTAGTATGAATAAGTTGGAAAAGAAAATATCTCAATAAGCAATCAAAACATTCAAAAATATTTTCCCATAAAAGAAGCTATAAATCACTTTACTTCAAAACAATAATTGTGTCTGTTTACAAAGTATTTGACCTTGTACTTAACTGACGTGCCTTTTCTCTATATATAATAGCAAACATTCTTCTTAATATCTAACTGACTTGTAGGTTGAAACAGTCCTATAGTATTTGGCCATCTACATGTATGGTCCTAAAATAACAATTCAGAACTAAGTTTTTATAGAACTCTTCTTATAATGGTAAGCAAACTTATATTACAATATTTGCTTGGATCTGATTCTGAGGATTCTCCATAGAAAACTCCAAACAGGAATACAAAAATATTTTTTATTTTTTCCATAGATTGTTGATTATAAAAGTGTCTTAGTGTAAATCAGTTAATGTTTAGAGATTGCCATAGCTATGATGAGGGCATAACTAGCCTTAAGGAATAGGGTGTATATTTAAGGAATATACATCTTCTGTGATATTGTACAGTGGTCCCTTGATACTCATCGTTAATTGGTTCCCAGGGGCGCAATGAGTACCAAAAAATTTTGTGTCAAAATGCCTGGAGTACCAAATTCAATGAGTTTCAAAACAGTTGAGTACCAAGGAACCATTGTATACGATCAGCTTTTGAATTCTTGACTCCTAAAATTCCTGATTTCCATAGTATACATTCAATTTTAATCATTATCAAAATTTATAAGATAGAATTTCAGTAAAAGTATAAAGTTTTAGTAATATATAATTTTTGAGGTTTTGAGAATGTAATTGTCAGAACTATTATTGGCAGAATTGCTGCAAATCAGCATAATATCTCATATGCTCATTTACTCTGATTAATGTAAATATTACAGGCTACTGATGGCACCAAAATATTGGTGCAAAATATGTTTACAGCATTTTTATTTTTATACTGTATATAGGTACAAAAATAAAAATGCAGCAATTCTAACTATGTTTTTGACAGGTGAAACCTTCATGGAAATTCAGCTTCGTCTCTTAAAAGAAAAAGAAGTTAAAATTCGAAAGGCTCTAAGGAAGCTTAAAAAAAATAGAAGTTTACTCAGAAAACAACGGAAGAAATCTGAATTTCCAATTATTTCAGTAATGGGCTATACTAATTGTGGTAAGGACCATCATACTGGATATTCACGTAAACATGTATATGCCTTTGTATAGCAGAATGTTTAAATTTGTGGAAAATAAGATGGGGGATTTCTTGACTGGAAAATTGGCATGCACATTCTAAATAGTAGTTGTAGCTTTTGCTGTCCTTTCCACATAGAAGACTACAGGAAAAATTAGGTTTTAAATTGGGAGGAAATTTCCCAATATCAAGTACATAACATATGCCTTGAAGCTAAAGAGTGATATATATGCATTCAGTAGTGATTTTCTATGATCGTCAGTATTTATCTCTTAACGAAAGTTTACATGAAGCAAACTGTTCAGTTTATATCACTTCTGTCTTTATGTTAGGGAAAACCACTCTAATCAAATCCCTCACAGGGGATGCAAAGTTACAGCCTCGGGATCAACTTTTTGCCACATTGGACATTACAGCTCATGCTGGCTACCTGCCATCTCGATTGACTGTTCTGTATGTTGATACCATTGGATTTCTCTCTCAGTTGCCCCACAATCTTGTTGAATCATTTTCAGCTACATTAGAAGATGTAGCTTGCTCAGTAAGTACCACAGCAATTACATATTTCTTTGTTCATTTATTCATTTTATTGATTCAAAGAAGAATAACAGGTTCATTTCTAATTTAAGAGTAAAAGGTACATAATACAAACAGTAGCAAAACATAATTTGGCAGAACTGAATGTGGGCTTTTGAAAGGCAGTAAGCATCTTTAGTTTAAACTATGTTTCCGACTCAGGCAGCCATACCAGTCCTTCTGTAATGTATGTTTGTGTGAGGAATTCAATCTTTTATTCAAACACCTATAGGAAAAGCTAGTATTGTAATATAGTTTTATCAGTTTAAACTACACATTTTGGGAGTAATAATAGATTTTCTGAGGGTTAGCATAACACCATGGTTAAGAAGCTGGACTTGGAGAGAGAAGAACCTGGACAGCTGTCCTGGAAACAGTAGGGGTCCAGTTCACATCACTTCATCCTGGTCCAACCCATCCCGGTGGACACACATATGCACAGGAGGTGGTGGGTGCATGCATGCAGAGGTCCAGCCCTTGCCATTCCAGCAGGCATGCGTGCGCACAGGAGAAGGCAGGTGCACACGTGCACAGGCCAGCCCATGCCATCCCGGCAGGCACACATGAGCACAGGATGGGGTGGGCCAGATCTGTGCAGACATGTGCCCACCTCCTGCGTGCACACATGCCTGCCAGGATGGCATGGGCCGGGCCGAAGCAACGCATGCGCCCGCCGGGATGGAATGGGCAGGACTGAAGCAATGGTAAGGCCCCTTACCATTTCCAGGACGGCTGCCCTTACCAGTCTTTCAGGTGTAGGTGTACGCGCACCGGGGGGGGGGTCCAGCATCAAAACTAGCCCTCCAGGAAATAGGCATGGCGGCAGCAGCACTGGCAGCAGGCAGAGTGGAGGGTGGGAGGCACGTGATGCGGACCACCAGACACACCTGCTCCATCCCATGTGGCTGGGACAGGGCAAGTGGCTTGCCTGGCACATCCAGCAGGCCGGACCGCGTGCTTCTCCCCTGTGTCTCTGCCTTTAGCTATTGCTTCCACTGCAGGTGAAGACAAGGTGAGGAGGGTGTGGGGCGGCTGCTGCCTACTCTCTTTTAGCTTGCAGTTGGAGAGCTGATCGCCGCTAGTCATCTCCTTGGTCTTGCCCTTGGCCATGGGTGGAGTGTGTTCCCCTCGCACACCCAATGCACTTTGGCACCACTGAGATCACCAGCAGCTCGCGTAGGTCCAGTAGGTTACTGCCATCGCCGCCTGGAGCATCAGGTCCACCCAGCCCGAAAGAAGCAAAGCTAGAAAGGGCAAGTAGAAGTGGTAAAAGCACGCCCATTTCCTAATATGATTTGATTGCTTATTTGTTCCCTATGACTATCATTAAGTGTTGTATCTTATGATTCTTGACGAATGTATCTTTTTATGTACACCTAGTGCGTATGCACCAAGACAAATTCCTTGTGTGTCCAATCACACTTGGCCAATAAAGAATTCTATTCTATTCTATTCCCAACAAGCCAAAGGCAGCCACCACAAGCAGGGAAGGCTCGATCCGCATTGGCATTATTGCCACCAAAACCCAGCTGGGATCACATGTCTCCCCCCCCCCCCCATCTCTGCTGGGCCTGGGTGTGCTTTTCCACCTGTTGTGTCTGGTAGTGGACGGAGAAATGCCACTTCCTCCCCTGCTTCCTGCAATGACTGCTGGCAAAGTGCCCCTCTCATGCACCCACCGCTGCAGTCGGGTGCGCAAGAGGAACACGCTCCACATGCAGGCCAAGGGCAAGACCCGTGAGCGGGCTGAGGAGAAGGTAACCAGCAGCAACCTGCTCTCCAAACGCAAGCCAAAACAGACAGTGGGGCGGAGTAAGCGTATCCAGCAGTCCGCATCATGTTCCTTCCCACCGCAGGCTGCCTCTACAGCTGGAAACCATCCCCTCCCCCCACATATTCATGCTAACTATCAGCCATCTAACACCTTTCCAGTATAGTTCAGTTTCAGTTTTGCAGCTTGTATTGTAATGCCCGCATAAAATCTACCTTTTTTTCTTCCTATCAAACCACTGAGTAATATCTGTGTGTTATTTGCTGCTAGGATTTAATTGTTCATGTGAGAGATGTTAGCCATCCAGAAACCAGCCTCCAGAAAAAAACTGTATTATCAGTTCTCAAGAATCTTAATATTCCCAATCATCTACTTGAATCCATTATTGAAGTACACAATAAAGTGGATTTAGTAGATAGGTAAGAGATAACTTTCAAAATGCTATTGTAGTTTATGTTTTGACTATCTTAGTTCATAACAAACTAAACCCAAAAGTATTTAGAATTATTATGGTGGCACCACAAGCTTATCATTGAATTGTAAGAAGCAGAATATTTTTTATCCCAGACAGGAATTTAATTAATCTGATCAATGATTCGCTTATAATTGGACAAAATTAGTTTCTGAAGGATACATTTTTTTAGCCTAAAGATGCTTCTAGAAATGACATAGTCTGTGGAAGCATAAGTGGTGCTGATAGCTAAGTGTGCTATTTTGCCAGCTTTGGCTGATGGTATTATTTCGTTATTTAAATTTATGTTAGCTGCATTCTTCTACAGAGAAAAGGGATCTGTTTACATGGTACATTTAAGACTTATTTAAAAGAAATAAAATACTAGGATTCTATCCAAACAGCAGAAGTAATAACAATCTTGAGTGGATCTGGGATGGAAGAAATCAATGTAACAAGTTTCTGAGGTGACTGTTACCTGTTTTACTTCATCTTACATGGCAGTTGGTGTAATGGTTCAGATTTTAGAGAGAGAACCAGGAAAAACAAAGAATCCAAATGAACACATTCATGGTTTCTTTCCCCCTTCTGATCCTCTCTGGATCAGAATTAAATTATCTTCCAAACAAAATTATATTAGTATGTAACACTACTACACACTTAGTATGTAATGGAGGTTGTTTTTTCCTACTAAATGATATTAATATGATATGATAAATACCCATCAGAAAATAAATGTTTTTTACTTATTTACAACAAACTAAAATATGAAATCTATAGTTGTATAAAATGTGTGTGTGTTATATAAACAAGCTAAATTTCTATAGTTATTTCAGAATTGTCTGCTGTGCCAAGGTCTATTTTTATTATGTCTGTTTGCTGCTAGGTATCAACCTGAAGAACAAAATGCTATAGTCACTTCAGCTCTCCTTGGATATGGTTTAAAAGAGCTGAAAGAAGAAATTGAGGCAAGAGTTTTGAAAGGAACTGGGAAAAAAAATATGACAATTAAAATAAATTTATCTGGACCTCAGCTCAGGTCAGTGACAACTACATACCAGCAATGGCTGGAAAATCATGCCAATTAGTATCAAAATTCTACTTTTTAGAATCAGTTTGCTTTTGGTTCTTTTTGCTATATTGACTCTGTAGACAAGTTTAATTCTACTAGCTTATCCAATTTTTTTATTTGCTAAGCCCATTTAATAACTAAAAAATTTTCTCTGTTAATTTATTGGCTGTGCATTTACACAAATGCTGCCCTGCCAACAGCAAAAAAACAAGTTATAGATAAGATAGAGTAAGCTGTAGAGCTGTGGTCATGCATTGTTAAGCTGTTCACTGTGGTGCAGTTTTATTAAAAATTGGAAGTACCAGATTTTGGTTTTCTGCAAAACTATCTTAAAACATGGTTACAGGATTGCAGGATGCTGCAAATGGCCATAAATGCCATGTTCCTGAGCACCCGAAGAGCAATCACATGACTGCAGGAAGGGCAACTCTTGGAATTTAGGATCTGGGTTGTAAGTCCCCTTTTTGAGATAGGTGATAACTTCAAACAGTTGCTAAGCGAATGGTCATACGTTGAAGACTACATACCTGTGTTTATAAGTCTCAAACCTCAGGAAACCCATTTCAAAAAGTCTTCCAAATTATCCTTGCAGATTAAAATTATTCAATTTTACAAAAAAGTAAGAGAAAACATGCAAGCTTGGAATATATTTCTCATCCTCAAAACCATGGGATTTGTGATACTCTGATTAATAACTTTATTTCTTTAGTAATAAACAACAGTTGTATTGTATCATTGCAGTTGGCTGTACAAAGAAGCAGTAGTACAAGAAGTTGATGTTGCTCCTGAAGATAATACAGCTAAAGTAAAGGTCATCATAAGCGACTCTGCCCTCTGGAAATGCAAACGGCTATTTCCTCAGTCTAGTTATTTGTCTTGATAACCGCAGCCTGCTTTGCTTCTGGGAGAAAGGTCCTCCAGCAAATTTTTAAGAGACAAGAGCTCCAATCGCAGTGATGAGACTGCAGATACAACGTTGACTCCAGTGGACTTAAAAATTAATGTAAACATGGTTAATAAAACTGTTACTCCTGATATAAAGCTTGCCAACTTTTCAACACTGAGTTAATGATGACCATGAGAAGAAAGCTGTTCCAGGACAATTTTAAATTTTTGTACAGGAAGTAGTTATCTATATGCGACAATTATATTGAATAGAGGTTGAGGTGTTTCATTTATTTATTAAATTCATATGCCACACATTTCATTGTCAGGCAATTCTGGGCAGCTTGCAACGTCATAAAACATTAAATACATGTTTTACACAGCAATATAAAACATTAAAACACTGGGCATTAGCATAAAACTGGGTGAACCAACAACTTGGGGTGTAGATGAGATCGTCTTACTAACCACCTATAGCAGAGGAACCTCCATCAGGACCCAAGCCAATTGGCAAAGCCAGATTTCCAGCCCTTTCACAAGGCCAAGAGAATTAGAGTTAGTATGCTTAATGCTGGAAAATATACACTTATAGGAGTATATGTGACTTGGTTTTGATTATGTGATGGATGTTGATATTATAACATGTCATTTGGAGTCTCTTCAACTGTTGGAATAATGTGTGATTGCTTTACATGAGATTCAGAGTCTTACAGCTAAAAAAAATCTATAGCTGAAGAGGGGGAAAGAAAATAAGCAGCTCAACCCAGAAAAGCACAGCTCAAATGGAAATATCTAGGATAATATGCTGTATGCTTTTCCCCGAAGGTTGGAGGTCTCAATGTATAATATTACCCATTAGTTTAATTCTATTTTTGGGGTACAGAACTAGTTGTCACTCCTGCTACAGGTATTGTGGAAGATTCTCAGAGCAAACATCGCAGCAAACAGTTATTTGGGATGGTAGATCAAGAAAGTGGCAGGGAGGGTGCTATTCACAGTCCACTTCCCATTCCAAATCCATTGCCTGTGAAAGAAGATATACAACCTCATAAACCTCAGCCATTATGAAACATTTTCCTTTCTTCAGCATAGTTAAGTCCTGCTTCTTGTCAGCACTTCAAGCTGCATTTACTCTAGTGCTGACATAAGAAGGAGAAGCGGAGGCATCTGGAAAGGGATGTTTGACTTTTCACCTACTTATTTTCCCTGGAGATAATATCCCCTAGGGGATGGGATGGGAGGGGGGAAATTCCTTTGAGCTGGAGCAGTAGATTAGGGATAGAGTGACTTGGAAGATGGCCAATGAGTGCAGGGGAGTGGGAAACGGAAAGGGAGGGTTTTGGGTCTGGAAGTCAGTGTTGGCTGCGATGGAGTCGGAGTTATAATGTCGTGCTTAATAAATGGGAGTTTTTCAAAAGAGACTTTGTTTGAAATGCAATTTATTTGAGATGACCTCGAAACTTGACACTTCTTTGTTTTTTCAAACAAAATTCCCAGGGCAGTGCTGAACTAGACTTGGAAAGAACAAGATTCTTGGCTATTCCCTCAGCCATGAAAATTTTATTGACTTTGAACTAGTCAAACATTCTTGGTCTGATTTGTCTCACCATATTATAAGATCAAAATATGGAGATAAACTGATGGGTCATCCCATGTAAACTAACTTCTGCTGGAGGAAGAAAGGGCTATAAACCTAATATTAATACTTAATTTACCAGTCTACTACTTACATCACGACCAGATCAACCTTGGGTATATTAAGATATAAGTAGCATTTACTGTTATGTCAACATAAAATTTATATAAAGTCTCAACCTAAGAATATAAAATAGAATATAATTTAACCAAAAAAAATACTGATTTCAGCCACATTGCACCTGCATATTATACTAAATTCTTAACTCTGAACCACTTTGAGCAGACCTTCCATCACCCTCTATGATGGTTAATTGTAGAAATATTGTATATTTTATTGAAGCTTTATTCTACCTTGGCTTTGAGAACTTCTTGTACAGCTAACTGACCAAACCAGAATTTATCCTAGACCTTCATCCATCATTGCTACTTCTCTTATTTGGGCTAATTCCTTGCATGTTTTTTTAGCCCCCACCCTTCTCCCCCTGAAAATTTAAACCACTGAAACCCATCTGCAGTTACAGAATACAATGTAGGGGCATAACTTCCAGAGTTCCATGTGCAGCCTTGGCATTCCTCCAGAAATCACTACTGAATTCTATGTTTCACTGCTACACAAAAGGAAAATGATTAAATGTACAAGAAGTAATAATATTAACTTTAGCTAATGTACTATTAATACAAATTAATTGGTTTTAAATGTGGCTTTTATCCTGGTACCAACTCTTTGGGGAGTGTTATCCACAGTATATCACTCATAAACCAAGTGTGACCTTGAACTGAAAAGTGCTGGCCAAATAAATACTTAAAATTTAGAGCTGGTTGCCCCAGAGATTTTTCTTTCTCATTTTATAGCTGCAATTATAGAAAGTTGAATACAATTTTCCATTTTACAGCTGCTAATACAGCAACAAATACCCTGGAATCCTACCCTTTTTATACTTGAAAAGGTTAGCCAAACCTGAGAGAAATTAAAAAATAGAATTAACAATCAATGTGTTTTGCTTTCTGCATCTTGCATACTGCTAAGCCTCTGGCCTCTTTAAACACGGTTTTATAGTATAGAGTTAGTGCCACTAAAGATTTAATTATATTTACATTCAAGTCATTTGGCTAGATTTTCAATTCTGCCTATGATTATCCTCTGTATGTAAAAAGGACACGCTAAGCCTTCCCTCCTTTGTTCCTAAGTTCATCAGAGCTCAGGAAATGTAGCTCATTTGTAGTAAAAACTTTGCATATATAAGATCCCATATACAATTATTGGACCCTACAAATAAAAGCTTGCTTAAAATCCTAACTGGTACTACTTAACATCAACAGGTTTTGGGCTACATGCATAAACAATTCAATAATACTCAAACTTGGCAACTTTAAGGCATGTGACCTTCAACTCTCAGAATTCCCAAGCCAGTCTGCCGGCTGGGAGATTTTGGGCATTGAAGTCCATATGTCTTAAAGTTGCCAAGTTTGAAAAATACTGACTTAACTAAGTGGTTTGAGTTTACTTACCGTGCTATATTACAATTTTGTCAATTAACCAGAAGTGGCTCTATATGTTATGCTAAGCCAAACTATAGTTTGTAAATCACAATGACTGAACCAAAACTAACTATATTGCAGCTTTGTCTACGTTCTTTGTACTAACTCATATTTGTCAAGTTGTTATGACCCAGGTCACCGAGGCAGAGGCAGGTTTCAATGGGTTCCTTTATTGCTCTGTTAAGTCCACAAAAAATTGACCTACAACATTCAGCAAAGCTCCACCCCAAACTTCCCTGAAGGCAGCCACTCACAGTCCCACAAATAAAAGCCAAAAATCACCAGAGCTGAATCACAAAGGCAGAGAGGAAGTCCAAAAATAAGGTGCAAATCCACAAGACAAGGTCCACAAGATTCCAGGTGCACAGGACAAGGTTAAGGGTCCAGAGGCAAGGGTCAAAGCCCACAGGTTAAGAGTTAAGAGGCAAGGGTCACAGTCCACAGGCAGAAACAGAAATCAAACCAGAATTTTTCCAAGGCCAGGGAAGTGCATGCCAAAGCAAACAATTGTTCCTAGCAAAGGCACTCTTCCTGGCCTCTGCTTAATTCAACCCAAGCCGGGTGTTCTGGCAGGGTGACTTCTTGCAAGCAACCTCACAGACCTCCTTTGAGTTTGCCTCTGCTCCACTCTCCATGCCCTTGGATTGAGTGGGGGAGGCAACTGTTCTTCATCAAAGGGGATCTACTGCCTCTCAACACCACTGCCTGTCTGCAGACAATCCTCCCCCATGTTTGTGAGGGCAGGCAGCTTCCCACTCAGTTGACCACCTCCTCCAATGCCTGAGATATCTGGGGCAGCAGCTTTCTCAGCCCCTGGCCTCTCCAAGCATTCGAGAGGAGATGTGCCATCCCTGTCGGATGGTCCCAGTTCCAACTCTTCTTCCTCCTCTGAACCGGGATCTGATGGGGCCATGACACAAGTGTATATGAGAAAAGCATTACTTACTATAATGCACAACTTCTTTTCAAGCATGATCTTGGATGGTATGATGACTCCCCTGGTTGTGTTACCAGTTACCTCTCCAGATGTCAGTTTGGAGGAGGATGAACCAGTCCAGCCATATTAGGAGGGGAGTTGGTCAAGCTCCAGGCAGCTGGCTGAAAAGGGTTTGGCTGAAGTGCAGCTGCAGCATGGCAGCCCTGAGGCCTCAGGTGGGAAAAGCATGCAGCTGCAGCCTGTTAGTGATGATGAGGAACTGCCTTCTGCACCTGATCCAAGAAGGACAGAGAAAAGGCAAGAGCAGTGAAGGTCAGCAGTGAGGAGGTAGCCTCATCCCTCTTGGTGGGCTGCACTCTTTGGCACAACAGGCCAAACAACAGGAAAACAATGGTGGGGACATGATGTTCATTCCTTAGCTACATGTTTCCTGGTCGTTGAAATTCCTACCTTGCTTTGGACTGACACCATGCCTTGACTTTGGATCATGCCTTGTGAACTCTGGATTTTTCTTGCTTCATGAACCCTCTTGTGTTGTGGATTTAATTTTACCTGGTGGATTTATCTTGCCTGGGAAACTTCCAAGTGCCCTGTGTACTCATTGGTCATTGCTCTGTGGACTAAAATAAGTCTGCTTTTGGCTGGACTTAATTGGAACATTCTGAGGTTTTGGTGTAGGGAATTGCCAGGAAACATTAATAAACCTACTAAAGCACCATTACATGTGCGTGCAAGTGAGCGGGACAGCACAGAGGTAGTCAAACATACAGTACTAACTAGTTGATCAAAGTTCTCCACGTTTCAAAATTCTGTAGATGCTGCACGTTTTGCAGGAAAACCATTTTTTTCCATAAAATATTTTTTTTAAAAAAAACCTTATGACATTTTCTAGTGATGCATAAATACAGTTTTTAAATAAATACTTAACTGCAGGTTAAAAATATGAGGGAGGTGAATTATTTGCTGTATTATATCCTACTTTATCCCTGCAGTTAGTCCCATCGTCTCCTTTCAAAACATGATCAAAATAGAATTATTGTAAAATCAGTTTGCTGTTAAGGTTTATCACATTCTCCACAAAATTATTTTTTTCTATGAAGTCTCCAGCAATGATGTTAATGCAGTCCTTTTTTGATCCAGGATGCTGTTTCTTTACCCACAAATTTAGGAATGGAAGAGCCTTCAGAGTCATTTTTTTAACAGAGCTGTTTATATTTTTCAAAATATATCCTAAATCTGCAGTAAGATTGATTCCTGCGACAAATAATCCATCTGGAAGGAGGAAAAACAGGAATAAGAATTGTTATTTGATTCTTGTAACAATTACCAACAATTTTCCAAAGAAGGGAATGTCTCATCCATTTATTTTAGTAGGATATGGTAACTCGCTTTATTTGCAAACTATACGCATTATGAACATCCCTCAGGTGATTTGCAGTTAAGGGGCAGAAAGAATATACTGTTGTTATTAGTCATATTTCTATGCTGCCCACTCTCAGAGGACTCTGAGCGGCTTACACCAAAGACAGTATACTAAATAGCATATTGCCCCCAACAATATGGGTCCTCATTTTACCCACCTCGGAAGGATGGAAGGCTGAGTCAACCTTGAGCCAGTGAGATTTGATCCGCTGATCTGCTGAACTAGCAGTCAGCAGTCAGCTAGTGAACTAGCATACTGAACTAGCATACCTTTCTTACATCTTATTTTGGATGAATCCCAAATTCAGTCTAGAAATGTCTGGCTGAGTATCCCCAAATCAACAGAAATTAAAACAGTTGTTTTCAACATCCTTGTTATTCAGTATATCAAATGTTGTTCTGCTCATATTAAAGCTTTTTTCATATAAAAAATATTTCTATATGCTGTGTATCCATCTAACTGCAAAGATAGAAACACATTTCTGAATAATGTGAAAATTTTGGAACCTTGTTTCCAGCCAAAAAAAAAAATGGGCTGCAGGAAATCTCATCAAATTGGAGTAATATCATTATGGACAGAGGAACATTGGTGACTTCCTCTTGATCTGACCACTAGACCTAAAGCAAATCCTCATAAACTGAAGATTACTTGGCTTTTCTGGTTTTGGGCCCATCATCACAAAAGCTGGTTGCTGAGTTTTGGTGGATATATGTGGAAATGCTAATGGAGGGGGACTCAGGAGTTGATTCAGGATATACACCATATATGCAGAAGGGACAAATACCTGGACGCCCACTTTGCTTCCTTTTTTCCAAAACCTCAATAAGCTTTTGTGCTGTATCCTTATTTCCCCACCAGTACGGAATTGCAGGCCACAATTCACTATGATGTATCACTTGAATTATTTCGTCATAAGACACAATAACTTGGTAGCCATTTGACCACATATTGCGTAGGGTTGGGATAACCTGAAAGGAAGAATAAGATAACATTTTGCATATCATTTATTTATATCCCACCTTTATTATTTTTACGAATAATTCAAGGCAGCAAACATATGCAACACACTAGAGGTGGGTTTCAGCAGGTTCTGACCAGTTCTGAAGAACTGGTAGTGGAAATTTCGAGTAGTTCAGAGAACCGGTAGTAAAAAGTCTGACTGGCCCCACCCCCATCTATTCTCTGCCTCCCAAGTCCCAGCTGATCGGGAGGAAATGGGGATTTTGCAGTAACCTTCCCCTGGAGGGGGTGGGAATGGAGATTTTACACTATCCTTTCCCTGCCACGCCCACCAAGCCACGCCCACCAAGCCATGCCACACCCACCAAGCCACACCCACAGAACCAGTAGTAAAAAATTTTGAAACCCACCACTGCAACACACCTTCCTCCTATTTTTCCCACAACAACAACCTTGTGAAGAGAGTTGGGCTAAGAGAAAGAATGACTGGTCCAAAGTCATCCAACTGGCTTTCATAGCTAAAGTGGGACTAGAACTCACGGACTCCCACTTTCTAGCCTGATGCCTAAACCACTAGAGTAAACTGGCTCTCTATTATTCATATCAAACAGATTTGGGATACAGCTGTGATGAACTCTATTGGACAAGTTCTGCAGGGGTCATTTAGTATTATCCAGGAACTGTTCAAATTTTGCCAAGTATTACAGTATCACTCAGAGTTGTATATGATCACTCCATATTCCCTCAATACAATATCTGACCATACGAAAGTGAATATAAGTAATCTCATAGACTCAAAATCTTAAAACTTGGTTTTCTAAGCAACTCACATTTCTAGGACACAATCTGGAACTGAAGATCTTATTTATTATGCAGGAGACCAAATGATTGTGATGATTTTCATCCAAGCCATCAAAATTTCTGAAAGCTAGAACAACAACCTCCCAAGGATGGTTTCTCAACCATCGTAAAATGTCCCACAGAACAACCTATAAAAATCAATGTAAGATTGATAACATGCAGTGTGAGACATGGCTTTGTGACAGAAGGAAAATGAATCAATTATAATTGGTAAATTTCTCAATGCTATTTATTATACTATCAGAACTGGAAATGTTCGTTGTACAGGATATTCCATGTGAACTGGAAACTTGCTATTTGCATATTCTTTCCTGTTTGATATACATAAAGTTGTAATGGGTAGTGATCCTCTAGCAAACCATACAAAATCTAGCTAAATGTTACCATAACTATGAAATATTATCTACATTGTGATTCCTAGAAAGCTTAGCTTCAATTTCCATGTTTTATAAGTATTTGTAATCCAACAAACTGAAAATTATTATGTTAAAAAAGGCTATCCTTCTTAAAAATAACATTATCCAAAGAGACAGGAACAGCACTACTCTTTTTCTCCAGAATTGTTAGTGTGCTCTTTAATTCCAGCCCTGATCCTAAAAAAAAAAAGAGCCTTGGTAGTACAGGGGTTTAAGGCACCCTGTTATTAAGCTGGTTATTAAGACCAGCTGCCTGCAATTACTGCAGGGTTCGAATCTCGCCAAGGCTCAAGGTTGACTCAGCCTTCCATCCTTTCTAAGGTAGGTAAATTGAGGACCCAGTTGTGGGGGCAATAAGCTGACTTTGTATAAATATACAAAAGGATGAAGGCTATTGCTGAGCACATTGTAAGCCGCCCTGAGTCTTCGGAGAAGGGCGGCATATAAATCAAATAAAAAAAAAAAAACAGATTGTTGATATTCTGCAGAATATTCCTGTGCAAAACACTCCTTGGCCAAACATTTGGGAGTCACTTTCTTGACCTGATCCTCAAAAATCAGTTGTCAAATGTGCTGCAAAATGATGAGGGAGGGAGGAAGGGAGGGAGAGGGAGAGAGAGGGAGGGAGGGAGGGAGAATATTCCAGCCTAACAATGCTGAAATCTATTAAAAAATAAAGTTGAAGACATTGTTCAAAATTGTTTGCACCTAGAAGGTACATAAAAGCATGACCAAATGAATTTTGCTAAAGATAGTCATGTTATTCAGAAGAGTTGGGTGTTTTTTTTTAACTAAGTAGGAATTTATGCTATAATTGTTGTTCAGTGCACTGTGAAATCTTAATAATTTTACAACAGAGCAAAATATGTAACTGGATGTGACACAGAGCTGCTGTGGCATGAATGCCTAAGTGAATATGATCATTTCTGAATCTTTACTAAGCACACGTTTTGGAGTTGATTCAAGCAGTGATTATCAGGAAATACATATCTTGAAAGTTGGCCACTTCCTGACGAAATGCATTGGCTTTTATCCAAACCAACTTCATTTAATGTATATCCTATTGAAATCAATGGGGCAAATTAGTTATGGGTTGATTTAAATTCGTTTTAATGGAAGCTACAGTAAATGAAGTATTGATCCTATAATACTTCTATAATAGTAGTATTATATAAATACTATTATAGTATTTCTATAATACTAGAAATTCTAATCCTCATCATTGAAAACCATGTCAAATTCAACTGCATCTTCAAAATTTCTATATCTATGCATTAGATAATACTGTAATCACAAAGGTTTTGGTTCATAAGTAACACGTATTTATGTTTCATATAGAAATCATCACCAATTTTAACAGAAATAAGCATAGCTAACATTTCTGGTCTCAGCTATTCCTGACTCTCTCCAACCTCAATATCAGAGGCCAACATTGTTTTGCTATAAAGCCCCATTAACTACAATTTTGTCAACATTATACATTTTATCATTATTCTTAGTCATTTAGTGGCTTGGTACTACCTTAAGCCTTCAGAAGGTATCATGAGTTGAACAATACAGATAACTCTTCCTGTCACAAAAAATGGCAACCCAATATACATATTTTGAAGCAAATAATCAAGCAAGACAACCTCACTTTGGAACCAGTGAGAGACTGATACTCTTAACATATATAGCAGAACAGTGTTTGCAGTATCTATCAAATCTGACATGCCTTTATGTTAGCAAGTTAATCTGGCATTTTCCTAGTTCATTTAAGATAATATTGTAACAAAATCTGCCATCCAATTTTCCAAAAGGTTTTCTTTCTTCACAAGATGGTTTCTATTTCTATAACTCAGTCTTGGGATACTTTAAAATTACTTTTGGTGGAGAGTTTAAGCTTATTTTGTTGCTGCAAAATGGTGGCACATGGTATGGATACAATCTATAAAAATCACTGACAGAACTACAGGAAATTCCTGCTTCCAACATTAGTTTCCCCATTATGTTTTATGCTGGTGAACAAAACTTCAGGTTGGTTCACAAATTTTTAAAAAATCTAAAAATATCTACAAATAAATCTAAAAATGCCTAACATAACACAATAAAACTGGAATGCAAAATGGCAAATGTTTATATTTCTAGAATTCTAGATATTATGGTGTTGGACAAGAAGTCAAAATGGAGATTCTGGACCAAAAGCAGTTGTTCACGGTAATGGGTTATCTATATGAGAGATCAATATCTAGCTTTTAGGGAGAAAGGAAATAGTTGTTTTCTAATTCTGATAACATAAATGACATTAGTCTCCATTCTGCCAGAACAGGAAAAAAAGCCAGAAGTATATTACTACCAAAAATCTGGGTTTCTGCACAGAAGGGACACTTCACAACACATATTTTTTAAATAGTGTATTTCACTTAAAACAATGATTTCAATAGAATTCAGTTAAGAAAACGTACCTCTACTTCCACTGTTGTATATAACATATGAACAAAGTATAATTTCATGGAAGGATCATCAGGTTTGTGAGCTATTCTAAAATCAAAATACCTAATTCCAGCATCCAATTGTTCCAACACAGTCAGATCCTGAAAAGTTAAAAAAAAAACAACAAAGGTTTCCAAAATGTTTGAAAGAAAGATATATTTAATTATGTTTCAATGATATACATTTCATAAATTTAAAATAGTTTTTGGAAGACAATGGTTTTGGTTTGCAGTCTACAAGTCTTTGGTAAAACCCACAATGTTTCTAACACAAAATAAATGGAACATAGACCACTTTCATCCAATGATTTTGCTCTTTCTTATGATACCTGTATTATGTATAAGCAAATTTAATGTTGTAAAAACAAATCTTCAAAAAGACAAAGTGGGAAATCCAAAAATATTTACCTGTGTTATTGACCATCTCAAAATAATAGGGTGCACTATGCAATGCATATGTTTATCCAGTATCTGCAACAATTTGGATCCATTTGCACTGACTTCTGACTTCTTATCCAGACAATATGTCATTGCATCATGACTACCTATATAGGATTAAAGACAAAGTCAACCTAATCCTAATCATTTGTCAGCCTTTTCAAATCTTACCACTGCACCAGACTTCACTCTAAAACTCTTCTTACTCTAAGGTAACCAGAGAAAGCTGACTGCAGAAACAGACCTAGTGATCCATTAAATCTGCCCTTTGAGTTTGTTTGTTTATAATTCCCAGCAAACCGTCAAAGATTATTATAAGTAATAAATACAAATAATACATCTCACCTGAGAGCAAAGGAGTGGCATGTGATCAGGTAATCATCAAGAAAGGATGACTTCTTTTGTAATGTTAAAGTAAGGTAAAACACATTTCTCTTCATTAAAACAATCCTTCTTTAATCTTTGTAACAAATATGGTAAATGCTACCTAAGAACTCCCTGGATGGATCAGGTGTGCTGTACCTCTGGCACCAGTCATCCCTTGGGAGGTTTATGGTGCAAGGATTTGTTTCAGTGTGATCTTCTTGGGTTCTTCTTTAATGTATTTCTTGAAGCATCATCCCAATGGGGGTGATTTTCATCACACCTTAATTTAGAGATTGATGGATTTAGAACAACTTTTATTTCATGGGGTTCAATTAAAGCTATCCTGGAAAGTCTTATGCATTTCTTTAAATCAGGGTTTATAGAGGTTGGAAAACTAAACTGGAAAAAAAAAGTTCTATCTGATTCTCAGATTCAATGGAATGAAGGATATATCCCACCCATCCAACTGGATGGGTTGCCACTACAGACTGAGCAAGGAAAAGAAAAAAATCCTTGTGCGGCCCTAGTGATTTTCTTTTCTTCAAGAGGTGGTTTAAAGCTTGGATTTCACTAACATCCTTTTATTTTAGATACATTTTGACAAGATGCACAGAACACAATATAATGTTTTAAAACTCTAAAGTTCACGCAGATATATCTGTGGCACTGGGCAAATCCACCGTTTATTTCTACACTTTTTGAAGAGATGTGTTACAAAAATATTAAGAAGTTGAAAAAGTAATGCTAAATATGTTACGTCACATTACATTTCGTTACCTTACCTTACCTTACCTTACCTTACACTATACTATGCTACGCTATGCTATGTTGTTATGTTGTGTTGTGTTATGTTATGTTATGTTGTGTTGTGTTGTGTTTAAACAATTCTTTCCAATTATCCAAATTTTGTTTCAAAATGCATTACTTACCTGGTAATGACAGATTAGAGAGAGGTACAGCCCAAAGACTTTCTGGTAAAACAGACATCCACTGATCAGCTTCACTGCCCAGGTTAATGGATTTTCTTTTTGGCTCTTTCTTCCTTTTCCCCATTTTAAATAATGTCCTAGAAAAAGGTCTAAACAAAAAGATGGTTTTAACTCTGTTCTGCATGTGCAAATTTAATTCACCCAATATCCTCACGTCGCCCATCCAGATGACATTCTCAAAATCCTTCAAAACCTGGCTATTCTCCCAAGGTCTTGAAGTGGAATAGACACAAGGTGTTTTTCTTGCTATGTAGAGCTTTCTCTTTTGGGTGTACATAATCTGTTTCCCAGTTCTTTGTTTCTTGCTTTTCAAGTGCAAGCTACTCAAAATAGTGTGTGTGTGTGTGTGTGTGTGTGTGTGTGTGTGTGTGTGTGTGTGTGTGTGTTTGTGTGTAGAGTGGGGGGGAGAAAGATTGAAGTGATAACAAACCTGCCCAGAACTACTTACAACCTATTTCTAAAGTTACAATGACTGCACATACACACCCGCAGTCATGTGATTGCATTTGGGGTGCTTGGCAACCAGCTCATCTTTTATGGCCGTTTGCAGCACCCCATGCTTATTTTGTGACTTTTTTGCCTGTTTCCAATGTTTACTTCTGATTTTGGCAAAGATCATTGGGGATATGGATTTGTTTAATGACTGCAGCATTCATTTATAAACTGTGCTGTTCATAATTCTACTCCCCAAAATGTTGAAAAATCAGGTTGAGTTATGATCACAACCGTAATTCCAAAATACTGGACAATAATTGCTAATTTATACAATTCTCATTCTGGTGTCTTCCTCCCAGTTTTAGATCTATAACCTATAGATTCCTTACTCTTTACACGATTCTGGCTCAGCATCAGTGATGTCCACGCTGTGTGTGTGGAAGGGGGGAGGGTTGAAAACAGGTAAGGCCTCATGATCCAAGCCCTTCCTATTTTGTTATATGTATAATACAGGTCCAAAAGGGGCAGAATGTGGATTGTGATGGCACACTTACCATCTTGCAGATTTTGATACACACACACAGATGGTCATGGATTCTGTTCCTCAGGTTTTCTGAGAGCTGTATCACAAAACGTAGAGACGGTTGCCCTGTGGGCTGTGGTAAAGGAAGTAATACAGTGGTACCTCGGTACTCATCATTAATTGGTTCCGGGAGGCATGATAAGTATAAAAAACGATCAGTACCAAACTAATTTTTTCCATAAGGAATAATGTAATGAGTCACAAGGCAGGTGACACTGACAATTTCTAGTTTGTGCATTGAGTACCAAACAAACAAGTGCTGGGACAAAATTTTCAAGTCAAAATGCATTGAGTATCAAATTCAATGAGTTTCAACGCAATTGAGTACCAAGGAATTAGTAATATCATCATCCCAAGTCATCCTAATAACATCATCGGCCCAACTCCTTTCTATAACTGATACACATGGAGACATAACCTTCAGTGACAATCCAATAGATAGATCAAGATAAGCTGAACCCACATAATCAGGATCAATATTTGTATTGCTGGTTCCAAAGCCAATTCACACGAATAAGCTATCCAGCGAAAACAGAGCTATTTCTTAACAAAAGATTCAGACAATCATTTTCAATTGGTTTTCCAAATGGTGGGTTTCTGTGAACTGATGGTTTTCTATGAGAAACTAGGGACAACTCCTCCCACTCCACCCCACCCCCGCCAAAGTAGTTCACTTAAGCACAGACAATTTTTTACTACTAGACTTGGTTTCTTAACCAAGATACTAGGTTTTTTTTTAACTAACTGGTTCTGTGATTTGAACATACCATCCCCAAGGATTACAGAATAATCTAAATTAAACAGATGTTCATATCTGTCACAACCTTCCATAGAAATTCTATTAATACATATTGCAATTGTTAATTTCATATTGTTGATATTTTTACTTTATGTTGTCCAAGGTCAGAGTAAAAACACTGTATAGTATTGTATATTTTCACTGAGCTACAAAAAAACCAAATACTACAAACTCCAATATGATTAAATATCTGTAATTTGGGAGAAATTGATTAGAAGGCATGCTCTTGTTCAGTGTAGTCTAATTTATGTCATGCACTTTGTTCAACAAGCTCCCTTGAATCTAACCTCATGCCACATAGATATTTTATGGCTTTGCCAGCAGAGTCTACAAGATGTAAACAGATGCAGCCTGATTATCTGTTGCAGGTCCTTCCTCTATTGACCTATTTTTATATAATCCTCTTGAGTGTTGCTTATTGTTTCTTAAATGGGTCATTTTCCTGCCCCCATAAACTGTCAGTTAAAAATACAATTGTTAGAGGAGTGTATCACAGAGATACAGCCTTCTTGATCTTGAAATTATCTTGATGTGCCATATTCCTGTTATCATACACTTTCATGGAATCAGCTGGTTGCAGATTAAAGAGAAATCTACCAGATTTGGTAGGCACTAAAAGTTGTTCCAGATGAATTTTTTGAGCCAAAGAAATAACTCCACCATAGACAATCTCTTCCACAGATACCCAGGTTAAAGCAGTAAGAATGTTATCAATTTGATTCATATCTATATAACCACATGCAATTAATTTTATCTAGAAATAATAATCATTACTAAAAATTGTTTTTCCCCCCCCTGGAAATACATCGCTTCTCAATCTGGATTCAAACATGTAAAACAAAAGAAAGAAATGCTCTACATTCAAAAACACCTTCATGCATGCAGTATGTCAATATTCATGCAGGACCCAGCAGTTGGAACTGTCAGCTGTAAAAATTATGTTTTTTTTTTAAATAAAGAAGTTGAATCCAAGCAATTTCTACAACTGTTTTTTGCAAACTGGTGGCTCCCAGATGTGCTATACAACAGCTTCCATCACCCCAGCCATCAAGAGTCAATGTCCTTCCAGCAAGGAGCTAACAGTCCCATTCCCATATTGACAGAAACTTTAACTAATTAAAATAGTTAAATATGGAAAAACGTATCTATTTTTTTATCTGTATATTCAGGACATTGTTTACATTGATGCAACCTGAAGCATTAGTGCAACCTTTTTCATTTTGTTGGAAAATGTAAAGGTAGTCTGCTTCCTCCTTCTGGTGTCTGTTTCCTCCAACTTGCTGCAGTGTGCTTGTGGTCCTCTGAATAATGTTCTTACAAAGCTGGGTTATTATTTTAATGGTGGAGCACTTGTTTGATAGGCTTGTGTTTCTAATTTGCTACCATTCTCTTTGCTGATTGAGATGTCAAAATGTAGCGTGTGGTTGTCGTCTTCTTGCCTTGTAAATTTTATCCCTTTGAAGATGTTATTGATGGTTTCATGTGTCTTCTCTAATTGTCTCTTTTTTTATTATGATAAAGGTATCGTCTACATTCCAGTCCCATTCTTTTGATTGTGTGGGAGTACTATAGTTTCTAGATGCTGCATTATAGTCTCTGATATGACTCCTGAGAGTGGTGATCCTATGGGTGTTCCTCTGATTTGTTGACATATTTGCCCATCAAACTGAAAGTAGGTAGAGAGGCAGAGGTTGATAAGGTCCATTTTTGTGGGTAATACAACCTTAGTTGAAGGCTAGGTGTGCTATGTAGTATTGCTGCCATAGATTCTTTCATTAGTTCTGGATCTATGGATGTAAAGAGCGTTATGATACTGAATGAAACCATATCTCATTTTCCTCCATTACTGGAGGTCCTGTAGTGAGGATTTGATAGAACATTCACTCCCTTCTGTGAAGTGTTCAAGCCATTCTTTACCTGTGTTGTACTTTGGTGACCCTGGTATAACAATACAGTTGGATACAGTTGGATAAAAAAGTATCAATAAAGGAGAATATTTGTAGCTCAGGGTTGAAATGAGAGGTGCTTGGTGCTCTCTGAGCTTGGTAGTTTTCTTGCAGATGTTTCATTACCCAAATTAGGCAACATCATCAGTTCTAGACTAGCAGTCAAAAGACCCCTCAAAAGAGGTATATTGGGCTTGTGTATTTGGGGTATTCATGGAAATATGGAAGGATGGATTCACTGTTTTTCATCTGCCACTGTTGTTTTATGATTGGACTTCTTGTGTTTAGCTCATTAAGGGTTCTCTTGATCAGGTCATCTAGTTTCTGCACTGGGTTGGTATTTATAGAGATGCAGTTCCATTTGTGATCTGACCATGATAACTATGGTACCGCCTTTGTCTGCTGGGAGGATGATGATGGTTTGGTCTTTCTTTGGGTTTTTGAGAGCGGCTCTGTCCTCTGCTTTGAACTGGCTCTAGTTCTGTGTTCTTATGTCTCTGATATGATCATCTGTCTTACATTCTCTTGGGTTTCTGTGATACTTCTGTGGTTTTAAATGCTGTTCCCAAGGCTGCAAAAAATTCTAATTGACATCATTTACAGTATGTTATAATTGAAGCCTTTGTGTAGGGTGTTGTGTTTTGTCGTGAATAGTGGGCAGCTGGACAAGTTGACAACTCAGTCGGATTCAGGTATCTCTTTCCTCCTGGGGTTTAGTTTGAGCAGTGTGCTTTGAAGCTCCGCTTTCCTCATTCTAGCTGGCCTTAGAAATGTAGTCTTGATGGCAATTGTCAACATTGCATGTTCTGGGACATAATTCTGGGACATCAGTTGCTCCTTGATGTTATCTATGGTTTGCTGGTATTATTTTTTAATATAAGATGCACATCCATGATCATTATAATTATTATTTTTTGCCCACTTTGCCAGTTTCCATCCAGTTGTGCCATTTACTGGAGTCTGTATCTGACACTTGTGGACATGCTATTGTAGGCATTCATGCAGAAAGAACAGCTGTTCCTGGGTAGAGGTTTGTTTGCATGCAAATTTCTCTTACTTACGCTTTCTGAAGCATTTGATGCCTATATGGGAAACCCCAATGTCAGTGGGGAACTGGCAAGGAAGAGAATATATGCAGCTCAGAATTGTCCTTTGGAGTCCTGGTGCTCTCTGAGCTGAGTTGTTTTCATGCAGATGTTTAATTGCTTGAGTAGATAACATCTTCAGTGCTGGAACAGAATTGGGTTCACTTTCTTTTATATAAACTTGCTTGTCCTGTCAGTGTAGATGGGGTAATGTTTTCTGCTTGGTAGTTTTTTCATAGGGCTGTTGGTCCACAAACACTACATTTGTACATATTGTCCATATAGTCATTATTTTTAGCAGATGTTTAGTACAGGCAGTCCTTAACTCACAACCATTCATTTAATGACTGTTCAAAGTTACAACAGTGCTGAAGAAAGTGACTTACAACCGGTGTTCACACTTAAAACTGTTGCAGTGTCCCAGCAATCATATGATTGTGATTCGGGTCCTTAGCAACTGTCACACATTTATGACGGCTGCGATATCCCATGATCATGGAATTACCCGCTGGCTTCCAACAAGCCAAGTCAATGGGAAAGCCAGCAGGGAAGGCTGCAAGTCACAGTAATGTGAAGTCTTGCTTAACAACTATGGCAAAAAAGAAGTTGTAAAATTGTGTACAGTCAGGTGATTTCCCCACTTAATGACTGCATCACTTAACAACAAATTTTATGGTGCTACTTTGGTCATAAGTCAAAGGCTACCTGTATTGCTACTTGGTGGTTTCCCATCCAAGATCAGGTGGGTGCTGTCAAATGACAGGACAAAGCTATAGGCTTTTGGACCAGGTTCATACATTGAACTATAATAAGCCACTATGAATTTTTAACCCATTTCAATAAATTGCTTAATTTCTAAATTGCTTAATTGCTAAAATCAAATGTGCCATGTTATGGCTCAGCAGAATTTGGGGACCAGATCAAACGCAAGTTGAGTTTCTCAGAAAGCACCCAAAGAATCTGAGGCTTCTAATCACTAATTGGAATCAGGGTCATTTCAAGGGATCTTTTATTGTGCAGTTGCCCTAACAAAGAGCATCTCACATACAGCTTCCATCTTTGAATGTTTGCCCATTCTTTTTTCCCCAAAGAAAGTTTGCTAAGAAGGGGCAAGTGGAACACTGGTCAATATTGTAGAGTAACCCAATGAAAGCATCAAATTGCAAAGAAAATATTAAGCAATATATTCCGATTCTTGTTGTTATTATTATTACCTTGCCATATTAATGCTTCAATGGCAAAGTGAAATATCCCAGAACACAAGATTTCCCGATTTCCCCTTGTGAAATAAACTGGCAAATCTATTCACACATTCACACAAACCATAATAAGAATTTAATTCCGAGTAATCAGGGAAAATAAGACCAACAACTCTTCTCATTCATCTTATCATTATTAAAACAAAAGAGGAAAAAGGAACCCCATTCTGTTACTTACTGACAGCGAATAAGCGAGCGGACCAATCAATCAAAGCCACTCCGTTCCAGGAAACAGACTGAAGAGTTTCAAAACCCGCTCCTTTCAAAACAGATCCCACGATGCCCTCGGGGATCCGGAGTCCTCAAATCTTCGTTTTCCTCCCCAACACGAGCGCAGCGCATTGGGATTTGTGTTGGTTTAGTCACCGTTTTAAATCAGCACCTGAGCAATCTTTGCAAAGGGACAGAGAGAGCGACCCGAGGGGATGGATCCGCATTCCCTTCAGAGGAGTCGGCTCGGATCTCCTGCCTCAGCGCCTCGCCGCGAATCTTCAGCTTCTTTGCATACCAGCCGCGCGATTGGTCTGCTCCGACAGTTCGGCTCCTCCTCCTCCTCCTCCTCCTCGGCTCGAACCTGGCGGGAAATGCCGGCCGAAGCGCAGGTGTCAATGTGGGGCGAGAATCGGGAGGCGTGAGTTTACAGCAGAGGTCTTCAAACTTGGCAGCTTTAAGACTTGTGGACTTCAACTCCCAGAATTCTCCAGCCAGCATAGCATAGAGTAGAGAATTCTGGGAGTTGAAGTCCACAAGTCTTAAAGCTGCCAAGTTTGAAGACCTCTGGTTTACAGTGTGTCTAAATACGTAAATGTGGACTGCATGAGTCGGGATGCACGTCTGCAGTGCAAAAAAGTCAGGCAGGCAGCAACCCAGGCTGATTTCCGAATAAGGGACATATGAAGATCCAGTTCGGGATGTGTTTTCGGGGGCTGATTCTGTACCTGTTGCTGTCTCCCAAATCAACGTGCTGAAATCATCTGAAACAGGGGTCTCTAACCTTGGCAACTTTAAGCCTGGTGGACTTCAACTCCCAGAATCCCCCAGCCAGCAAAGCAAAGCTGGCTGGGGAATTCTGGGAGTTGAAGTCCTCCAGGCTTAAAGTTGCCAAGGATGGAGACCCCTGATCTGAAGGCTCGTATATGAAAAACACAGAAAAGCTCTCAGGGACAGGCAGAAAAAAAAAAGCTAGCTCGTAAAGCCGTTACTGTCAAAGCTTCAGGCAAAGGTTCTGTAGTATATGAATTGGCAGGGCTTGTGTTCGCAAGGCACACTTCAATTTACGTCATTTATTACTATTATTTTTTAATGCCCTTGAGACTGGAACTGTGGGCTGTGATTGTGCAATGTTCTAAGGTAATAGTGTGGCTGAATGGTTTGCATAAACACGGAACCTACATTCCTTATGAAAGTGGGGGAAGGGAAAAATTGGTTAGAAATATCTGGGTCAGACAGCACTGTCAATTTTAAGATGAGTGGATTCAGATCCCAGAATTCCCCAGCCATCATGTTAAAGTTGACACGGTTGAGAAATACTGATCTGGTTTGAAATCTTTCCAAGTATGACTATATAAATCTTTATAAAAGTGTGTTAAAGTTTGGCAGATTATTTAAGATTTTCCTCTGTAAGGGAGGGGGGAGGAGTTCTTGAGTATGTAATGTGTATCCTACTTCAGTAAGAGTGCATTGGCTTGGAAGTCATTTGGACATCATTCAGTACATCTCCACTATTGAATGACCTGAAAGACCTCGTTAGAGATTGTCATGGAGAAACTCTATCTAGGTGGTTGGTAGGAGTCAACAACAACACTTGATAGCATGTAATCAATTAAAAATTCTGTGTGCCTTACCCTGGCACCATGGGTAAGACACACACATGGGACAGATCCTCTGTTCCTTCCTCTGGAAAATCAGCCAAACTTGATATATCAGAAATGCAAAAAGACCTGCAGATATCCAGTTGGAGAGGGAATGGACAGAGAGGATCTGGTAGGAAGGGGAAAAGACCTGTGGGGACACAAAGGGCGGTAAGCAGAGCATGGGGTGTTTTGGGGGTGGGAAGACCTTGGGAGGCCTTGGGAGGCACCCCATGCTTTACTTGATGACGCATGCAATAGCACTAGCAATAGCACTTAGACTTATATACTGCTCATAGTGCTTTACAGCGTTCTCTGAACAGTTTAGAAAGTCAGCATATTGCCCCCAACAATCTGAGTCCTCATTTTACTGACTTCGGAAGGATGGAAGGCTGAGTTAACCTTGAGCTGCTAGCAGTCAGCAGAATTAGCCTGCAATACTGCATTCTAACCACTGCGCCACCACAGCTCTTTTACATATATAGTTCATGGCAGTTCAACTTAGAAACCATAATTGATATGACAGATCTAGTGGAAGGATCTATAAATAAATAGAATCAAGGAAAAAAACAGTGGGAAGAGCTTGGGCGATGATGTGGCTCTCCATTTTTAATGTGCCATTTCCTCTACCTCAGTCTGTTCTCAAAAGAGTAGATTAGATTGGCATCTTTTCCAAATTGCTGTTGATGAACCCATTTCCATCGTATTGAACAAATTATATAGTCATACATCATTTCTAATTTGAATTATTGAGCTATTAGTACGTATAGCACTTATAAGAAAAATGTAGGTGTAAAGCTGCTATTCTTTAGAAAGACATAAAAGTAGAGAGCAATGCAGTCTGTCACAAAACAAGTATGTACTACATCATCCAGGTTCACCTGACTGGAGGACACAAATCGGTAAAGTGACTTTGAGGAAGTGCTGTCAGAGACTCAAATTAGCATTAATTCTAAGCTGCTGGAATGGAACAAGGGCTGAATCACAACTATGCCTGAAAAAGAAAGCAAAAATTTCAATGCTCATGATTTTTAATCACAAACTCATGATGTGATGCTGGGGGGAAGAACCTGGCCTCCTTACCCACAAGAATTCAGAGCAGCCATGAGAATCATACTAAAACTGCCTGCAGCTCAATGATTGGTTTCTCAAGATGTGAGTCTTGTCAGCACAGAGCTATTAAGAAACCTCTTCCTTGTCATTCATACCATGGTCAACGAGACTTCCTGACTAGCATCTACTGTATATTATTATATAAAACTGTAGAAGGCCATTAAAGACCTAGAATTGCAGGAAACAAACAAGTGATTTGATAACCCATAATAGTAAAGACAATTAATCGTAAAGTCATTAACTTACTGAGTGACTTTGGTCAAAGTAGAATTTTAGGGAAGAAAATGTTCCTCTATACATTAGGAGAGTGTGCTACAACTCTCAACCCTAGGCCAGTCTTCCCCAAGTATGATATTAAAAAGATTAGTAGAAACGTATCTGAAGTAATGGGACTAGAAGGGGGTAGAAGCATTTAGAAAATGTGAATGTAAATGGTTTATTAAGGAGAAAAATTGCATTGATTCATTTTTGCAAAATGAAAAAAAAATCTTGTGCCTTAGAGATTAATTGCTGTTTCACTAGCAATTGCTTGTTAGCATTTTATGATCTGTAATTCATGGTTTAGCCAATTATGATTTGATAAACCATGATTATGTAGATTGTGGTTCAATTAATTGTATGAATATCTATTTGAATATAAATGCTAATAGTAACAGCAAGAGAAACATGCTCTACCATACAATAAACTAATAAGATATAAGGTGACTTCAGGTTAATTCCATCAGACTGAGCTATAATTATAATTGCTTTAGCAGAAGTTGGTGATACTATCTAGCAATTTCAAGTGTATATCCAAAGAAATGAAGGGAGAAAGCAAAATGCTTTCTGAATTAAGGTTTCAAGTAGCAAAATAATGATTTGAAAAAGTTGCAAACATTAATTTCACAAGCATCAAAAACAAGACGGAAGCAGTTATGAAAATGATGAGCAAAATTATTTAAAGATTAAAAAACAAGGAAGTGCACAGCTTCCTCATTTTTGTTTGTGCCTAAATTGCTTTAGCAAATTGAATTAGCTGGATTGTTATATAAATTCTCCAATATCACATTTGGAATGCATTCTCTTTGCACAAAATGGTAATGTGATTTGTTGGATTATGGTTCAATAGGATATGAAACTCAACCACTCTAGCTCACTCAGTAAACATAGTTAAACAAATATTGGCTTTGTGCAATGTGGGAACCTATTTGTATAGAGCCAGAGAAAGAAAATCCTCTTGATGGCATAGCATTCAATGGGAATGTTCCAAACCACTCTCTGTTCCTAGTTTAACAGGGAGAGAATTTAGAATGTGTTATGCTGTACAAGCTCCACATCCACTTCAGTAGATTGCAAGATGACTGTCATACTTACTGTATTTTTGGGTGTATAAGATGGACCCAATTTCTCCCCCTCAAAAAATGGGTGGAAATGTCTGTGCTTCTTATACAGCGAATGTTGCCAAAGCCCCACCCACCCTCCGGGAGGCAGAAGCTTTGGCTTCTACCTCCTGGCAATTCGCCTCCTTGCAGCAAACAGCCTGGTCAGCTTCAGCACAGCCTGATTTAGCACGAGCAGCTGATTGGCGGTTGGATCTGCCTCCTGGAATACTGCCTTTCAGCTGTTCCAGACTGCAGGGATCGCCACTGGCCATCACCGCTGCTGCTTATTGCCACTTCTGCGTGTCCCATTTTTTACTTCCGCGCATCCTGTTTTCAGCCTCTGAACACCCCATTTTCGGCCTCCACATGCCCCACTTTTGGCCCATTCCAGGCGGTGGGGATCGCCACCGCCTATCCCCCCACCTGGAACAGACCAAAAATGGGGTGCACAGAGATGGCGCTAGGCAGCAGCAGCAATGGGCAGCAACGACGGTGATGGGCGGTAGCAATCCCCACAGCCTGGAACAGCTGATAGGTGTATTCCAGGAGGCAGATCCAACTGCCAATCAACTGCTCCTGTGCTGAAGCTGGCTGTTTGCTGTTTGCTGCAAGGAGGCAAATTGCTGGGAGACAGAGGTAGAGGCAGATTTTTTTTTCTTATTTTCCTCCCCAAAAGCTAGGTGCGTTTTATAGTCCGGAACGTCTTATAGTCTGAAAAATATGGTAAATGAGAAGGAAAAAAATATTTTATTGATAAAATCATACTCTTCATATTCTTCAGGGAAATATCCTGAGCTTACTTTGTAAAGAGAGCTGCTTGGACCTGGTGCATCACTTTGGAGGCCATGGGTGAGTGCAGCCCGTGCATTTGGACAGGATTTTATAGGTTGATCATGCTAAATGAATCACAAGATATGATTACTTATCTAATAAGTGCAGATTTGATAGTAGCTATTCAAGTTTCTTTCAGGAATGTGAATAGCTTGCTCCCAGTCACCTTGGAGTCAGCTTTTTCTTCCCTCAGGGTTGGGATTTAGGACTTTTAATCTTGAATATTTTAAAAATCTTAAAAATCACAATCATTTTTGTCACCACTGCACTAATCCAAAACAGAATAGGTTTATGATTAACAAAGATATTGTGGGCCATTGGTTGAATTTACATGAAGCAGTGAACTGGAGTGCTATGTTTGGTGTACTTGTTCAGACGCTGGCCTAGTAACTAGGAGACTGAGTTCTAGTTCCACTTTAGGCATGAAAACTGAATGGGTGAATTTGTGCCTGTCACTCTCTCTCAGTCCAACTCACCTCGTTGCTGTTGTGGGGAAAAGATAGTACAGGTACTCCTCGACTTACAATCATTTGGTCACTAATTCATTCAGATGCTTGGCAACTGGCTCAGATTTATTGCAGTGTCCCGGGTCGCTGGCGCTATGCAAACGAGTAGTAAAGGTAAGTAGAACCCACCCCTGCCTTAGTAGTATAGACCAATATATTGGTTTTAGCTTTAATAATAATTATATATTTTGTTTGTAAAAGCAAAGGCCATGATAGTAAAGTTATGCATATTAATCAACATTAAAATTTCCCCAAATTATTTAGACATACTTAGTCTATGGAAACTTGCTACTGTAGACTGAGTCTAGAGATACAGCCCTTCAAGAACAGAGCTAAAAAGAAAGGTTGATTCCATGCCAAATTGTTAATGTGCAATTGTCCTGCAGTACTTGGAATTTTAGAGGAATCCTCTATTTATAATTGATTTCCCATTGTTTCTTCAATCTTTTCACCCTTTTCTTCAGAAAATGAAATGGTAACGAATTATGAGTTTTTAATGTGCCATACTGTAATTATTGCATTTTCACTGCCAGGGAAAGGAGAGATACCTGTTGGAATTTTTCTTAGGTACCAAAGTCTTAGATATTTGTATTAGATATTGTGAGAACAATCAGCTTATTAATATCAATAAACAATTAACATTTAAGAATATTCATAAAGTCACACATTCAACATATCAAAACATAAGACCTAAGATAATTAATGGAAAATAATAATAAAGAAGCCATAAGTAATTTATATTCAAGGCAGTGGCTGGTTTGGTTAACTTAATTATGAATTACTCAATATGGTAATTTAAATAATGATTGATTCATAATTATGTGGTTAATACTTTGAATAATACACTGAACCATAAACTAACTATAGGCTAAAATGTGATTCAATAATTTGTGGTGTGGTATGCAAATACAGACATTAAAAAAACTGTTTGCTAATATGGTACAGTAATTCTTGATCAGACTCTTCAACTTAAATTGTCTGCAGTGGTATTATAAATCTGAAAGAAAATGGGATATAGTTATTTTTTAACATTAATAATCTCCTTAAATGATTGGTTAATAATTAATTAGTTTAAAGTGTTAGAAATTAAAATAATTTATTATCAATAATATCTTCACTAAATGATCTGTATGTCTACAATACTTACTTATAATAGGATGGGAAAGTGTTTTTATTCAGGCACAGATAAATAGGAGTATCTAATGTAGAAGAATATCTAAATTTGGAATATCCAGGGGTGATAATAAAGTAGGGTTTTTATGTGTATGCAACATCAATGTGTGAACAAAGGATGGAGCTTGATTGTACTGCCACACACACCATCTCTGCTGTTTTGCTTCTCCCACCCTCCTCGCTGCACTTCAACGCTGCTGTCCTGTTCAACTATGAACAGGATCATTTCTGTTCTGTTATCTAGATTAGGGGTATCCAACCTTGGCAACTTTAAGACCAGTGGACTTCAATTCCCAGAATTCCCCAGCCAACATGGCTGGGCGGAGAATTCTGGGAGTCAAAGTCCACCAGTCTTAAAAGTTGCCAAGGTCGAATATGAAGAAATGAATGAAAATATTCCGAAATGTGTATATGTAGGTATGTATTTATAAATTGTTAAATTTATTTGTCTCCTATCTCGCTATGGGACTGCTGTAGGCAACTTAAAACCATAAAAAGGAAGAAATGAAAAGAGTGCAAACAAAACAGAGTAAAATAATAGAACAATATAATAAATAATGAAAAAGAAAATGAGAATCCATAAATATGATAATCAAAAAGGACGGTTGCAGAGCAGAGAGCAAGGGGGGAGGGGGAGTCTGTTATCAATCCAGCAGCCACTTACAGCATGGAACTTCTCCATTGGGTCCCCAGTGAATATACTAATCATCCCTTTTAGAAATGAGCCAGAAAAGTTCAAATTTTTATTCTTGTGGTTCCCCAGCATAGAAGATGCTCTCTAACCATGGCGAGTAGCTGCTAGAACATAAACCAAAAAAATGTGGGGAAAGAATTGTGAATTGTGGAATCTTTACCGCCAGCATGTTCTTACCTCTTTCCTGTAAATGGTCAGCAAGAGACCTATTTGGGGCACACATTCTCTGCACATAACCACTTTTGAGTGCCAGACTGAAAGGGGCAGATGATGGCTAATGGAGAAGGATGGCTCCTTTTGACTGCATTCCCTGCTTCCCCCCAAAGGTTCTGACTCTGAACTCTGAGCTGGGTTGTGAAGGGAGCAACATGTGATGCATATGTTGGGGCCAAAGGGATTGTAGAAACGTTTGCTAGAATAAAAATAAAATGTCTTGGCTAGAAGGATGGCCAATGAAAAGGGAGGGAGGGAGGGAGGGAGGTTGATAAAAGTGAAGACAATAATAGCTGATACTGGATGGGATCCACTAAGATGGGAAGGTAAAAGTTTGTGTGTCTGCAGAGAAAGTCTTGTGGATGAAATAGAAAAGAAAGGAGCAGAGTTGGGAAAACAGGCAGCATGTATCTGTTATAGCTAAATATTCATTGGCTTTTCAATCAGTAAATTGATAAATTCACACATATACAATAATTATATATTTGAAACTTTATTAAAATATTGATTTAACAGAAAGGAAAAACATTTTTTTACTTAGCTATAATAAAAAAGCAAATTGGGCACAATTCAGATCTGAATTCATGGCTTGGGAGTTTTTTCCTGTACTTGTTGGTCGACCATCCTTTTATAGCTTCTAAAAAAGAGACAGATAAACTGTGCAGTGATGCAATGCTGTCATTTCCTTCCATCCTTGTTTTGATACTTGCGTCTTCAAGGGTATGTATTAACCTGCATATGAATATGGTGGGATTCCTTTCACCCCAAGGCCAGTAATCTGTTTTTAAAAAATGAGGATATGAACATGATACTTTCAAAACTGTCTCATCTTTCCTAATAAACACAAAGCATTTATTTCAAAAGCAAATATTTGCCTGCATATGTTCATTCGTTTAATTAGATTTGGAGAGTTTCTGACTCCCAGATAACATTTTATGCCTTACATCCAAGGACAAGACACAATAACACAGTAAAAAGAAAAGAAAAAAGAACCACACAAAACATCCCAAAAATCCAACAAAATAACCATCAGGAGTTCAACAGCCGTTCTAACCCTAAACCCAAAAGCAAAGCTAGGTATCTAAAGACATAGCATTGAATCTGAAATGCTCAGTTTGATTCTTCACAATACCCAAGCTGCTTCTTTTTTATATACATTTTTTTAAAAAATCATATTGGAACTTTACTTTTGTTAAATATACTTTTTTTAAATGAATGCTGTTTTTTTTTTTTTAAAAAAAGAAGAAGATGTTAATGGAAAATTTAGCTCTTAAATCAGTCAGTTACAGAGATCAATAGAAGAGAATATTTGTAAATCAGGGTTGAACTGTGAGGTCCTTGACTCTGAGCTTGGTTGTTTTCTTGCAGACTTTTCACTACTCAACTAGTAACATTATCAGCGCTCTCCCCTCTGCCCTCTGCCTTAATGTACTGATGATGCCTAGTTGTGTAATGAAATCTCTGCAAGAAAACAACCAAACTCAGAGAGCACCAAGGACCTCACATTAAATCAAAAATGCTGGAGGTGGGAATAAACATTATTAGAATAGCTGCCATCTTGACTTTATTGATCCCCAGATGCCCCTTGGTTAAATTAATCAAATGCTGCCCCCCAACCACTGTATCATGCATATCATGATTTCAAATGCACTGTAGCTCTCAGATTACCTTGAAAACACCACCAGCCTGTGGTTGATGTATGAGAGACGACTCATCCAGTCCAGTAGAAGCTGAAGTGACAAACAGTTCTGAATAATCATATCCACCAAAAGCACAAGAAGTTGTATTGTCTACAGGCAGCTTCACTGTCTGAATTCTTTTTCCTGTTAAAATAAATCAGGTTGTTTCCTTAACAAAGGGCAGCGGGTCAGCAGAGTGGAACCAGTACATTTCCCTCCTTAAATTTGGAAAAAAAAGTAAACACCCATCCACCATAAATGAGGGCGCAAGAGCCTCAAATGGCGAACAAATCTGCAGGTTACACACTCCATCCTAAAGAAATAAAAGATAGGACCTAATGCTGGAAAAAAGAACTTCATAGTCTTTGCAATTTTTCGAAGGCAAAATACTGATTGGATTCATTGTGCATGAATGTGATCCATTTGTAGGTCTTTTGAATCAGTTGTCTGATTGTTCTTTCACTATGGAAGGTAGGAATATTGTATGCTGTATGCCAGACTACAGAATGGGATAACTCACCATGGACAACTCGCCACAGGACAATTTAACAATTTAATTTAATTATTTAAAATAAATAAAAAAATATTTTAATTTTTGACATTATTTTATTCCGTCCTTCCTTTTGCATTGTCCCTTTAATGATTCTACTCCACCATTTCTTTGATATTAGTGTAACTCTTGTCCCACAGCGAGTTGTTCCATGGTGAGTTGGCTGGGGCTAGTTGTCTGCAGTGAGTTGGCCATCGTGAGTTAGCCACAGTGAATTGCATAGACCCTCAGACAATTTATTTATTTATCTGGCAAAGTCTACAGAATCTCACTGGGCACAGAGAGGACTTTCAAATTCTTTGATCCTTTTACCTGGCGATGTCGGGGATTGAACCCAGGGCTGTTTGCACCTAAATCTAGCTTCTGGATCACATGCAGGAAGGCATGACATTTGTGGGATGACATTATCACACCAATCACTGAAGGTTTTCCATTTCCATTAACAAGTAAACTAAAGTATGGGCTACTTTGCATTTCAGATGAGATAAGGTCTTTTTATACATTATATGTTATAATCAGAGGTGGGTTCTAATTTTTTTTACTACCGGTTCTGTGGGCGTGGCTTATTCTTGGGTAATGTGACTGGGTGGGCATGGCCAACTTTTTTTTTTTACTTTTACTTTTAAAAGCATTTTTTCTGCAACCTCTTCACAGGTTGTAGAAAAAATGCTTTTAAAAGCTTCTGACAATCAGGCAAATCTGCTGGGATCGCCAGAGGCTTTTAAAGGGATTTTTTTTTCCTACAACCTCTTCAAAAAATCCCTTTAAAAGCCTCTGATGATCCAAGCTGTTGCCTAATTGGCAGGGGCTTTTTTTCTTTTAAATGGCTCTGACGATCCAAACTGAGTTGACTAATCGGCAGAGGCTTTTTTTCTTTTAAAAGCCTCTGGTGATCCCAGCAGATTTGCCTGATCGTCAGAAGCTTCCAAGAGTATTTTTTTCTGCAATCTCTTCAAGCTTCTGCCGATCAGGCAACTCAGGATCATTAGAGGCATTTAAAAGAAAAAAAGCTTCTGCCGATCAGGCAACTCAGCTTGGATCGTCAGAGGCTTTTAAAGGGATTTTTTGAAGAAGTTGTAGGGAAAAAAATCCCTTTAAAAGCCTCTGGCGATCTCAGCAGATTTGCCTGATCGTCAGAAGCTCTTAAAAGCATTTTTTCTACAACCTCTGAAGAGGTTGCAGAAAAAATGCTTTCAGAAGCCTCTGACAATCCCAGCTGAGCCGCGCGATCATCAGAGGCTTTTTTTTTTAATTTTTAAAAGCATTTTTTCAGCCGTGTAGAAAAAATGCTTTTAAAAGTAAAAAAAGGAAAGCCACTGATGAGGTGGGCGGGGTACGTGAGCAGCAACTGGGCCGGGGACCGGTTCGGGGGCTTGGCCAGCCAATCTTATTACCGGTTCTCCGCACTACTACAATTTTTTATTACCAGTTCTTGCGAACCAGTGTGAACCGGGAGCAACCCACCACTGATTATAATATATAAGCATCTCTACATGAGCAAAGGAATGTTCTGGAACTAATAAAACACACATATTGTGTTTGCTCCAGATCCCTTACACCAAACAGCTTGATCTCAGGGAAGGAATGTGGACTATCAGTGGATTCCCCAGCCCACTCCCCACAATTGCTAACCTGTTTCAGGATCTATACGGATTACCCGTCCTCCACCAAAACAGGCCACCCAAAGCTTCCCCTCTGTATCAATACACATCCCATCAGGAATGGACTCTTCCTTTTCCAATTTGTACATGCTCCTGCGGTTGCCTGAAAAAAGCCATTGAAAGATATTACATGCTAAGCCACACATTTGCCAAGTAATATTTTTACAAGAAGAAATGCAAAGGGAAACATCATAAATTTATTTATCTTGGAAGGAGTCCTTGGGCTCATGCTGGAGAATATTCTAAACTGTAAATCAGAGTCTTAGGGAACCAGGCTTTTATTTGTAATTCAATATTGTAGCAAAAAGATGGCTAGAGGTCGACTTCTCCGAATTACTGACATTATCTTCCAGCATGTATATTTATTTTAAATGAGTAAGATTAACTGAACTATATAGTTAGGAAAACAAATATGGATAAGAAACATGTTTTTGGATATCAAGTTCAATTTAGCATGGATGTGCTGTATCTATGAAAATGGATCCATTGAGCTGTTCCTGAGATGGGGAGATCTAGATGAATGTTTTCTCCTCATAGCTATGTTATTTATTTGTTTGTTTATTTAATTCTGATGCCACCCATCTCTGGGTGGCTTACAGACATGTTACTGGGCTCACACAGTAGAATCCCAACCCATCCACCTAAAAGAGGATAGAAGTTTTTTTTCCTCATTTTTTGATTTTTTTTCCAGAATAATTTATATTGGTACATTTGTTTTGATTTTTTTACATTTTTACTTTTATAGTACAGAATTTGTACTTTTTTACTTTACGTTTTTACTTTTATACTACAGAATAAAACAATGTTATTATTGTAAGCAATCAAAAGATAGAGACGGCAAAATAAGACTTATATTGATTGCTATATTAATAGCAAAAGAGGGAGAAGAGATAGAGCAGACATGACACCATCAGCTCTGAAAGGGAAAAAAAATAGAGCAGTGATATTAGTGCTTATTGCTTTCTTTATTAAAGAGTGCAAGTTTTATTATGGCTGCACCAAGCATCTTAAAGAGGCCTATCACAAAATGCATAAGTGAAACATTCCTCCTCAAAATATTAAAACACTGAATCTTCTGAAAGGCTCAGAATAGCTGCTTCAAAGGCTTCTCCAACTGTGTGCATGTGCATGCTTGCAATGACACTCTACTGTGGCTACCAGTGAAGTGAAGCCATTGGGTGCATGAACAACCAGATGGCCACAGCTGGGGAAACCTTTAGAACCAGTCACCTCACACTTCTGGGGTTAAGGAGTTGCAAGCAGATGTGTGTTATGTTGTGCTTTATGTTAATGTTGTGTGGTGTGTCTTGTAGTGTGGTGTGTTAATACACACAGATTATATTTCATCCCCTATCCTTTTGGGAACAGAAAACTATGTTGCTGAAACTACAGTCATTTGTAATACGCCCAATAAAAGTTAAAGCTGTGTTTTAAACATGTAAAATCAATTTGAATTTTACCTAAAATTACTTGTGACTCTAGGCATTCTACTATAGTAGAATGTGTGTATTATGCAGGGGTGGGCTGCTGGGGGTTCACAGGGGTTCGGGAGAACCTCTAGCTAAAATTCTGTGCAGTTCAGAGAACCCTCAAATCCCACTCCTGGCTGGCCCACCCTGCCCCACTCCACTCCGCCCTTCCCACACGGCCTGTTTTGGATGCAGCTAAGTGCAGGGCGCACATGGAGGCTGGGGGAGGGTGAAAAACAGGCCTACCAGAAGTTCAGGAAGGCCAGAAACGAGCCCATTTCCGGCCTCCAGAGGGCCTCCGGAGCCTGGGGACGCCGTTTTCGCCCTCCTGGAGGCTCAAAGAAAGCCTCCAGAGCCCAGGGAGGACAAAATGCCCCCCACCGCCATGGTGCAGAAGGCTGACTAGGCCACACCCACCATGGCCATCCCCACCCAGCAACCAGGCAGAGAACTCCTTGCTATAATTTTTGAAGCCCACCCCTGGTGTTATGTGGGTGCACGTATGTGTGCACACCCCTTCAAGTCAGTGCTAATTTCTGTCAACAGCCTGGATTAGCCCCTACAGTTTTATTGACAACATTTCAGAAGTGCCTTGCCACTGCCGCCTTCTTCCTCGAATGGAAAGTGACTGGCCCAAAGTCACCTGGTGGCTATGGGCCTAAGACTACAACCCATAGTCTTCCAGTTTCTAGTCTGGTCCCTTAACTACTACACCAAGAGTGGGAAAGAGAGAGAAAGCAACAATTTTAAAATGGTGATCAAAAATCAACTTTGGTACACATTTCAAAACATGGAAAGCAGGCATACAAAGCTCCCCGGTTTGCAGGTCATAATCAAAGGCATCAACGTGGTACGAAAGGCTGTCGATGTAGAAGAAGGTTCTGTGATCCAGAGACCAATCCAAACCGTTGGAAATGTCCACCTTGTCAAAATGTTTCACCACAGAATGGTCGGAAAAGAGAGTGTAGAGTGAGCCCTGGTGCCGTTCAACCACCGCAGGACGAATCTCCTGAGACATCGTACCTATGAGAACCAGAGCGTTAGCAGAAAAAGATAACAAAGCACCACAGAGACCAGTCAGCTTATTTTCTTCTCAGTGGCCTGTCCATAATAAAAATACAAGTAGTCCTTGATTTACAGCAGTTCATTTAGCGACCATTCGACATTACAATGGCATGGAAAAAAGTGATATATGACTATTTTTCACACTTATAACCAGTGGTAAAATCTAAAATTAGTTACTACCGGTTCGGGGGGGGGGCGAAGAGGTTGTAAAAAAATGCTTTCAAAAGGCTCTGATGATCCCAGATGAGTTGCCTGATCGGCAGAGGCTTTTTTTCTTTTAAAAGCCTCTGCTGATCAGGCACTCAGCTTGGATCATCAGAGCCTTTTGAAAACATTTTTTCTACAATCTCTGAAGAGGTTGTAGAAAAAATGCTTTTAAAAGCCTTTGACGATCCCAGCTGAGCCGCGCGATCAGCAGAGCCTTTTTTTTTTTTTACTTCTAAAAGCATTTTTTCGGCCAAAGAGGTTGTAGAAAAAATGCTTTTAAAAATTAAAAGAAAAAGCTTCTGATGATTGTGCGGCTCAGCTGGACATGGGGGGGGGCAGGGATTTTTTGCTACCAGTTCTCCGAACCACCCGCCTCCATCACTACCAGATTGGGCATCTGGTCCAACCCGGGAGCATTTCATCCCTGCTTATAACCATTGCAAGATCCCCATGGTCACATGATCAAGATTCAGATGCTTGGCAACTGACTCATATTTATGACGGTTCCAGTGTCCCAGGTTCATGTGACCATCTTTTATGACCTTCTGACAAACAAAATCAACGGGGAAGCCAGATTCACTGAACAACCATGTTACTAACTTAACAACTGCAATGATTCATTTAATAACTGTAGCAAGAAAGGTCATAACCTGGGGCAAAATTCACTTAACAACCATTTCACTTAGCAACAGAAAATTTGGGCACAATTTTAGTCATAAGTTAAGGGCTACCTGTATGCATATGATGTTATCCTTGTACAGCATAAATATGAAAACTGAGCCTGTCTTTTAATCTTTCAATATATATAAAATTCAGCAGTTAGGTAAGGAACAGTGTTATTAAACTGAAATCATAATCAAATTGGAAGACATATTTTAAACTCCACAAATCCAGAGGAGTCTTGTAGTACTTTTTCAGACTGTGACATGTTTTATTAAAAGAACTAAGCTCCCATGAATGATAGCTCATTTAATCATATGCAGGGATTGGATAAACTACAGGATTTAAACCAGGATGAGGTGGGGAGAAGGGAAGATGGGTTTGTTATACAGAGATAGATTACTTGTGAGACAAATTACAAGTACTTTGTAAATTAACAATTTAATGCCTTAACAAATATTTGCTGACATTTTCTGTGGTGCTGGATATAGTCCCTGGTTGAGAAAAAAAAATGTACTAGGAAGATTTTAAAATTAAAAGAACTGATTTCAAAATACAAGCTACCCCAGTTAAAAATAAGTTTTTATGGACAAAAGAAAAATGCACACATATCCATTGCTTGGAACTTGGTAGGCAGATAAGATCATATGCACACACCCCAGCAAGTAACTATAATAGGGGGAGGATTGATACAGCTCCTGAACATCAGTGTGAGATGATCAATGAAATTTGCAGCAAACCACAGTGACACCAAAAGGATGTCACAATGATATTTTCCTAAAACGTTCAGTTATATGACTGAGTCTTATAGTCTGATGCAAGTACATAAGCCACAACATTTGACTTAGACATTGTCATACATTCTTCATCATTTGCCCATCCCATCCCTCAAATAACCCAGGTGCTTAATGGTATGGAAGTATAAATGTAGGACCTCATTTTATCCTCAGTAAGTCAGCCCCCGCTATGGAAGGAGCAGCAGATATCAAGATTCTACTACATGGAACTAGAAACTATCATCTTACAAAGGATACAATTTGTTGAGAAAAAAATGAATATTTTTTTTATAGACTGAATTAAGACCTAGTTACCTGCAACTAGTCTTCCTGCAGGATCCACTTTCCCATCATTGAATCGGTTGTTGGGTTTTTCGTTCTCCACATCAGTAATGGTGGTAACGGACTTCTTTTTCCAGTCAAGAGCTGCAAACTGGGTTCCCTGTGTAATAATATAGCCACCAGATTTACGAAGTGATATAATGCTCACGGGGGCATCTGAAACCATATTAAGCAGATTAGGAGGGATTAAGGAGAGAAGAAACGGTAGTAACAAAAAATAATAACTGTATACCTAACAATTTTGATAACTTTCTTTTGAAAGTTATCATGTAGTACTTCAAAACAGCCAGCCTGATCCTCTACCCACGATACCATGCTGGTTTTTAGTGGTATTCAACTTTAACATGCTTCTATCACTTAAGCTGTAGAACATTAAATATTCAAGAACAAAGGTAAACATTTGGCTTATTAAAATGAAACAGTTTTACTTACCCACGGAAATACTTTGCACTTCTTTAGTGAGATAATTCCACCGACAGACCTTTTGGCCAGTTATATCTACATAATGAAGGGAATTTTCCTTTTCCTCCCATAGAGGTGATTCTCCAATTTTGTAGTTCACTGGCACAATGCATTCAACTTTGACAGACGACATTGTGTCTTGTTTTCCAAAAGCAATCAAGGAATAAATGCAAATGTTACCTTAAATTGGCCAAAACTGGATATCCTTATAGACTTCAATAGCAGCTAAATATAGAAGGTCTAGACTTTTGGTTGTTCAGCTCAGCAGAATTTCAATCATTAATCTGGTGAGTTAAAGTGCAATTCCAAAAGTTTACCCAATCAGTTGCCTCTGCTTTTCCCTGGCTTCCAAAATCTCCCCAAACTTAAAGCAGCTGGTATTGCTAATCTTTATTGGCAACTGTATCTTCACAGTTAAACATTGCCAAATTCCTGCTGAATACACTTTTTGTGTGTGTTTGTCTGCCTGCAAATACTAACAAGTAGGTCAAACTTCAAAAGATCTTTGGTCAGCATTCTTTTCAAAATGCTTGCCTGCTAAGGAGAAGACAGAGAAAAAGAAAGTATTGCATATTGTTATGATGTTAGTTCAGTGGAAATGTTCTGTGTAAACGCATGAAAAATAACTTAAAAGAGGCAGCAGACATTGCACTAGAAAAAATGGCCACATGTACTGCAACATCTAACACTACTAACTATGTGATTTCATTAAGCTCAACATGTTTGCTTTCTCAATAACACTTTAGCATAGAAAAATTACGGGTAAAAACTTTACTGTGTCAAACGTATGTGGCAAAAGCTATATTGACAAAAAAACACTGAGCCAGAAGGATTTTGCAGAGATCAAGATTCAAAGGGCAAAATATTATTCTGAGTACATTGAAGTACACATGTAGTGTCTTATAAGGAACCACCTAAACCAGTGTTTCTCAACCTTGGGAACTTTGGGAACAGCCAACATGGGGAATTCTGGCAGTTGAAGTCCGCACCCTTAAAGTTCCCAAGATTGAGAAATACTGACCTAAATCAAATGTGTCTTTCACTGGGGTTATATAAGCATCCTTGGGGGCCAGCCAAGGATGCTCAGGGAAAGTGCAGCTAATATGTTCATTATATGCACTTTGTTCTGGGCCTCTGTACAGACCTACAGTATTAGCGAATTGTTCAGTGTGTCCTGAGATCCTGATCTATGGATTGTGTTATGGTTCCCAGAGTCATGCAATCACAGAATATAGGACTCTAAGATATGACTATGGCTAGATGTAATGCAAATATGAGAGTCACTCTGTTGCAGAGATTGGAATGGGACCTTCAGGCTCTAAAATCAGGAGACTCAGAGTTCTAGTACTGTATTGGGCACAAAGGGTGACCCCATGATCAGTCACTTTCTCTCAGTCCTAGGAAGGAGCCAACTGCAGACCACCCCTAAAAATAAAACTGCAGGAATCCTGGCAGAGTCTAACAATCAGGAAGTGTTAGGTATTGAAATAAGTAGCTTAAACTAGTTGCTGAAGTTCTCACTTAGGTTCGCTATTGAAGGTGGGGAGGGAATACTTTGTTCTAATTGGTTGGCCAGCTGACAGCCTCCTATAAAAGGAGCCAGGCTAGTAGTTGTTGTTCTAAATAAAAATTTAGTTGTATGAACTAAATAAAAAGAGCTTTGCTGAAATCGCTCTGGCTTTGCTTCCATTCTCACCCCGAACTTAACACTTTTATATACACTGCTCAAAAAAATAAAGGGAACACAAGCAGAAGACATCCGAGATCTGAATGAATGAAATAGCCTTATTAAATACTTTGTTCGTTACATACAGTAGTTTTGTGTTCCCTTTAGTTGTTTGAGCAGTGTATAAACTACTGTATGTAAAGAACAAAGTATTTAATAAGGCTATTTCATTCATTCAGATCTCGGATGTCTTCTGCTTGTGTTCCCTTTATTTTTTTGAGCAGTATATATGTAACAAATATATACTTAACAAATATATATATAGACAGGCAATCCCAACAGAGTACACATGCACAGGGCTACACTGATATCGTTTTAATGTATTTGGTATATCCTGCTCGGGAATTCTGCCGGGCAGGAAGCTTAGAATATATGAGCGCTCTAATAAAAACCAGGATTGTTTTCCATGGCTACTAAAAAATTAAATACATCGGTTCGGGCTACCATATAGCGCTGAAATCCCAACGATCAGTAGTAAGCAAAGAGGTACTTAAAACACGCGGGTTTTCTTGCCCAGCGACGGTAACCAGACAATCCGCTCCGAAGGGGGCAAAAACGTGGAGCCCAAACATTATAAACAAATATGTACATTGGACTAAAGTCTACCCCTTTAGTTCCTCCGGGGAATTAGGAGGTGTTCTAAATTCAATTATTTCTCTGCACTGCGGTGAATGCTCGTGTTGATGCTTGCCGAGAGAGAAAGAGAGAGCGAGAGAAAGCAAAACGCTGCCTTTTTTAAACCGAAGCTTTCATTCTCCGCGAGTGGGAAGCCACATAAGTGGGAGATTTTAATGGATTGTTTTAGTAGTTATTTTGATTGTTTTCATCGTTGTTTTTCTTGTTTTCATCGTTCTAATTTTTGTGAGCCGCCCCGAGTCTTTTGGGAGAAGGGCGGCATATAAGTATAATAAAATCAATCAATCAATCAATCAATCACTATTCCCGCTTTTCACTAGCGACAAATACACGCGGAGTACGAAGATCGTCCCTGCTTCAACTTTGGGGAGAAAGCGAATTGGAAGTCACATTGAGGATGGGACGCCCACCCTATCACCCATCAACCTCCAGGCTGAATCTACATGTGAAAAGAAAGCCTTGAAGCGCCTTCCTTCCCGGGATCCCGGAAAGTAGGAACAGATGGCCTAGTTCAGGGGTCTCCAACCTTGGCAACTTTAAGACTTGTGGACTTCAACTCTCAGAGTTCCTCAGCCAGCAAAGCTGGCTGAGGAACTCTGGGAGTTGAAGTCCACAAGTCTTAAAGTTGCCAAGGTTGGAGACCCCTGGCCTAGTTAGCCTAGGAGGAAGCGCAGAGAGGAGTCGCCGCCTTCGTTCAGTGCTCCCCGGGCTTCCCATGACTCACCCGCGACAAGGCTGCAGTGGTGATGAAGTTCCGGATAATCTCCGAGGACAGCGCCTGGGGAAGGCCCGACCGGCTCTCCTTCTCTGTAGGCGCTGTTGAGTTATTTTTGTTGCAATGACGCCTGGGAGCAGAAAGTATCGATTTTCCAACGCCGCGATTTCAACTTTGGAACTTATTCTTACTCCCGAGGAAGAAGTGACTCTGCTAAAGTGCATCAAACTGTGACGAAGGTGGATCCCGACGTTTCCAATCTCTGTCCCCGTCCCTCTTTTCACTAGAGACAATTACATGAGTACGAAGATCGCGCCTGCTCAATTTTGGGGAGCAAAGGAATTTGACGCTGATCCTATCACCCATCAGTCTCTAGGCTACTTATAACTTGATAGGCTAGCACATTTTTAAAAATACCGGTTTGCCAACACAATTATTTTCACCTTCTTAATTATACTCCTTAATTATACTCCTTAATTGGTTCCCCTTTTTAATTACATTATACTATATAATATGATTATATATTATATTTGGGCGGGAAAGGATCGAAAACCCAAGAAAGCAGGGGCAAGTTTAAGCTGAAGAGCTGTAAACTCTTTTGACATTTAGAGCAAAATCTTAGCTCATCATTTTGTAGTTTGAAATGCATAAATATGTCCATAATACTCTGGGTTGTGATTGTTAAAACTCCGGCTGGTAAACAAGACAACATCCGTAAGCTGCTTACTTATCCTTTATTTGGTAACCATCCTGCAATTTTTTTAAAGCAGCTTTGCAATAATTATAATGCTGAGTAGATTATATTGCGATTGTATGACTGGATAAACAAATATATTTAAGTAAATTTGCTTGCTTAAATTACATTTCTGTATTGACCAAGTTCAAATAATGCACTGAGTTGAAATCAAATGTACCCCTTAAGTGAACTATTCCAGCGATTTGCCTTTTGCCCCATTGAAAAGGGCCTGGTGGCTCAGCAGACTGATAGCATTGTGATTAACACCAGCTGTCTGCAAATATTGTCTGCAATTACTGTAAGTTCGAATCTCACCAGGCTCAAGGTTGACTCAGCCTTCCATCCTTTCTAAGGTAGGTAAATTGAGGACCCAGTTTGTGGGGGCAATAAGCTGACTTTGTATAAATATACAAAAGTATGAAGGCTACTGCTTAACGCATTGTAAGCCGCCCTGAGTCTCCGGAGAAGAGCGGCATATAAATCAAATTTAAAAAAAAAATTGACCAGATTGGTCCATTATGCTAAGTAATGGTGCCTTCAATTGTGATTCAATACACTCCTCAATTGTTGAGTTTGCATAATAAAACTATAAACCATGATTTAAAACCATACTGTTTCAACCAATTACATTATAGTTTAGGAAAATGTGTAAACCAGGTCACTTAGCTGATTTCTAGATCTAGACCAAGAGGAAAACTGAAGCTAAATTAGCCAAAATCTTTTTTTCTTTCTTGGAGGTGGAGAAAGCATCTTACGGATAGGCCAAACTTGCTTGATCTGCAGCATTCCCAATAATTTTTGTACCCTAATAATTATGCAAAGAAAGCCAGTACCATGTTTAAAAGAAGGACAAAATAAGTAGTTTCCCTAAATCATTAAGCTTGAGTTAAGCATTGGAAATTAATGTGGCATACATGTGTTGTTATGCTACTGCACCTACTAGTGAGGTTTGGTAGCTTACCTGGTGCTTATTGTCCACGCCTGAAATGACTGACATTTTGGATTTGTGAAACTGGAATTTGAGACTAAGGCATGTTACTGTTCTGACCTAGCTCCCCAAAAACGACAAACCCTCTGATGTGAACTCAAAAGATTCCTTTATTAGGAATGCCGGCAGTCCCAGCAAAAAGTTTTTCTCGCAGGATCACACATCTATTCATCTCTGCCCACTGCCTTTTATCCCCAGAGCTAGAGTGGAATCTTGTTAGCAGCGGTGGCTTTTCCTTCCGCAGGATCGGCCCATAGCTTTCTATTGCTCTCTTCTTCTCTGCCTTCTGCACAGCTGCGCATCAGACACTGGACCCAGCTGTTCTTCTTCTTCATCATCAACTACCTTCAGACTTGGGGGCTGTTGACTCTCCATCTGAGAGATGACGGAGGTCCCAGACTCTGCTTCTCTCTCTCTCTCTCTCTCTCTCTGCCAGCTCCATTCCCTCTTCCCCCTCGGAGTTCCCAGGTTGCCCTGATGATGACCCTGACTCCCACGCCTCCTCCTCCTACTCTGATTCGGTTCTAGAGGGCCTGGCAGCCAACAGGCCGCAACAGTTACATGGAAGAGTGTGAGATGGCTATGTGCATGGTCCTAGGATTAGGATGATTTGAAAATTAGCAATCTTTTCACTGCGCGTGTCATTAAAACTATTTGGGTTATCTGTAGCTTGGGATGGACTTAATGTAACATGAGGCTGGGACATCTGTAAGTTCTTCTGAAACAGGAAAACAGGCAGCAAACTAGTTGATAGTAGATACTAAGAGGTTTGATATTAGTCTTTCTTTATACAGGATGAATGTGCTCCCCTGTGATATTTTACAAACCATCTACTTTGAGACCTGAGAAGTCTACTACTGGCTTTAAACTTTCCATTTCCAGTAACTTTTGCCAAATGGCCAATGAGAAAATAACCTGAGAGTTGTATTACAGCAGTAACTGTAGAGTCACATGTTCTTATCTTTGTAGGATACAACCCTTCCAAGGTTAGAATTTGAGAACAACTGCACCGCACACACTTCCAGAAAATTAGTCAGAAATCATTCAAGAGTGCAAAATTCAACATGTTACTAACCTAAAAACCAGAGATCAGCATTGCTTGTGTTGTTTGTTTTTAAAAAAACAACCCTCACCTCCAATAGCTGCTTTATGCACCATTGAACTGTAACACAATTTCCAATTTCTTTATTCTGATACTATGCATTTTTTCCCCTTAGCATGAAGTTTCCTTGGATAGAGCCAAGTGATCAGAAAGAGAGCAGTCTGAACTAGCAAAAAGAGCAGATTTTTATCAAGTAGCCCATTCTAGTAATTTAATACTGTATTACACAACTGTTACATATAGACACAATGTGTACTGTATGTGTAACCAAGTTAGAAGAAAACTTCTAATTTAATGCAGGAAACCACCAGAAAAACAGAACAAATTACAAATATTCTGCTTTTATTTCCATTAACAGACTATTTATTATTTATTTATATTTCATATTTCTAAATGACCCATCAGCCTCAAGGTAAAAATTAACATTAGAAATTAAAAATTAAATTAGGGTTAAAAAATTCAAAATTAAAAAGACTAATGACAAAAATAAAAAAGGGGGTGGAATACTAAGATGGCCATATGGTGTTAAGATTATTACAGGAAGGGGGACTCTGAGGGGACTAACCAGCCCCATGGTTGCATAGCCCTCTGTACTCCCTGCGCGAGGCCACGACGTGTTTTGACCCTTTGCGAAAGGCCAAGTGATTGGGGGCTTTTCTCACCTCTTGGGGCAAGATATTCCACAAAGCAGTGGCAGTGGCAGAGAAGGCTCTCTTCCTAGACACCACCAGTCAAAATTCTTTGGCTGACGGGTCTGTAGCAGTGGTGGGTTGCTACCGGTTCTCCCTGGTTCGCAAGAACCAGTAGTGGAAATTTTGAGTAGTTCTGAGAACTGGTAAATACCACTTCTGCCTGGCTGGGCCCTCAGTCTGTTGGCTGCCTCCCAACACCCAGCTGATCGGCTAGAAGGAAAAAATCAGGGCTCACTTGACAAAGAAGAGGAAAAAAAACCAAGACACAGTTGCTTTAAATTGAGAAGCCTCCCAACTGATCGCTTCTCAGCCAGGAGGTCACTTGGCAAAGAAGAAGGAAAAATAAAAAAAAGACGCCGTTGCTTTAAATTGACAAGCCAAGACGCAGCTGTTGAAAGGAAGTTTTTGCTTGCAGAAGCGAAGTGACAATCAGCAGTTCGTTTCTGGGTCAGCTGAACCACAAACTGGATAAGAGGAGGGATTCTTATATGGTTCTATGTTTTTGAAGTTTTTGAGGTTTGTGCAACATGGGCTTTGTGTTTCTAAAAAGGTTTGGGCGATTTCCATTGTGAAATATCGTGTCTTGAATGAGTTTTCTGCCTGCTTGTAAATGGAGCCGAACTTATCTCTAAGCACTGGTAGCTGTTTTCTTCTTATAAAGTTTCCTTTATGCAGCTGGCAGGAATGTGGAATGAGTATCAAGCAGGTTTCTTCTTAGCAGCTTGATTTTTCCTTGCTTTTCTTATGAGTAATATTTTATTTGGGGAAATGAAGATGGGGGAGTTTGATTCCTTCCCAGAGCAGGTTAGTGGGGTGGGGAGGGAATGGGGATTTTGCAGTAACCTTCCCCTGTCACGCCACACCCACCAAGCCACACCCACAGAACCAGTAGTAAAAAATTTTGAAATCCACCACTGCATAAGTCCATCTTAATATGCTATTCCTGGTATGTGATGTTTTGTATACATACAGAGAAAGAAGCACTTTTAGGCTTGTTGTCAAACATCAGCAGGGCCGGATTTAGATGAAAAGAGGCCCTAGGCTATTCCACTTATGAGGCCCTTTCACCTATAGTGAAAGTGTAATTTTAATTTTGCTAACAATTTGAATGTAGGCCCCTCTTGATCTTGAGGCCCTAGGCTGAAGCCTAGTTAGCCTATAGGAAAATCCAGCCCTGAACATCAGCCAACAATGACTGTTTTGAACAATAGGCAGGTTGTACTACATATATGGCTATTTTATATGTGAAATTATGACTGAAATATTTCTGCACCTATATTAGTTCACACTGTCAGGAGGTTTCTCTTTAGTTTTAGGTTGCTTCCCTCTTAGTTCAGTTTCCATCCATTGCTTCTTGTTTTGCCTTCTGGTGCATTGGAAACTACATTGCCCCCCTTCTTTCTGGCAGCCCCTTAAAAGCCTGTTGCCTATCACACTCTTGGGCAAAGCATGTGAGCCATTTCCTCCTTTCAGTAGTCCATGAAAGTGCATCCATAGTGTGAAGATAATAAAGTTGAAAAAAGGTGAACAACATTTTTACAGAGTCAGGGTGTGACAAGGAATGGCTGGGAGGGGAGGGGCCAGGTGAGGCACAGCTTGATGTGAGTGACATTGAGTTGGCCACGCCTACTCAGTCACATGATCATTAAGCCATGCCCACTGTCATATGACCATCAAGCCATGCCCACAAAATAAGCCACGTCCACAGAACCAGTAGTAAAAAATTTTAGAACCCACCCCTGGTCTGTA